GGATGAGGAGCGTGTGGAGGGTGTGTAGGGGGTTTGTGGTGTGGATTTTTAGGGTTATGGGGCCGAGGTGGAGGGGGGTGAGGGTGCTTGGGGGGTGTGGGTTAGGGTTATGGATGGGGGGAGGGTGGATGGTGAGTTGTTGGTGGGTGGGTGGGAGTTGGTGTGAGACATCTTATTGTGGTTTAGAAGTCCAATTGGAGTTCCTTGATTCAAGAAACTAAGGGGAAGAGTTTTAGGAAGTGGTGGTTTCTTGTGTTGAGATGGTGTGTGGTAGAGGATTCTTCTTCGAGGGTTGTTGACAAGAGAGAAAGTAATTGGAGTTCCTCAATGGTTGGAAACGGTACAAAAACGAAATTGACAATGACAGTTGAGTAGTTATTGTGTAATTGAGTAGTTTAAAAGAAGAGGATAGTCGATAATGGTCCTTATGCTAGACTTCTCTATGATGTGTAGAGAAGAAAGTTGCGGTGATTGTGAATGATGTTGTTTAATGAACGAAGAGGCAGGTTATATAACTTGTCCGAAGCAATAGACAGATGTACTAATCCAAGAGTTGTTCTTGTTCTTCTGCCTTGAACTTGAAGAACGATCCACAATCCGCCTCCTACACTGGTAAAGCGGAGCTAGATGGAGGATCATGTCAAGAAAAGGCACCAAGATTTGCATCTCTCCTTTAATGATGATATATCGTACATCTCACGAGATATTATGAGAAACTTGCCACTCTACCTTTCAACAAGGGGTAATTGCCAACATAGGGAAGTATTTTTTTGTCATCACTTTGAGAATCAATAGTCGGAGGCCGCTCGTGTGAAATAACACAGTTGATGAGATTTCAGACCGATATTGAAAGATTAGCCGCGATTTTTTCTTGCACTCTTAGCGAGACATGCTCAGCTTCATGCTCCAATGGTGGGTCCAGCCGTCCTTGCATAATCCTTCAACTCTAAATGCATCGCATTGGATGCCAGGCAACCAGAATTATGGTTACCGACTAGCTATGGGTAAGGATTGTAGCCACTGCCATTGGCTGATAGGATTGTATCCAGGAACTGAGGCTCTTTAGCTCTCACCTAAGTCGGTCAATTTGAAGAAAGCTGGGTATGGATTATGTAATTAAAAAATATACGAAGGGAGCCAATGGAGATTACCTGTTTGGACCCCACGAGACACATGTGATGATATAATGCTAGAAGAGCTTTCTCCTACATGGTATGAAGGCCAACTAAGGCCAAAATGGGGACCAATTGCATCGGCGTAGTTTGGTGGCTCAGGAGGCAAAGCAAACTTGAACTATGAAGGGCTTGCGTGAAGTAGCTGGCCATGGAGAGTATGCGGAGACTTTCATGCCCATTTTATCAGCGCTTGTTTATCATTTCATCATTTCAGTATGCCCTCGTGTGCTGAGTACATGAGCTGTGGTTGAGCCTGCAAACTCGAAGCTCAAACATTCCAAGGAGGTTCCTCGCGACTCCACAGAAACGAGAAAATACCCAAGAGAAGCTATCGAATATAGTAAAATACATGGCGAGGGACGAGAAACCATCGGGATGTTGGAACGTATGTTCTAATGATTTTGGATTTGTGAGAAAGCAGGTTGGCTTGATGGCCGCAAACTCCCAGCCAAAAAAGGAGTATGTTTCACGTGACACGTGAACCACATTCACCTGCTCATTCAACACCAAACCTGTCATTTAAAATACTTTGACCCCCAATCAAGTTCATTTATCATTGAAAATTTCTTATATCTTCAATGGAAGCCCACCTGCAAGTCTCCAGCTGTGTTTTTGAGAGGCAGCCACGTGATGCTTCCCAAGCCAGTACACCCGACTAGACTGGGCAGTCTACTTCCCCATTAATTGACATTTTAGGTAGATTATAAATTCCATCCTTTGAACGGCCCAAGTCTCCAACCATCAAGTATAGGCTACGGAGAGAAACTGGGTAGGAGGGCTTGAAACATCGACCACTCCTCCACCACTTCGCCACGGTCAGCATCCTAATCCTCATATATCAACATTCACTTCTCCCTACATTTTCTTCAGCTAGCAGTTATAATGTTTCAAAAACTCGAGCGCGCCTATTTATGGTAAACTGCCGCCTGCAATGGAGTGATCAATCCTTCCGCGTTTATCTAACCCTCGCGCTTGGTACGTAAGTTAACTGTCGGCTACCGATCGATCCTTCGGATCAAAACTTCTACCTAGCTCCACATATCACACTTACTGATTTTCACCTACAGCAGTCAAGGGAGGACCAGGTTCTCGGAATTGGATCAGTCGAGATCAGGGGATCATTTTGAGAGGTGCCGGTAGGTACGATACGGTACAACTTGACAGTAATCTTAACTGCAACTGTCCGAAGCTAAAATATGACCATTTCTGAGACAGAGTTACAATTGCGTCATAGGTAAGTCGCGATACAACATCGATTTGTATCGCTACTCAGCCGTTTATGGTGAGTAATCATTTCGATTATTTAATTAGGCCGTGCTGTACTATCGCTCATTTCAGCATCTTACTGGCTCAACAACGCCTGGGTTTCAAAGCAGGTGATGTTACAGCGCTGTGCATAACTAGCGTTACAAACTCGATTTTCATGAACACCAAAAAAAAGTGTAAACGCGGAATCAGAAAAGAGCTCACCTTATATTATATAACAACCACGCTTCTAGGGCTTTATCACTTCTACAGGATGGTACTTTAACATATTCTACGTAAGTGCATCGACTTTTTATATGCCCTAGGCAGGTTGCTATTTTATAATTCAAGAAGGGGTAGAAAGTCGCTTTTTTGCGTCGGTCGCACGCCAAGGCTAACCCCGCCATCCTGCCTCACGGTCGCAGGAGTCAACATTTTGGCCCTTTTCAGATTATAATAAGAAAAGGCCTAAATATTATATAAAAAGTCGATGCACTTACGTAGAATAGACTAAAGTGCTCCCCTGTAGAAGTGCTAAAGCCCTGGAAGGGTGGTTGTTATATAATTTAAGGTGCTTGTGTTCCTAAGTTCCTGATCTCGTACTTTTTTTAATGTTCTCGGCTACCCGCGTTTGTAACGCTAGTTATGCGCAGCGCTGTAACGCGCCGTTCACTAATCATCAACCCACGGACTTTACCCACAACCAGCTTACAACTTGATCGGAGAACCAATCAGAAATCCACCCTCATGCTCCCCAATGACAAAGACATGCATCCAACGATTTTGAGCCTCTCACGTAGCATTGCTTCGTTTCGAGTCGAATTATTCAGCATTGCACTTCTTAGGCTATTATGAACGAACTTTAACTTGCTCGGCCTAGGGAGTTCTCCCGTTTCCTGCTTACTTCCTACAAACCATTGTTGGTTTCCTTCCTTCTGATTTGTCTTGTTGGCCGATAAGCAAGGTACCTTTGTGACTCAGGACGAGTTGAGAGAATGCGGTCGAATCATGCGTTGATATCGGCGTTAAGGTCCAATCGCTAGTGCCTTTGTCAGATAGACCTTGTAAACAGAATCTATGTAGGAAAAGGGAATATATAGCATATCTATCTCGCCTTTCCAGTTTCTCTTGCCATTGATACAATACATCTCTTCATCTTGTTTGCGTTCTATTCATTCCCACACTTCAAAAGAACCCATTTGTCTCAAACCATCCCAGCTACTATTCGGCAACACGCTTTGTTTGCACGAGTATTACAACAATACCCTGAAATCCCCCAGCCGCGTTGGATCTCTATAAAGTCTAGGTAGTTCTCCAACATGACGGATCTATTGCGAGAAGCCCCTTTGGGTCAAGTCATTCGCTGGGTTACAGGCAATAGATTCCTTCAGTACCCAGAAGAACTTCCAGACTTTGAATTACCAGCCACTTACAACGCCCTACTCAACTCCTCATCCCAAAAAAGACCAGAGATCAAAGGCCATCGACAACAAAGCCACGCCAGTGCTCGTACTCGACAATCCAGTATTAGCGATGAACCTTCCGACCTGGAGAAAGTCGATACAGAAAAGTTGCCTGAGACAGCTGAAGGAGATGCGTCTCTCCAGTTAGCTCGCACAAAAAGTCGACTAGAGACAACTCCATACACGGAGGAGCGTCTTGAGATTGAAGCGGAACTAGCCATTGAACGAACGAAAAGCAGGCCAATCGTTCCTGTCAAGACAGCAGATGGAGTTATTCTCGTCGATTGGTATACCACTGATGACAGTAAGCTTTCCCCAGTTCCTCCAAACTATCTCCAATCAAAGATTAGAAGCTGACCACCACCTTAGAGGCCAATCCACAAAACTGGTCAAACGGGAAACGCTTCGTTATAAGCTTGATCATCTGCTTGTACACTTTTGTCGTCTACACCGGATCTGCAATCTACACGTCCAGTATCGAAGGAGTGATCAACAAGTTTGGAGTGTCGCCGACAGAAGCCTCACTGCCGTTATCCCTTTATGTCCTCGCTTACGGCGTGGGTCCCCTCCTATTCGCCCCTCTTTCCGAGATTCCCGTGATTGGTCGCTCGCCTGTTTACGCTTCGACAATGACACTCTTTACCATCCTCTCCCTGCCCACAGCAATGATCGATAACTTTGCCGGCCTACTCGTGCTACGATTTCTACAAGGCTTCTTCGGCTCACCATGTTTGGCTATCGGCGCGGCAACAATGCAGGATATGTACTCCCTTCTGTACCTCCCATATGCCTTGGTAGCATGGGTATCAGCCGCTTACTGTGGCCCTGCTCTGGGTCCATTGCTGTCCGGGTTCGCAGTAACAGCCAAAGGCTGGCGATGGAGTTTATGGGAAATCCTCTGGGCGGCTGGTCCGATTTTCCTAGTCATGTTCATGCTTCTCCCAGAGACATCCACACCCAACATTCTTCTCCGACGTGCTGCCCGTCTGCGAAAGCTCACTGGTGATAACCGTCTAAAATCCCAATCCGAAATCTACCAAAAGAATCTCCAGCCCTCAGCCATCCTCGTCGATGCCATCGTCAAGCCCCTAGAAATCACCATCAAGGACCCCGCCATCCTATTCGTCAACGTCTACACCGCCATAGTCTACGGAATCTACTACTCCTTCTTCGAAGTCTTTCCCCTCGTCTACCCACCCATGTATGGCTTCTCCCTCGGCATGATCGGCGTGGTGTTCACTTGCATCCTCGTAGCCTGTGTGCTAGGTATAGCGGTTTACTGTCTGTACCTTCACTTCCTCCTCATCCCCGATATCAAAGCCAACGGGTTACGAGCCCAAGAATCGCGTCTCGTTCCCGCTCTATATGCCTGTTTCGGATCTACCATCGGACTCTTCCTCTTCGCGTGGACTGCGAACCCAGATATCCACTGGATCGCCCCAACAATTGGGATCGTGATTTACGGTGGAAGCGTCTTCATCGTCATGCAATGTATCTTTGTCTATGTGCCTCTCTCATACCCTCAATACGCTGCGAGTTTATTTGCCGGCAACGACTTTTTGAGAAGTGCTTTTGCTTGTGGGAGTATTCTTTTTGGGAGGCCGCTGTTTATTAATTTGGGTATTGGGAGGGGTATTAGTCTTCTTGGGGGGCTGAGTGTTATTGGGATTGTTGGGATGTTTGGGCTTTATACTAAGGGGGCGAAGCTGAGAGCTAGGAGTATGTTTGCGGTTGCTTAGGAGGGATTAGATGGTGGGATAAATTTATGATTGGTATCACGAATTAGATGACGAGTTTGGGCAATTTTGTTTGGGCGTTTGAGGGGGCTTAGAATGGTTGGTGGATTAAAACAAGGCCGACGAGATTTGGTAGAGATAATAGATAATTGTATTCAGAAAGTACCTAATCGCTTCTTCATGGCTAATTCACATGAGGCAGAGACATGCTTTGACAGACGTTCAACCATACAACACATTAGTTCTTTGTATCTTTTTGCTAATACCAAATAATCACTTGTATACTAATATTCTTCCAACTCTTTCGAAACGTTGTTTTCAAAGAACTGATCATCAGATAAAAAAAGGTAATATTCATCCCAGCATCTTTCCATACAACTCATTATCTAAAATTATCGACAAATCCAGTAAAATAGCAGCAGCTTGAAAACAGATATCAAAATAAACACAGCTCCTTCCAATACTCCAAACAATTTACAAAACCCCTTACTTACTCCCCAAACACCCCCTCTCATATCAACAAGCATCCTACGCATACTCAAGCAGACATCTCTCGAGTTTCGTGGTACCAACACATCTTAGAAATTTACAATTCTTGTTTTTAACACCATAAAAAATTAGAACAGCAGAATCCATTAACCAAGCATTCGAACATAACGAAATCAACCCACAGTACCTCGCGGTCTGAGCTACTTATATATTATAACCTAGAACGAAATAGCCACGGGAATAGATACTGTATTAGCGGCTTCTTTTCCAGTCCACACCCACGCGATTTGGGCATTGAAAACAGGCATTGACGGAACAATCCGATTCTAAGTTGTAAGCTACCTGGAAGGGTACTTGAAGAATGCCATTACAATGAAGCATTTTTGGGATTGCATCAAGGTAGGGCGTCTGTGGTGCTTTTCCCGATATCACTTTTTCAACATATAGCTCCCGCTTTGCTCCACCAATCTATACCTCACTTTGGGATTCGACAATCGATGCATGAGGGAATCGCCATTCATCATTCTAAAGACACTATCAAAGTACGGAATGAACATCAACACATAAACGCTGAAGACCGCGAGAAAAAGAACCTGCGTACGAGTACATAACCCCCTTTAACCACTTCATTCATCCCCCGTTTTTTCTGCCCTGCTTCCTACCACCCATCCGCGTATCTCATCATTCGTTTCCTGGAGAGAAAAGACATTCATTGACCAGAGGCGTGTCCCACCATGATCATGTTATTGGCTACGTTTTGTTGGATATTCAAGTTCCAGCCAATTGACTATTGATTTATCTCTGAACCCAAAGTGAACCCAAGTTTATTCCAGATATTGCGCTATTGGCTTTATGAAGCCTTCTTGGCAGCTGGAGACTTGTTGACGTAGTGTCCGACATCGGTCGCATCGTGGAAGGTTCTTGCGCTGCTCTTGATAACTTCCCAGGCCTGTCTGGCTGCTGGTGGGGTTGATTGGCCACCAGCAAGACTGTCAATTCTTCCCTCCAATTGTCTAAATTGTGTCTGAACAAAGCTGCTCTGTGCAAATCGGGCACGGAGGAAGGCAGTGTAGATGGTAATCAAGATCCAAGACCCACGTTGGAACAAAAGGGCCGAGAGAAGGAGTCTACCCCAAAGCAAGATCTCAAGAATGGCTACGAGACCCATGGAAGCATCATAGTATTCTTTGACGAACCTTCCAATGGTATCGGCTAATGGGTGAGTTTTGAGAACAGGTTTGGCATTAGGGGAGGCGCCTGGAGCGGGGGCAGCTTGTTGCTGAGGTTGAATGGTTGGGATCAAGTTTGTTCGAGCGTATGTCGCGACATGGAAGATGGAGTACACTCCAAATGGGAGCATAGCGAGGGGGTAATGAGCGGAAAATAGCCAGACGAGGGCCATAGCTAATGTCAAATTAGCAAAATGCGCATGATAACAGAGTGGATTTGTAACTTGCCCAAGTATTGCACATTCTCATCTGCGATCAAAGAAACAATGCCGCCTTGCGCTCTGCTACCAGCTCTTGAACGAGCGCGGAAAGCCTTGTAGACCACAATCCCGTATGTTACAGCTGCGGCGACGAAGGAGGTTCGATAGGAAAAGACTGCCATTCTCGAATAGTAGTTGAAGGTGAGATAGGAGAATCCATATCGGACGATACAGAACAGGAGGGTCAGATGCCTAGAGGAATCCTGTTAGTGAAGGTTCGTTTCCCAAATATCCCAACATTATGATGTGCTGCAGGGAAGCGGAAGCTTGAGCTCAACCCTGGGCCTCCCGCAAAGGCCGCCATCAAAGATCGAAGAGTACAACTAGCTGGAAAGAAGGTCCACGTACCCGACAAACCACGCAACTAATGAACAAGTTAGTACACTGGTCTGCGGATCCCCTCCAAGTGGATTTACATACATTGAAGTGTCTGGGCAAGCTGCAGCAGCCTTTGCTGCAGAGGCAGAGCGGCCGATGGGACTGGCGCCATCGTTGTAGCGGGGTATGGTATTGGCGGTAGAAAATGAAGCTATTCGGAAGCCGTGTACTGGGCGTGGTAATGGGTAGTGCTGAGGATGGGTGTGGTGTCGTGTGCGCGGTGTCAGTGTCCTCTTGGGTTGGTGGACTTGGGAGAAGTGGTGGTGGAAGAGTCTGGCTTTGCTGGTGGCTGGTGGCTGGAAGTACCGGTAATGTAATCCTGGTCATGATGGGTGTTAGCGAAAACCGTCCGAGCTCAAGCTCCATACAGTATGCCATCACGGCCATTCACACCGCACGCGTAGATGATGGTTACGTACCGAAATGTGTTTTTTTCTAGGAATGGGAAGTTGATGAGTTGGAGAAATGATTCACTTGATTGTGCGAGATCAATTTTTATATTTCGTGTCGTAGCGTGGTAACTATATCAATATTCTTCCTTGATTCGGACCACAAGCCAACAGCCACCTCCCCCTTCGTCATCGGTCCAGCCTTGAACCAGGGGTACGAGTACAGCTGTATGTGTAAGTGTAACCCGAACAATCCCGCAAAGTGGCATGTCCTATTACATACGTATTTGGACGTAGTCACAGGAATTCTCCCTGGACACTCTATAACCATTCCTTTTCCATCTTACTTTATGAATGTTTTGGATTCTTGGTAAGGGACCTCCCCGCCGTTCAGAGTCCAGCTCCATTTATCAGCAGCTCCTCTCCACTTTACCCCAGATTTGGCACGTGCCTAATTGTATTACTTGAGTCCACTGAACGGCAGTTTGGTAGTTGAAATGGCGGAAATCGACTCAAGAGAGTTAAGGATTCATGAAAGTATACATAAAAGAAGTGGAGTCGGCTATTCGCTTGTCAATAGTGGCGTATCATGTGATCACTTCGCCTCCCTGAAATCACTTGGGAATGTTCTGTTGGGGTTGATAGCTATCACTGGCTTGCGCAAATCCAGTATATTACAATAACTGTCCGGAATAACTCCAAGTCTATATGCAACCTTCTTACACCGATGACACTGGTATTTCATCAGTCTCAACTTTCGTACAACCGATAGACGAGACGTACTGGTCGGGTAGGTTTGGAAGTTGAGGTGAAAGTTCTTGTGAATACACTCGAGTACTCAAAGAAGTGCTATTCCCGTTCATGGTGTGTAGGTGATTGTTTTCTGGTAGATCACATACCTATTCACAGTAAGTACCTTGGCCTAGCACTTTTTGCTTTGGCTATAAATACCCATCCTCTCAGTGCTTCTTGCCTTCTAATCAGCTTCGCTGTTCAACTCTGTCAACAACATACCCGCCCATAAAAGGCATACTTCCACACTCCCCCACTAGACTCCGAGCAACGTTGATTTTATTCTTCAAGTACTCAGAAGTTTATTCAAGGTTCACGATGGGTTTCAGCAATCAAAATACGATCACCGAATCTCCTCAACCCGACAGAGAAGGCGCCCATCAGAAGCCACTCTTGTTCAGATTACCACCAGAGATCCTGCAGAAAGTTCCCGATTACCTTCCTCTTGCCTCTGCAGCCTGTTTCTCTCTCTCTTGTCGAAGCGTCTACACCATGCTCGGAACGAAATATCTTATTCAACTAGAACCATCTCAAGAAACCTACGCTTTTTTGACTCTGTTGGAACGCGATATTCCTGACTCCGTATCCTGCAAGTCGTGCAAAGTTCTTCATCCAATAAAGGATGCCGAGAGTCATGTAGATCCAGGATGGGAAGTAGAACCACGTGGAAGGCCTTGTCTCTTAGACGCAAGAATGACAGTGGTCTCAGCTCAGATTTACTTTGGTTTCAGCCCCGTAGTTTTCAAAATGCTTATGAAGCATCACAGCTTATTTGGTTTTGATAATCCAAGCCACGAACTTATCAAGCTTCTGTCGCCCGAGCCTGACCGCCGGTCCTGGAATGAATTCACCATGATAGATGAAGTACAAATTCGAATAAAAAGCGGTTCCTTGTTCATCTGCACAACTGAAACATGGGAGTGCGAGAGTACTGCTGTGGTGCAAGACCCTGAATTACTTAAGTCTATGCGCCCAAGAGCCTGCCGTCATATTGATTTTAGACTAAATCCTGATATAAATCTTCTCGGATTTGAAGAGTCTCGCTACAATCAACCCTCTGACAGGCGATCGGAGTATTTTATATACCCGGATTGTAGGAGCATCGATTCTTGGGAAGACAGCACCATTTTGCGATGTCGCCATTGTCGAACCGAACACAGGGCCCACATGAAGTTTGAAAGCAGTTCTGTTGTGAGAGTATCACTTACTTCCTGGAAAGACCTTGATAAAGGACCCGATGATGAGGTGTACTATCAACATTTACACACAAACCGTAGCAGAGTCCCGGAAGGAAAGATCATTGCGGCGTTTGAAAGTGGGTTACCTTAAATGATCTGGCGCATAGGAGGAAGGGGAGATTTGGAGCTGTGGAATATAGGGGAGAAATAAGGAGAGCCTTCAAGATTTTTTGAGCCAGGTTTGTCTGCCCCACTCCACTCACCAGTGCACTTATAGAGTCGAACGAACAAGTTACTGACCTCTCGAACAGAGTATATGCCCTGGTGGCACAAAGGTTCAATCAATTTACCTAGTACATACATATTGTTCTTTTCCGGCGCAGAGAGCAATGAGTTTGCAGTCATCGTAAAGAAATTTAGACGAATTAGAAATCCCAAATGTTTGTTTTCACGAAGTCTTTTGGACAACCCGTGAAACAATGAGGTACAAAGTGATGCAGCCAACGGAATCTAGATTAAGAATCGTTTGACTTCTTCGACGTCGGCAGTGAGAGAATTGAATGTCGTTATCAAAAAGACCTTAGCTAGCAAATACTGTATTGCTGGGCAAGCATACCATTTGATTCGACGGGACTTCATCATTAACCGCAGATGACCAAATACAAACACTTCAACTTTGCCACTGAATACTAATGCCTGAAGATCTCCCATATGAAACCGCATTTAAAACCTTCTTTCTAAATGGAGACCTTGTAGGTTATCTCAGACGAAGTCTCTGTGCTGTCACCACTTCATCTCCCAGTGAAGTGATAACCGCAATTGCCAAAGAGGACATACAATCATACAGAGTCAACCTATGATTGCCATCATTACCCCTTAGACTCATAAGCTTCGAATGTATACTTGTGACAAGCAGACTTTAACAAGCCCTCTAAAGATATGAAGACATCCAAGAATCCAGAATTTTAATACTTGCAGAAAGACCCCCCAACAAAGCCCAAGAACGGGGTTCCAGCTACAAACCTAGTCAGCCCGAAAAACACTGTATCTAATGTCCCCAGTGTATGGTATCTCCCGTCCTTTCCTATCCTAACCCCTAGGAATAGAGTAGGAGAGCTAGGCCTTTGGCCTAGCAAAGGAGAGGATAGTAAAATATTTAACTAGATAGGGGCGGAGAAGGAGAGGCTGTATTCGAGAGAGGAACGGAAAGGAGAGGCTAAAATAAGGCTAAAAATAAGGCTTAATTAAGCGATAGTACGAAGGCTCGTAGGAGCGCTAGGGAGGGTTCGCTAGCAGTCTTTTTACTACGCAAGCGATAGTCTTTTTACTATGGTACAAAGGAACGTAGGAGCGCTAGGGAGGGTTCGCTAGTACTCTTTTTGCTACGCAAGCGACAGTCTTTATACTACGGTACGAAGGCACGTAGGAGCGCTAGGGAGGTCCGAGGGGATCTACTTCGAGTAATTTCTACCATATTTCGAACCCGGTAACTTGTACTAATTAGACCTACTAAAACCTACAACACCCAGCCTCAGGAGTACTCCTACCCCTTCCTATCCGGTACCCTAGCGAGGATAAGAAGTGTTAATTAGTTCGAAATAGAATAGATAGGAGAGCCTTCTAAACTTAACAGATAAGCCTCGGAAAGGAGTGTGGATAGGAAAGGACGGGAGTGGAACGGACGGGAGATACCATACACTGAATGTCCCCAGGCTTAAAGAAGTTGGCTTATCTCACAATGTAACTTAGCCATCTGGTCCATCCCAGACGATCTACTTTTATGACCTTGCTGGGAGGATTTGTCTCATTTTGGTTCTTGCAGGCGGGTTCAGGTCTAGTCCTCACTTCTAACAATAACTCTGGGTTCACAAACCAGGGCGGGTCCGAGTGCCATTCCAACAACTTTCTGATTGTCCTTCTTAGAAGTTAGACACATGAGAAAGAAGCCAGTTATCTAGAACGATTCCCATATATCCTTACCCCGCTACGCTCAGACTCCCACCTTGTATTCTTAATAGCACTAACCTCCTTGATCACGAAACCGGTTATTTGGTAGGAACCCTTATATTGATTTCTGCACTTGCTATATGAGCAGTAGTTGAATGCGTCGTCTCTACAAGAACCATCGTCGTATTCGCACCCCTGGAGATAATCTATGTAACACAAATAGACTTATTAATCCTTTCTCTACCTAGTCCAAGAACCATAATTATTGAAGTAGTTGGCTTCATGTTCATCCGATACTGAAAAAGTCCAGGAAACATGGTAGCAAGGAGAAAGACAAGGAGAAGGGAGAATAAGATTCGCATCTTCTTTTGTACAGTAGGTAATAAGTTGCGAGTTTCAGATGTCGTACTTGTGATTAGTGAGCAGTAAGGGGAGCCTACTTAATACGGTGGTATTTCTCTCGCTTACTCATTTCTACGATAACACTCTCACTCCAATTGGCCGGACTAAACCTTGCAAACTACTCGGAGTAGATTACTAGAACCAATATTCCGATGTTTTTATTCTTCCAAACTGATTTATATGGTACAACGAGACATTCGATAAAGCATCTAACGAGGACCCTTCTCGCACCACGCTGGATTTCACAAATTGACAGGAAGCCAAACAACTTTGTGACCCCGTCTCAATGAAAGGTTGGTGGAAAGCAGCCTTCAGGATTTCGAAATTAGCCAATCCTTCAGTATAACAGCAGCAATGATGCTGAAGCCCTCTTAGAAGAATGCTCAGCCCTAGCAAAGAAACCTTTTGTCATTAATTCTGTCGAGACACAACTTCAACATCCTGAAGATTTCTCCCATTGCTCCACTTTGGCTATCCCGTCTAACTGAATATGGAGCTCGTACGGACTCTCGGCTATATTTATCTCGAATTGTAGGATACGGTATCGCAGGTCGTTTGGTCGTGAGCTCATACGCAGGCGTTAAATCCATTCCGCAGAGAGTTTAGGGAATTTGGTGGCAACACCTTCCACACCTTTCCTCAAATCTTCAATGATACACGCTCGAAGGATTCCAAACATGAAGCGAAGTATGTTATAGGTATCGCTGTCACTTGTAAAGAACCAATGTCTGCGCCGATAGTTGGTGCCTATGAATTTCGTTGGGTATTGTAGTACTCAAGAGTTTGACATAATATTTCCAGCTACACTCATAGATTCTGGGAAATTTGGCGAAGCATTCGTTTTGGGATACTAAGGTTTCTTTTAGCCTGGAGGATCGAGACGTTTGAAGATTCATTTACCAGATTCGTGCGCAATTCCCATCGGTATGGATTTGGCTATAGCTAATATGTTGCAAGTAGGAAAACATCTTGGAAGGGTCAGCTAAGGAGCCCGGCGTACGAAAAAAAATTAACCACTCGACTACTCGACTACTCGGGTAGAGTAGAGTAGAGTAGCCGATCCCACTAATTAAGTAGTAATAAGTACTGAATTTGACTACTCGAGTAGTAGTAACGTGACTAATGGAACTAAAGTACAGTAATCTAACAAAATAATTGTCCTAAATAGTAGCTCTCTTATCTCCCTTGTCTCCTGTCCCTTGTCTTTCTCTATAAAAAATACCCTAACTTTGAAGGCTTGTTATCACCTCAATTGTCTCTTCAAATAGAAGCGTTGCTCCGATATAATTTACTATCGCTTATACCTTATACAGGGGCCCCGGCTAAGCCCGAGCTGTCGGCCCGGCCGGACTGGCTCGGCCCAACCTACTCCGTACTACTTGAGTAGTATTCAAGTACAAGTAGTACTTGAGGACTTAGCGAGTAGTAAGAAGTAGGTGCTACTACTCTACTCTGCTCTACTCGTTCCATACGCTGAAGAAGCTAGATGATTGCTATTGCCAAAGTCATCCTTACAGCTGCAATTGTCATTCACACATAGAATGTGACATTCCTGTGAAGAACCAAAAGTTTCTCGTTCAGAAGATAGAGATGGCTTGACTGGTTCGGAATTCAATGATAATGGCTGGTAAGCATCCCGTAACGGTGTGAGAAGGTTATTTCTCTTTTGCTCCTTTTGTGCTGGCATTCGGAGCAGATCTTTTTGGTACTTTTCCAACGTTCGTATTTTTGTATATTGGCGCAATGATGGAAGCCGTGTTATACGAACGATTTGACGAAGTAGGAAAGCCCGCTGGCTGTTTTGGGGGTGAGAACATTGTTTCCCCAGAAGTAGTTTCCAAGATTCGGTGATAAGTTCCAGCATCCTGGTATGTTCCGCCTATATCGGTGTTCGGCTGAGCATAAGAAAAGGTTGGAAGCTTTGCGTAGGGGAACGGGTCTTTCGCTTTCTGAATTGCTCTCTCCCAGACTGAATTCTTGCATGTCTTTGCCTCTTGGGCATTCATCCCTTTGGCAAGTAGTCCAGCTTGGAGTCTACTCAGGATATTTTCGGTGTTAGCTCGTTCATTGGCTTGTAGCGACGCAATGCTGTCCTTGATAAGCTGACTTATCTCCTCCTGGTTCTTCCGCAATTCTTTTTGCTCCTTCTTTTGCTGTTCGATGATGCCCTCGAGCTTTGTAGTCTGCTCTCTCTGTGATTTGCTTCGTATGAGGTCGAGTATGAGACTGATCCTTTGGCGATGGCCTCCAAATTTCGATAGTAGTTCGTCAAAACGCTTCTTGTCTTTCAAGTAGCGAAGCCTGTTGCTCAGTATGGCTGTTGGGTCGCGGTACGCTTTAAGTATACTTCTGATCTCTTTCAAATTGGATTTGAGAGGCGATAGAGTACTCCGAACTATGGAGGCTCTTGAAATGGTATCAGTAGACGATAGGTATTGTAGTTTGGTGAAGTTACTTACATGTCAGATCTTTCCTTTATAAATATTGCCTCGTCCCCAATTTGATCCTTCAGAACTCGAACAGTCTTTTTCATGAGCTTAATCTCCTTTTCCGCAACTTGAAGGCTCTCCCCTGCATTGCGAGCAGTTCTGCAGAGTGAGATCGTACCCTTGATAATATGCCAGATATCCACAACTCCAACTCCGAAAAAAGACATGTCGATTTATTTCTAATATTGGTGCTGCGAACTTGTTCACTTGAGATTTGTGCACATCGACAAACGGGTCTCCTAAGAATCTCGCAAGACGAAGACTTACCAACGAATCTTCTAAGCATTCCCTATACGAGCAATGAGGCTGGCAACTAACTCAGCCCTCGGTGAAGCTGCAAGTTGAAGGGCTGCCTTGAGTTGCCTCATATGCCTTGCAGCTTCGAAAGCCAATTTGCTCACTATTCAGGCTAATTCTTATGTACAGCGGTACTGGGCTGTCGCTGCATTGAGCGTTACATTCTACCTGGTGAGATATTCTTTGGTAGACACATCAAATTGGAACTCCCAAAGAAATCTAGAAGCCGTCCAAAAGTCGACTGACAGAGGATGAACAACTACCTTCTTTATACAACTGAAATATAATCTGGTGGATTGACAGGAGCCTACCTACCATTTTCTGGAGAGTTTGAGCTACCCCCTAACGTGCCCTTAAACTTTAAGTCAAAGACAGTTTTCAAGTCAATCTCTCCCTGGGTATGAGCAAAACCACTCGTCGCATACTATAGGACCAGGTAACTACAGACCAGGGAAACCTGCAGCCGAGTTGGATTCAGTGGCAACGATTCTCCTGGGCGGTTGAAAGCAAATAGACCATGTATCTATCTATCAGCTTGCATCTGAATGAAGACATGATTTGTTGGTGTTCCCCTTGGTCTAGCCAATAGCCCACCAAAGAACCGCCGTGGTAACTGCATCGTGGAAACCAATCCATGTCCAGTTCGAGGATGTTTATGAGTCGAGGAGATTTGGTTGCAACTACATTGAATATCCCATGAAGAAAAGAAATGGTAAAATCAACCATCGAGACTCATTGATTTAAGCATGATACTGCTATCTTCTGCATCCTGATGAGGATGATCGAATTGGACGAGTTCCACTTGAACTGAATGGGCTGGGGAAAGAGTGAGTGTGGTTATTGTGGGCCTGAGGCAACAAGGACTGACCCATGACATGGGCTCACATGCAACTGCCATGGACGGGAGCTGAGCTCTTAAGCTCCCCCAAGCTTCTTCCTCAATATCAACATCACAGCTTCATAAAAACCAACCACCACTATGGCACCTCTTACCAAAATACTCTCTATTCTCACAGCATCTACTCTCGTCACCTCCTCCATAATCCAAATTCCATCTACCACTTCCAAACCACACACCACCTCCGACGACGATGACAACGACACTCCCCTCCCGCTCATAATCTGGCATGGCCTCGGCGACAACTACGCAGCAGAAGGTCTCCAATCCGTAGCCACCCTCGCCGAAGAGATCAATCCAGGAACACTAACCTACTTAATCCGCCTCGGCGCTGACCCCTCCGCCGACCGCTCCGCGACGTTCTTCGGAAACACAACGCTGCAGATAGAACAAGTATGCGCCGACCTAGCCGCACATCCCATTCTCTCCACCGCACCCGCCGTTGACGCCCTAGGTTTCTCCCAGGGCGGCCAGTTACTACGCGGATACATAGAGCGGTGTAATTTCCCGCCTGTACGAAGTCTCGTTACCTTTGGAAGTCAACATAACGGGATATCCGAGTTCCAGAAGTGCGGAAGTATGGATTGGTTGTGCAAAGGAGCTGAGGGATTACTGCGATCAAACACCTGGTCGAGTTTCGTGCAGAGTCGATTAGTACCCGCCCAGTACTTTAGAGATCCGATGCAAATGGAGGACTACCTCCTATATTCCAATTTCTTGGCCGATATAAACAATGAGCGGGCTTTGAAGAACCAGACCTACAAGGAGAATTTAGAGAAGTTGGAGAGGTTTGTCATGTACCTTTTCGAAGACGATGAGACTGTTATTCCGAAGGAGACCGGGTGGTTTGCTGAGGTTAATGGGACTGAGGTCACTCAGTTGAAAGACAGAGACATTTATACAGAAGACTGGATTGGATTGAAGACCCTAGATAAGAAGGGGGCTTTGAAGTTTGAGCTTACTGAAGGAGGTCATATGAGTCTAAGTGATGAGCTTCTTGAAGGTGTATTCAAGAAGTATTATGGTCCTTATGGAAGGAAATTCGACACAGAGGGCGAGGAGGTTCTTAGCTATTCTTGGCAGCAGGATTTGTGATATTCTCATGGGTAGCATACGGGGTTTTTGATTTGAATACCAGATTATATTATTGGCACTAGGAGTTTGTCGTGAGAAAATCCTTGCCTTGAAGGTTGCCTGATCTTGTTCTTCCATAACTACCTACTGTAGCAAAAATTTCGAAAAGAGATGCACATTTTTGTTCCAACGCCACAAAAATCAACATGGTCCAATTTGCCGCCTTCCACCGTACTCCAAGACGCCCATTAATGTATCAACAATCTTATCATTACAGAGAGAAGTCTTCAAGTAGATACTCTCTTCGCCTTCTTGGCATTTTTGGACGCTTTGGAGACGTCGTCAACCACATCTTTAGCAGCTTCCTCTTTTTGCTTCTTCAATTTTTCCTTTCTTAATGCAATTTCCTTGTCCAAAGTATCATCGTTGCTCTCAGGGAGGATCTTTTGTTTCTTCGGTGTCTTCATCCTTTCGGTCTTCGTAGCCTCCGGCTCCGCTTGCTCGACTGCTTTACGCTTCTTTCCAACATTCGCCTTGGCAACCTCCTCCGCTTGTTCATCATTCAAGATATCCTTCTCATCAACCCACAATTCATCAGCCAGCCAGATTGGGAGGGCGGCTGTGGATTCGCCTTTGACATACAGAGCCTTGACACCTCTCCATTTTTGCGGGACATGCTTCTCGATCAGCGCATTGGCGGCAGCCTCGATATTTTCGGCAAGTTTTTGTGAATCCCAGTTGGAGTAACCGATTCTGATGGATGTAGATGCGGTTGGCGACAGATACACGGAAGTTCCTCCAAGCGCCTTCTCTATCTCTTGCGCGACCTTCTGCGGAGTTCCAACACTTTCAGGTCCTTTAGTACGGGGACTTGCTCTCGAAACAGCGGCTGTGAGGGAAACTGGAATTGGTCGTTTGGCGGTGCCTTTGTATAACGTCTTTCCGAGGTATTTTGGCAAGTAGGTAACGATACGCTCATCAGCAAGGAAAATATCATGCTCTGACTTGAGCTTTCTTTGGTTCTCGTATTGGTTGTATTTTGCCTTGATTTTTTCAATCCCCACGACCTTGGTGATCCTGGCGCCTAGCGCAGCTGGAAATGCGGGGGAGGCGACGATATCCTTGAATTGGCGTTGAGGATCGGCGGTAATGAGACATATTGTTGTGTTCTCGGAGGCGTTGAGTGAGTGAGGAATTGCGATCTTGCTAGGCTTCAGGCGCTTCTTGTCGACGATGTGCTTTTTGGTGGAGAGAGTGAGCCAGATTGGGCTGGCAGTCTCGTCGTCCTCCTCATCGGCTATTAAACTCTTCTTCTCGTTTGACTTTGATTCCTCCTTCTTTGCTGCAGCCATATGGGTGAGGAGGGCTTTCGATGCTTTCAGTACCTGACACAAATTAGGTCAAGGTTATCTCCATGAAGCTCGCAGTTCTTACCTGCTCAGAACTGAGCTGATACGGAGAGCCGCTCTCGACCTTGGTAGTCAATGGTTTCGAAGTTGACGCCATTTTACTGATCTGCACAATCGTTGATTGCTGTTGTGGGATTGAAGGTAGCTTATTTGCGGTCGGCGCAATCGTGAAATGTTCAAGCTTTGGAGTCTGCCCGCAAAGTCGTTTGGTTAATTTTTTTTCTGGACCGTCGCTGAAAGTTTTCCCGGGCCGAAGCCTTTCCTGATTATGATTAGGGCGGCAGACGGCCCGTTGGGATGACTAATCAAGTGCCCCTCCTGAGCCGAGGTCTTCGATAACAAGCGAGCTATTTTTATTTACTCGACACCCCTGATGAAGCTACAAGATCTAATAATGTTCAACAGCTTTGATCGAGAAGGGAAAAGACAAGACTTATGAGTAGATGAGTTGCCACCTTAGGTAAACTTTCATCCCAGTCTACCTATGACTAGTCTTCGGAGGTTGAACATCCACACCACTCGTTCATTACCTTATTGACACACTGGCTGGAACAACCTCGATTTATTGCAAAGTTGTAAGAGAGGCAACCAATCTACACGAATCATTTTCCAACTATATCTATATTTTCAATGTATATATCATGTTTTGATAATTAAAGATGAGCACGTGTTTGCATAGTTAGGCACGCCCGACTGCACAAGCGTGGGGATAACTTTTATACTGCCGCTCTCACACTCACCGCTGTCGAAAGCGACAGCCATCACCCTTCACCATCTCGCAGCAATTCTCCTCTTTCTGCAGAAGAAAATCTTGGAAAAAATTGTGCATGCACAGCAGTGGATGTAAGATGGAGTCGACGCCGAGCACAATCACATTATTCAGGAGCAAATGGATGGCACGTTCTGTACGGGCGAGTGCTTGTCTCAGCGCGTGAGCTAGCGGGACTCCCAGCCTCCATCCGGGATAAGACGAGAAGCTCGTCAGGGTCCAACAACGCGTTGACTATTCTACCGGCCACGAGAACCACGTCTTTCTTCGATGCAAATGCTCCCCAAATGCTTCCATTTTTGAATTTGAATCCTCTCAGCTATTCCGACAAGTTTAAATGGAATTTTTAGGTGTGGGGGAAGTGTAAAAACAGTGTTCGCTGCACGTCATTCCCTGCCCCAGGCCAGCCCGCCAGCCCACCAGCCCAGGAAAATCGCTTAATTCCTTCAACGCGCTGAAGCTCCCAGCGCGACTACGACACGACAAATCCACTCTCTTAAGGCCCGGCCTTCTTCGTGACCTCCAACTCTTCACCCTTTTCCATATTTTTCCAATCCCAACTTTATCCTCGATTCCTTTTTGCTGCTGGGAATCCTCCTTCGGACTTTCCAATTCAGTCGATATCCATTATACGAGTCATCTCGGTCTCTCTTCCACCACCTCGCGTTTTTGTCTGGAACCGCGTGAGAAGTGTGCTTGCTGTTGGAAAGGTGTCCCTCGGTGTCCCTCGAGCAGTGGTCTGCCATGATGGACTCATCTCCAAGCAAGATGAACTCCCTCGCGAGCTTTCCCCCAGCAGCTGGAGTCAAGCGACCCGCTCCATCATTGCTACCCGCTTTCGAACCTCTCTCATCCTCCCCCGGACTTCCTCGGCCATCCAAGAGACGGGCTCAATCCTCTCCCCAACGAGAAGCAGCGTACGCCAAATATCCAACTCCAATTCCAACTTCTACCACAGGAATTCTCTTGTCTTCACCCCCGCGTGTTCAAGGCAGACCAAACTCGGATCGAGCCCACTCTTCAGTCTCGGAACGAGCTCCACTTTCCGATGTTCCCACTGTTCACCTATCCGACAATGGAGACATTCTACGAATGGGTAGATCAAGCAACTCCTCGCACTACCAATTGTCCGCCAATCGACTCATCTCACGCGTTCACGTCGAAGCTCGGTATATTCCCGCGTCCGTTCCCCTCGAGCCCAACAAGGTGGAAATCGTATGCAAAGGCTGGAATGGAGTCAAGCTACACTGCCAGGGAAGAACATGGGAATTGGCCAAGGACGATACCTTCACCTCCGAGACCGAATATGCCGAGATCATGTTGGACGTTCAAGACGCGCGTGTCATGATTGCGTGGCCAGGTATAGTCGAACGTAAGGAATCAGTTGGAGCAGACTCTTCGTGGGACGATGAGAATTCACCAACCAGAGCTCGCGTTACAGCTGTCAGTGCTGCAGGTCAAATCATTGATTCGAGTCCGTTACGCCGTGATCAAGCTCGTCTTGAGTCGCCAGTGTCGCCAACTCCTGCTGGACCAAGTATGTCTAGAACCAACTTGGCCGACCTGTTTTCGGATGATATAGAGCCAAGTGTGGTTAAGGTATATGAAGACTCTTCATCTCCCTCCCCAGAACAAGAACCGGAAGTCAATGTTGGACAATCAATGGTTTCTACGCAAGCTGCAACATCGTTCCCGGTTTCTCTCGAACATGGTCACTCCAGCGATCTTAGTGAACCCGAAGATGAGGAAGATGACCAAGACCCCGACGAAGAGAATGATCCCGTTGTACACTCATTCGGACCTTACGGCGCTAATATATCCTCTCGTATGGCCTCCTTCACAGCAACTGGATCACCAGAAATGCCACGAACCAAAAATTCCGCCAAATCTTCTAAGCCCGATTCAAGCTCCGAGAACATCAGCGAGGCCGAATCCATCCCAGTCGTCAACCATGTTGTAAACCAACTTGCCTTCTCTAGACTCTCCTCCACGCCATTGTCTGTAATCATGAACCACCTTCCAGCAGAAATCAAGGCAGGAGTTACAACCAACACAAATAGTGGACTCACCAAGAGCCAACTATGCAAGGTTCTCGATGCTGCCCCTTCCATTGGAAAGATTCGCCGTGAAGGAAAGGACGCCGCTGGCAAGCCACTCGAGAGCGAATATTATTACATTCCTGATATGGATACGGATGAGCAGCGAAGAGCAGCTGTTGTAGATGGCCTCAGAAAGCCAAGTTTGAGGAATTGCAGAAAGCATCACAAGGTAAATACCCATCAAATCGCATATCAAATATAAAGACTAATAATGATATAGCAATACTACTGGAAGCGACCACGTACTCCTTGAATCATGAATCTGTTGTCTATAACACTTTTCTCGTTACACCTCGTGTCACCAGCCCACCCCCTGTAAACCCTTTTTTTCTTCCTTTGGAGCCTAGATCTGGATGCTCTGACGTGTCATGATCCTTTTCTTTCTTGTCGTTTATACTTGTCATACCCAGCATAGCGAGGCGTCTTTTTTTTTTACAAAATTCCGGGGCCCCTACTCAGATACTGTCTGCTTTTAGTATTGGAACTTGGCTTTCAATTGGAGCGATGGATAGATCTCAAGACTGAAATCTTGGAGCTCTGGCTTTTTGTTGTATTGAATTATGTAGAAACGAAAATTACTAGGAAAAATTTCAGATATCTCTTCCAGTTTGATACATGTCCTAAAATCATGCTCCCCTGATTTCAATCCGTGTTCGTTCTATGGTACAAGAAAATATATCATATTTGAATGGGTCGCCAAAATGGTTGCATGGGTAAGGAGGTCCCTTGACGTAAATCATTTCCCCGCATTCTCGGCATCGGTGTTTCTCGCTTAAACCCCTGAAAAACTCTCGAATCAAAACGACTGTAGCTTCCCGTCCCAATCAAGACTTCCAATTCATCGCACCATCACTAAAACTGCCAATCACAAACCCGTTACCCCTCGTCTTGCTTTGGCAAATCATGTTTTTCCATCCTAATCGAGATCTCAACGGATAAGCTTCCAATGGAAGGCGCTCTAGGCGTTTGTTATCGCGGTACATGACGATGGGCTGAGAGGGGAGGGCTATGGTGTGACTTTGGGAGTTGGGAGTTCGCCACGTTGGATGGGGATAAGATGGCGAGTCTACGTGCGCTTTAAGTATTTGGAGACTGGATATCTCCAGACTTTAGCTACAGTACATTGAAATAAGTTCGTCTTCCTGTCTCCTTCCCATAACATATAATCCATCCCGTCCTCAGCCCAGTCCATCAAATCAATCTAACAGCCCTCCTTCTCTCATCTAGAACCTCCTCCAACAACAAAAACTCGAACTCAAAACCACCAGAAAACGAAATGACAACACAAACCAAAACCGCTGAGTCCTCCTCCTCCCCTCCATCCATCGCGATCCCGGATCGACGACGCAATTCTATCGGAGAACACTTGCATAGTCCCAATGAAACTTGGCGGCCTAGTGCGACGAGACGGCAGAGTTGGGATCGGGAGGCCTTGAAGAGGGAGGTTTATGTTAAGCAGATGGGTCCTGGTGGTGGGAAGGGGGATGGGATGGGGTTTACGGAGATTGATGAGGAGAAGTAGGTGTGGGGTGGAATGTTGGGGGGGGGAGGTTGGAGTGTGATGGTAATGAGGAGGGGTATGGGATGATGTGTGCGAGTTTGGATTATTTACTTGTCGTATATGAGGAAGAGATTGTTCGTGCGAGGATGATGGGATGTTGATGCTTTGCTGCTTGTATGTTGAGTGATAGGCTAGCATTTGAGAATAATGGTTAACTGAGGGAGGAGGTGTACTGCCGGAACGTTATTTGGTTGTTGGAGGGAATCACGAAGTATTTTCGAGGCACCAGGTGGGAGGTTTATCATCAACGTACTCGAGGACGTGGCTGGGTTAGGTCGGACAACCAAAAGTACTGTTTAAGTTTAGAATAATCCAAGGTTTTCTCAACCACCTTCGACTGATAACTTCCAACTGTGGTGAGTGTCTCGGGAGCAATGACAAGCCCTCTGTTTTGGATGAATAATCTTGTCCTTATTCATAAATTGATTACCATTCATAGATACCAACTCTGACTCATGGGTCTTTACCCCTAACGAATATAAAGACTCGATAACGGTTCAGGCTTCCTAGTCTTCTTTCCTACCTCCTTCTAGCAAACTCTTAGTTCACACAAATGCAGTCAACTGATTTTCCCCTAAAAGCACACCATATCTTCTGTTACATAAACACAGGAGTGACTCAAAGTTCTAGCGGGAAGATGTATCGAGTTTAACGAGCGGAAGTCCAACCAAATTCCTTGACTTAGAAGACATCTGAAAAAGTCGGATTTGTGTAAGATCTATATCTCAAATTTGTTTTACTCTTTTAGCTTGACTTTCTACGTTAAAAATACCAACCTTTCGACTCCATATACATTAGAGCTTTATTTCGAGGGTTTTCTTTGAAGGAAATGTCTGGCTGATCCTCACAGGTATAGCTATATATCTAGAAATTGTTAGAGTTGATTCAAAGGGGTTGTTTTCACCTCTGAAAAACACTTATCGCCACGATTCCTGATGACTGATCAGAATAGAGATTTTGTATTTTCTGATAACCTGGGTATTGATCATCAAGAGGAAGACGGTTAATATATGTCTCTCAAGGATTTATCATATATTCACTTGTGGGAATAAATCTATTTGATTGGAATTACAAAAACAAGTCAAGGGACTCGGCTGGTTGTGAAAATGGCGTTACCATTCATAGACGATTGGACTAACAAGTCGATATATGATCTATAAATTCCTACTGATTCCTCTTAACCTCTTTAAATTCTTGGTCCCCTTTTATCTATTTACACCCTTTTAAAACAAAACGCAATCAGTCTCTTCGAGTACAGAGAACTCATTTGAATCAGAGTTCAAACAACATACCCTTAAAAACATGTCATGCTTCGGGGAAACCTATGATCAACTTGACCAGCCTGGCCAACCTAGCCGAACCATTCAACATGGTCAACGACGAGCTTTACAGCAACGTGGATGTGTTGGAAACCTCGTCGAACAAACGATCAAGCATAGCGATGGATCTTATCGAAGAATATTCCGATGGAGCCGTTCACCACCTAAAAACAGCATTGCCAGAGCGTCAGCTGCGACGCAGGGTAATCTATTCGGCCCTGCCGTGGCCGATTTGGCATCTTCGACAACCGATTTGGCATCTTCGACAACCGAGGCAAGGTCGGAAGAACGCGAGTGCTCCATATGTTTAAGGGACTACGAAGATTGGAAGCAGATGGATGTAGTTGTGGATGACTGCCGTCATGAATTTTGCGTTGATTGCATTCTTGGTTGGATATATCACACTCTACAAAAGAACGTGGAGATTTCGGAACACAACCAGCTTTACGCATAATTCCCGCAGTTTCAACTAGACACAATGGGCTTTGATTGTCCGTATTGTCGTGAGGAGATAGGTGGTTTGACGTTCAACCCTGAGATGAATAAAGGATTGCGGTCGAGGGCGATTGATCAGGAGAACGCTCACCTCAAGCGGCTTGAAAAGGTGGGACTTGCCTACTTTCAGATACGGCAGGAAAATCAAGTCGTTTATTTGAGCTTGAGACCTTTCTTACAAGCTTTATTGGAGGATTCTCGCATTAGTGGTTTGGATGATTCTGCTCGTGATATACTTCAGGGGTTTGTTGATAGAGGGTTCTTAAGGGGTGAAGGTGGCTCAGTGTCATGGTTTGTATCGCATCTGTTCTTAGATCAAATGAAAGGGATCGATTAGGCATGAATCCATTGGAGATATATCTATGGAACAAACCTACTACTACGAAGCATGAACCTCAGATTCTTTTGTTTGCAATTTCATATCTTTGTTTATGTTTGTTTCCAGCTAGCAGTAATATTCATACTTTAATACCAAATTTGTTCTAAACGTGGAGAAGCATAACTGTTTAGTAGTGTGTCGTTTTATGAGAGTGTATTTTCAGGACTTTTGAAACGTGCAGGCACCTTCTAAAGCCATCACTACATAGAAAGACTAAAGATCAACGAAAAGGTATAGAGAAAATAATTCCTAAAAGTAGACAAATAGGTTATTGGGAGGTAGGCTTATATTCAGCTCCTGTAACTGTCGAGTATACGGGGATATGTCTTTAGGAGAATGGACTGTATACGTTCTTGTGTCAGTTGATATTAGCTCTAAATGTACTCACATTAGTTAGAACTGATGAGAGCCCTCGTTCTTCCTTCTAGACAACATACTATGGCACAAACCACATGCGTAAGTAACCCTAAGCGACTGTAAGGATGCCATTGCCACAGTAAGGGCAAAGGTAGTGAGAGTGGTGGGTGTGTGCGTGAAAATTTAATGCTTGGTCCCACGTGTAGGGGTATTATCGTAGCTATAAAGGTAAATTATAAAGCTTTTGTGATTCACGATTTAATCGTTGTTGGCCTAACTGTGCGATTAGGATACATCTGCATATAGTAGATGCCATATTAGACAATAACATGGCCCAAGATTCACTCAAGTTGAGGAACTGTACTGGATGCAGAAGAAGGATTACCATTCACATACGAGGACGTTGCAAGATTTATAAACCCATAATGCTTCTTCCACTTCCACTTCTAGAACCTCACTTCTCTCGATACATATTTTCAGACATCACACAGTCTCCTCAAATACTAGCAACCCCTTTCCATTTATCACAATACAATACCAACATACCCCTGCAAACATGGCATCTTCAACTGGGGACAATGGCCAATACCACCAAAGCAAGAATATGCAACACAATCAACAAGAAGCTGTCCCACACCACAATTTCATTGAACGAGCTTTCAAGCAACCATATCGAAAGATTTTCTGAGGGGGTAAGACAAGTGAGACAAGTAAGACAAGTAGGACAAGCAAGAAAACTTGTTCTATTTGTAGCAAGGACCACGAACAGTTGGAATGGAGGGTGGCAGTTTTGAATCCATGCCGTCATGAATTCTACATCGACTGCATTCTCGCTCGGATAAGCTCGACGTGGTGGGCGAACTCGGACTTTGAGCTCCAACACTCGTCGACTCAGATACCAGCTGAAAAAAGGGAAATGGAGACCATGTCGTTGGCTTGTCCAATTCCGTCTTGCAGCGCGAATATTGAGGGAATAGAGTTCGACACGAAGATTGTTGAAATTTTGATTTCAGAAAAAAACAATTACTGTAAGGCGTTGCTTCTGACAACCGGACGTGCCTATTTTGAGGCGAGGGAGAAACACCCAAATGTTGGCCAAGACTTACGACCCTTTTTTGTGGGTTTGTTGAAGGAATATCCTAGAGAGTAACTGAGTCAATCCTTTATTCAAGGGAATTCATATGTTTGGAAGGATTACTACGAGATGAATGGGGAAGATGCTCCGATCGCTCAGTTGATCACAGAACTGGAGGGCAAGCGCCCGTCACCTTATGAGGACTACTGAGTACAGATCTTGAAATTGGCTGTTTGTACTTATATCTTTTCTCTCTTATTTTTGTTTGGCGGCAGTGCCTCCTACTTCAATAATATTAGATTTTCAATAATTAATATTTTCTAGACCTCGAGAATTTCATGATCATTTGAACGGTATGGTTCTATAAGAATTTTTTGAGATTGCGTGTAAGCCTCCCGAGCCTGTTTAAAAGCGGCAATCATCATTAGCACAATGCCACAACCAAAGACTCTTCGTCAATCTAAAGGTGTACAGGAAATATTGCGTTATGATAGGCGGACGTATCATTGAGAGGTAGGCTTGTGAATTTATATGCTGAACTGTCGAATACACGGAGCCGTGTTCTTACGAAGATGGCTGATGGCACAGTCTTGTATGAGTTGATATTGGCTCTTCATTTAATCACAGTGGTTAGAAATTACAGAAGAGCCATTCAACACTCAGCAAGTGATATTATCGATCCTTGATTGTGACTTAATGTCTGAGTCAGTGTTGATTGTGTAGGGTGAGCGAAAGCCATTTAGTGAAGAAGGCTCTGATGACTCAGAGAACTTCAATCTAGTAGATAAATACTTATCACGTACCCCAGTTTCCAACTTGTCGGCTTCTGCCAAAATTCTCCAAATTCGCTTGACCCATCAACATCTTTACTCAAACATAATTAAGTAGTACACTTGTCGAGCCCAACAGAAAAACTACTACAAACATGACATAACCAAAAAACCCGTAATCTCGTTGAGTGAACGAACAAGTACCCGGATGGAAGCCTACGGTTCCTCAGACGATATCGCTCACCAGTTTCTAACGATGAATGATGTTGCCCTGTATGTCAATCTCCCTACCCAGATTGGAAATGGAAGGGAATGGTAGTAGAGTCATGTGGTCATGAAACATGTGCTTTGTGTATCCTCAATCTTATGGAAAAATCAATCGTGGTAGACAAGGATTCGGAGGCAATTTCAAAAATTTGATAACACAGGCTCGACAGGTAGTTAGGACTTAATTCAAAAAGAGAATGCGGTGCTCGTGGGGGATAGAAATCGTGACTGTGAATGACTTCGACGGTGAACCAGATTACAGGAGAATCCCAAATGTAAGGGCAAGCGCGGGCCCTGGGCGCCACGAATCCCAATGCGCTGAAGTGGACCGTTCGCGGGAGAGCGGCAAACGGGTAGAAATAAACGTCGCCGAGATTGCTTGTTTTAGCGAGGAATCGTAAATAGAGTTTGATATTCAAGCGAAGAAGATCGCTTGTTCGAACCTTGAATGTTCTAGAAAACTAGAACGGCAACTTCGACATCTACTAGTGTATACCTACTTACGTTCCTTTTCTGCTTGAAAGATCCTGGAGTCCTCGTGCTGTAGACTCTACTCTAGCATTGGGAGGATCTCCAGCCGAGTTTTATCTGTGCTTACGTATGTTTGTTGTTTCATGAAATGAACTGGGCACCAAAATCCACCAGCCAGGTTGGTTATCTCGGTCAGAGTGGATCCTTCCATCGCCTGCAGCAAAATTCGTCTGTCGCCCAATGATGGATTGCATTATGTGCAGGAAATAGATGAGAGTCAGCCGTCACTATGTTTCGAAAAATGTTTTTCCGTCCGTTCATGGACATGAGTTTTGGTGGATCCTTGCTTTATTACCGCTCTCCGTTCAGAAATATCCCAATTGCATCCTGCGCGCTTACATTCCATAGGCCTTGAATTTCTGATGATTTACCACTTTGGAAGAAAATCCATGGGCTCATATGGTGATTATACTATATCTGGTGCAATAACCACTCTCGGCACTCCCAAATAACGCCATTGGTGGGTCCCTCTTTCCTAGTGATCACTTTCACCCCTTGCAACCTCATGTGGGAGAAGCAATAACAACGTGAATATCAGAATTTGACACTGCTGGTGGAATCGTGAGCCCATATATTTCATCGATTTGGTCCAATCGAAAGGCAGCAAGGATGTTGAAGTCATACATCGTGGGTCTGGTTGCGGTCCCGTTCGCACAGCGAATTTCCCCTTTCAGGGCCACTATTGTTGGTTCTCGATATGTATAAGACCTCACATCTCGAAATGATTTACTCTTTCTCTCTACATCCTCACATTCTTTGTCGATCCCGCTCACTACAGATCACCCACACTCTTTACCAACTAGGATATCTCTTCATCGATTGAAGCCGGCACATATTCTTGACTTTCATCTCTCATTAAAAGCAAACACTATCACCGCTGAGCGAATTGATATACCTACCTTCAAAAATGTCCTTCTCAAAGATCTCCGCTGTTGCAAGCGCAATTGCTTTCGCAACCAAAGTTGCAGCCCACGGCACAGTTTCTGGTGTCGTTGCTAATGGAGTTTAGTAAGTATCCATTGATTCAGCACAATTCGTTTCTCTACTAACAATAATAGTTACCCAGGCTACAACGCTAACTTCCAGTATATGGCTACTGCACCAGTAGTTGTGGGTTGGTCTACTCCTCGAGATCAAGACAATGGCTTCATCTCCCCAGACCAGTACTCTTCACCTGATATCATTTGCCACCGCGGCGCTACGAACGCTGGAACCTCAGCAAAGGTGGCCGCAGGAGGAAAGATTGATTTGCAATGGACTACATGGCCCGAGTCTCATCACGGTCCAATGATTGGTTAGTTGAGGTCTTCGAAGCTTGAGTTCGACAGCTAACATGTATTAGACTACCTAGCAAACTGCAATGGTGACTGCACAACCGTTGACAAGACTGCTTTGGCGTTTTTCAAGATCGATGGAGTTGGACTTATCGATGGCAGTGCTGCACCAGGAAAGTGGGCATCCGATGAAATGATTGCAAACAACAACACTTGGTCTGTCACCATCCCATCCGACATTGCTCCAGGAAGCTATGTTCTCCGTCACGAGTCCATTGCTTTGCACTCGGCTGGCTCGTCCGGCGGTGCTCAAAACTACCCACAATGTATCAACTTGGAAATCACCGGTTCTGGTACCGCAACCCCATCTGGAGTTAAGGGAACAGCTTTGTATACCGCTACCGACCCAGGTATTTTGATCAACATCTACACCGCTCTTGCCAGCTACATTGTCCCAGGCCCAGCACTTTTCTCTGGTGCATCAAGCGGATCGTCTAGCAGCGCACCAACCGTCGTAGCAGCAAGTAGCAAGGCTCCAGCAGCTTCATCCTCCACCCCAGCAGTTACCAAGGCACCTGTTGCTTCGCCAAAGCCTACCTCCGTTGGAGCACCATTTTCAAACAGTACTTCCACAAAGGCATCAGCTTGTAAGGTTAAAACCAGTGGCAGCGTCCCAGTAGCATCTGCTAAAGCAAACTTAGCTCCTTCAAGCGTCCCAGAGCAAGCCACTCCCGTGACTATCCCAACCGTCTCAAGCTCTGCATCCAAGGCTTCCGCAACAAACACCAAAACCCCTTCATCAGGCTCTCCAGTCAAGGCTCCTTCATCTGATGACTCCAACCAGACTCCTTCCTCTGGTGGCTCGATCAAGACCCCTTCATCCGGTGACTCCACCACCAAATCTCCAAAACCCGCAACATCATCCGCCGCCGCTGGTTCAACCAGCGCTCCAGAGGGAACCACTCTTGCAACTCTCTTGTCCTGGGTCTCTTCATTCTACACCAAGCATGCAGATACTGAGTTCACCGGGGCTACCATTGCTCGTCGCGCACATGCACGAGATGTCGTTGTAAAGCGTGCTGGAGGAAAATTCCGCTTGGGTGGCAACTAAGCCCCGACGAGAATCTCAACATCGAATTTCCAAACACCGAGTCCGGCGTTGGTATTTTGATATGGATATGAATATGGTTTCATGATAGTGATTCTGCTTCTTGTATATATCACCGTGCACTTGCACTTCTTTGGCTCTTTTGAGTCTGCTTCAATTTTCTTTTGTATACTTTACCAATGCTAGAATCTTGTTCTTTAGCCAATCAATGATGGCGTACAAATAAAAGCGCTTTCTCATTAAATCACCCCTTGCCATCTTTCAATCTGTGATGTGACATAATGACACTGACATTGGAGTTTGCTTCCACAAGTTTCCACCAATCATAGAATCATATTAGTCAGCTAACCTTCAATTTGTAGAGGGATTTTCCTGACTTGAGCTTACGTTTTCAAAAGCCTGCCCAAGTTCAGCATATCTCATAATGGAATATAATGAAGATGGACCAATCCTCAAGCCTCTCCTTATTATAAGGAAGACCTCGTCTCAAGAGGGGATTCCAAAAGAATTTTCCCTCCTCCCAAACGGCAAACTCTTTTACGAACACTCTCTTCAAACTCTCCACGAAGCTCTACCACGTGCTGAAGTAATATACGTCTCCATCCATTCAGAATCACAAAAAGTTGCTCTTACAACTAAAAACTTACACCGCCAATCTGATCATCATGATCACAACCACGATCATGATCATGACCATGGCCCACAAAAGTTCCCCACCGTGGAATTTATTCTCTACGAAGAACAACAGGATACTTCTGGACCTATCACAGCTCTACAAGCAGCTCACATGAAACATCCCGAATCGAAGTTTCTGGTTACTAGTTGTGATTTCCCCTCGCTGGGACCTGCGGCTTTACAACAACTTATTTTGGAGTACGAAGAGCCGGTTACTTGTTTTGTGAATGGGAGGGGGGATATTGAACCCTTGATAGGGATTTGGGGACCAGGAGCTTCGGGGAAACTGGATGTGAAGAGGAATCTGGAGGATTTGGTGAGAGACCTAGGTGGGAAGATTGTTAAGCCTTTGAGAGATGAGTGGGTGAGGGGTCTTGAGAGTGAGGAGGAATCGGTATAATTTATGCGTGGAAGTAGTGACTAGATTACAGGTAGCCTCAAGGGTTGTGATACCACCATAGACTAATCTTGACCACCAGACTGGTACTCACTATACACAATTAGATACAAGTCCGCCTAACTCATAGCCCCCCCCCGCCCTCCTGGTGGGCAAGAAAAGTGGTAGAGACCTCTTTTTTCTTATCCTAACCTGACTAAAATCGTTATATTATATTATTTATTTAGAACAATCAAAGTGATTTATCGAAAACGATAGCACAATAAAGACAATTGTTCTAGAGATTTTAAATATTTTAGTACAGTACTTAGAATGAACTTGCGCTAATAGTCCAAAAAATGAATCTCTGCTACTTTTCTCGTCCACCGGGAGCCCCTAATATCAAAATTCACTCACGCGACACTTTCGCTTACCTCTCGTCTAACCCCCAAGGCCACTACTCCCCTCCTCCCAAGATACTCAACAAAAAAGATCAAAAACCAACCAAAAAAACAGCAAAACTCCAAGCCGTCCCCTTCGATCCAGTACAACAATGTTGTAGTAGGAGAAGGTTCACGGCTCTTAGAAAATCCCAGGGATAGGGGCAGGGATTTTTGAAGGTAAAACATGCTTTAACGCTGATGTGTCGCGCCCACACCAACCAACTACATTGGTTAATCCTGGTGGTGTGAGATGCCACCGACTCGCTTATTTGTGCCTCTAAAGAGATTTTGGGGGTTGTAGGTCCGGTTAGAATTTCGCTTAATTGTGACCCAGAATGTTTGTGGGAATATTTAACCCCTGCACTTGTTATGTAGCTGGTGAATAGCTAGCCCAGTGCACAAGATAACATCTTATGGGGGCTGCGAATCTTAGGTAGGGAACGGCTACTCAAGCTAATATCCAAGATATCTAATCTCGATAGAAAACCTGGGCATCGCAGCAGATACAAAGCCTTAAAAAGTTGAGTCTTGATGCGACGAATAATCTTATATTGCTTGTTAATCTTCTCTATTAGCTCCAGAAACACCAGCACCCTTCAATGAATACCCCAAAACGCTCAACAAATGACATTTACATGACTCCTTGAACTGCCCTAAACACCAGAAACTCCAGCGCTGATCAACGATCACCCAAATATCAGTCTTCAAACTACTCAAATATAGACGCCATTCCTTTATATTGATCCAAGAAGAAATCATCTTCCCCCATCAAGTTCAAGCATTCCAAAAACCCATGATGGAATTCTCCATCATCGCCCGTGTATCCTTTGGTATAGTAGTCCCCTGACAGGTACCGAGAATACCAACCATGGGATTCTTCCTTCTGTCCTGGACAGGCACGCCACATAGCGACTATACATACTTGGAGCGTCGGGTTCCAGTAAACCCCACACATGCGTTCTTTTATGAACTTAGGTAACTCAACATCTCGCAGCTCCTTCGATGCGGAGAATAATTTAGCCAGTTTGTCTGCCACTCGTGATGCCTTGTTCCTGCGTATCCTTCTGTTGGTAATCCGAACCAGACGGTAGTCAACATAGTCTATCAGTTGACGATCGACTGGTATGAGCTTTGCCCTTTCACAACCTTCCGGAAGTGGATACTGTCTTTTCTGGGGTCTCAACTGCGATGTTGGGACCAAATTGAGGACCTCAAGGTTGGGACAGCAGTACACCAATGATCCAAAGATCCGCCGCATGTCTTCCTCCATATTGAACGGAATTGTGAGCGATTTGACGAGTGCAAGACCCCAGAAATGCCTTACGCAACTACTTCTGCATGCGCTTCCTGATTCGTAAAATAGGGAGTGCAGTTCCCATGTTAATAATGCTGTTTCTGGACTGGGATTCATATTTTCGCTTAGATCCCTGACGACAGTATCCTTGTTGAGGTCAACGTAGAGGAACGCGAAGTACTTCGAAGGGGAATGAGCCAATTTAGGAGACGGCAGATGGAGTGGTGTATATTGTGTCTTGGCTATGGCTCGAGACTCTCTGCAGACACTCAAAAGAGGCAATGATTTATTGTTTTCTGGATGCTGGAAGATGACCCTGGGACCGGGAGCTGCGTATTTCCAGATCAAGAAGCGTACTTCGTGTGGAAGGCTGTCGAATGTTGGCTTGTTTGGTGGTTTCTGAATCAATCTTTTGCGCCTAGGCTCGAGAGCACTGATAAGGGTACACAGAGCCATGAGTTTCGGAAAATCTAGCCTTTTTTAGTCTGGATCATATTGAAAAACAACCAGAGGGAAGAAATAATCTATACTCACGACTACTCTCCAGAACAAAATTCAAGCTATACTTCATAAACTTTTCATGCCTGCTCAGCTTACTCAGTTCATCAATCGCACTCCCCAAATATGTTCTTCTGGTCTCCCATCGTTGAAGCTCTATTTGCCAGCACAGGAGCAAAGTCTCATCCCATTTCAATATCCGCCTACATCTTTCCCATTCTTGACGTTTTTCACCACGTTCTTGACTGTTGAGTTTCTTGCTGCCTCGTTGTTGAAGCGAATTCGTTATCTGACTTCCAAAGCAATATTGCTTGCATATGAGATACAAGACCCGATTTCTCACCTTTCTGGTTTGGGTGATGATTGTGTCCGTTAGTGTCGCGATGCGGCACAATTCAAAGCTCCATTCGAATATTTTAGAGCGCGAGAGGCCATTGTGAGGGTCATCTGTTCACAATGCTTAGCACTTCATGGCGATAAGATTTTAGTCATTTCGTACCTTTGCGGATTTCATTGAGTTTGAGAAATGGATCTTCAGGGTTTATGACAAGTTGTTCTTGCGGGCGCGACTCAGTAAAACATATGTGGGATAGATATTCTTTGGAAAGCAGCGAGATCTTCTCTGGACCAAACAAGCCTATTCCAAAATTTGTCATCAACGATTTGAAAAAAGTCGTTCTCTTCCAAGTTGTAGCAGCATGGAATCGCCGAGATGGTCATAATCCGAACTGCAACTCTTTGGATCAAGACATATTTTGGTAGACTTGACGCTTTAGATGATTGCGTTGACGGTTTATCTCTCAAGAAATCGGCGATTGCGACCTGGTCACGGATTGAAATCCCAGTTCCGCCAAAGATTGTTGAATGGGATTGGGGAAGGCCATGGATGGAAAGATGCATCTTTGGGAACAGGAACCCGACACCCCTGGGCCGAGCAATGATAATCCATAATGTATGAGAGAATACCTACCATAAGATTTATATAGTTGGGGCCAAAAAGAACTCTGATCTAATACTTGAGACTAGATTATCCGGTCTTGTAAGTAGGTCATTCATTAATGTATCACGTCGTCAATTCGTTCTTGATTGCCCCAGGATAATGGCGAAAATTCAAGATTTGACTTGGAGACGTAGCATGTTAAGTCAAATACTCACATTGAAGAAATGCGACGCGAACGCATTAGATTTGAAAAAGATTCATCTTAAGATCTCCAAATTTCACAGTATGTTTTTGGGGCCGATGACGAGAAATGACGTTAATCACTGAGTAACCACTTGAACCGTTGACTTGCCAACTTCAACAGATAAGGAAGTTTAAATGCTTTCTGCATCTAAGTCACTGAAAAGCCTAAGAGCCCACGAATCAACTAGTCTGAGTAATTAGGAGCGGCTTCGAGCTCAGTTGAGTATCAACCGTGGCTGCTCACGGCATTCTCCCACCACCCCTCATGATATATTTTTTGGGTGCGAGAACACGCATATATGAAGAAGAAGATGGGGAAGGAGGTGGAATTTCGTATTTTGGAAGTCGAGACTCGTGCCTTACCTTTTCAATCTGATTTGTGATCTCGCCATCTTAAGGCAAAGAGGAAAGCAGGTTGAGGCGAGCAAAGCAAGACGAGATAAGAATATTAGCCAGAGAAGGAGCGACTTTTAGGGCAGTTTTAAATTTAGTCCAGCATCAACAAGACCCAACTATCTTTGGATGACAGCATTTCGTGTCGCGCCTTCCCCAATTTGAACTACTCCTTGACCAGGCCCTCAAGGTTCCCGCCTTTTCATGGCTAGGATCGGCATCTGAGTAGATACTCCAGTGAACTTAGAAAAATAACAGTATTCTCAGAATGCTAACAAACCAGCAGTTTTGTTTCTCAGGGATCACCTACCATATTTCAACAACTTAAGAAAACAGCTCATATCAAGCGAAAGAAGCGGTCAAGGCTGGACCCAGTAAGCAACATGAAAGACAGAATATTGACATTTACTATATCGGTGTATGTTGACTTTGTCAAAGAACCCTGAAGCAAAATCACAGGAAATTTGAATCCCATCTGTTTCTTCTGGTAAACTTTGTACAAGAATATGACTCTGAAAGAAAATTTGAGTATCTAGATTGTGATTCACTTACGCAACTGTATAAAAGCTGTGTCACACTGTAACTCTGTAGTGGCTATAACATTCACAACTGACTTTCCGTGAGGCCACCTCTTGTATCTAACCATGGTACCGCTCACTCCAACAGCCAAAATTGCACCCCACAAGATTCAAATCTACAACACCTCCAGACAACAATAGCGACAAACCACTCAAAGAATACCATCGCTTTCAAGATGACCTCACCAGTTAAAGGAGACCACCAAGCCCCCACGCTATCCACGGAACCTCAAACCAACCCTTCTTGCACTCTCCTCGACCTTGCACCCAAGCTCCAACTTAGGATTTTCGAAACCCTCGATCAAGGAACCTCCATACTACTCGGCCTAACGTGCAAAAGGTTATACAGCATCCATCGCGGTATCTACAAATTCCCGACCAACCTCATGACCAGCATCGATTACCAAGACGAACCAAGCTATAATGGTCACTCGGGACGCTACTACTTAATCAACTACCTCGTCGACTGGTTTCCTATTGAATCCTCAAATATCGCTGAAGCCTACAAGGAACCGTTTTCTATTCTCCCCATAAAATCGATTTACAGTCCTCCCCCGGGAGTTGAAAATCGTTCTGTTGTGGTGAGGTTGGAGAGATGGAAGAGAGACTTCGCCAATATACGATTTCATTATCTGCCAACTGTCCCCAGATTCTCAGACGTTAAGATTCTGAGACGAGTTACGCAGGATATGCTGTTGCGGTGAGGTTGAAGAGGTGGTAGAGAGACTTCGCCAATGAACCGGTTCATCATCTGCTAGTTGTCCTCAAATTCCCACATGTTTTGATTGCGCCACCAGTTATGCAGAATTCGCATGAAGGGTATGGTTACTGAAGTGGGATCGCTTAAAGGAGAGGAGAAACGAAGCCGATGATGGGTTCTGGTAGCTTACTTATCGGTTTCGCTTATGAATCTTATATTCTGCGTGGAGTTTATTTTCTTCTATCTGACTCAATTTTAGCTTGAAAGCGAGTCTTTGTACAGGGAGAGAGACTGATCCATATCACAATTGAATAGACAACCCATTAGTTTCTCATAGCGTTCCAAATACACAGTCCTACATATACAACATTCATTTTACCAGAGTGCAGCTGCCAGAAATCTGACTTGTCGCGACTTGGCTCTCTAACTTACTAGTCCTCTAACTTCACTTGAAATAAGTAGAGTCGTTATGAGTAACAGGCCCAAGCCTACCGTTCTTCAAATTTACTTACATGAATCACGACTTAGCAGTAAGCTTCATATAATGTTAAAAACAATACAATATCTCTCGTTTAATACTCCTTAATTTTGGCATGATAGCTGATTTTGCCACGCATAAACAACAAATCTTTAAGAAGCAACGTAATTCTGATGAGTTGAATAAGGATATAAGGAACCTTCGAACCAATTCTATCCTTGACCAGAACAGAACTGAACAGAACTTTGCGCTTCCTTCAACACCAACACAACCCAACATGGCTACACCACGTATTGCGAGAGGCAACTTCCAGCCTAGTGTCCTTGAGTAGCCAGGTATATTTGTGCTTTCCGTAACTGCCAGTGGAATTCCAAGACATGTGTTTGAAAAGGATAAGAGTTACCAAACCAGCAAGTACAGTATTTTGGTCAAATGGTTATTACAAGTTCATACAGATAGGCGGGGCTCCACCCTTAACACAAACGAGTGGAGCCCCGCGTCCCAATGAACATTATGATGGAAATCCGAATTATGACTTGATTTTGATACTTCTTCGAGCTTCGAAAGATATTTTGCCTTCGAATAAGGTCTTGTTGTTACATAAAACTTTCCAAGGGAGAAAACTTGCCCTATAATTTATTGACTATGGAGCTGTAAAGGTACTTCACTAAGCTCAGCGTGGTTTTACTAACCACACTTCCTAAATAATCTCGCACTTAATTATAGATATGTATTTGCTAGCGAAGCGTTATGAGGTGGTCTAGAGAAAATGGAAAGTACCAGTTATCAAGATTGGTATATATTCGATATATATTCCTACTGGCTTCCCAAACAGCTATATCCAAGATACTCCTGTATGTACACCATATCACGCCTTCAATCCTAGAAACCTGAACCAAGAGAGCACCCAAGAAGACCCACCAATTTCGAAAATCAATACTCATCGTAGCAGTAAACATTCCACCAGTAAGGTACTCATAGCAATCAAATTCCAACTACTCAAAGTAATAAACTAAGTACAGCCTCAAACAAATGATAGAAACAAGATAGGGAAAATCAAAAAGATTAGAGCCAGGATTGGGTCTGCGAAAACGTACTTAAACACCAAATAAACCAAAGACGATATTTCAGGGACCACGTGGGTCCTAAAAAAATTAGGATTTGACATATTGAAGCTAGGAACTCTACCAACTTCCAGGTAGGTTGGTAACTTGACGTTGATTCGGTCCACCTGCTCTGCTCAGAGACGACCACCCTGCTATCCTGTTCACACCTGATATAGGAAAGCGGTTCAGATACTACTATATCTTCCATGGCGAAACTAGAGGTCACAGCTTGCATTGTTCCTTTGGGTGAACAAGGAAGCTGTTTCACCGAGATAACGAAAGTTTTTGGATGAACACCCAAGGTTTTGCTATAAAAGAGGTGCTTCGGGATGGTCACCACAACGCAGAAAGCTGTCAAGAAAGTGAGTCCCAACCTTCTCTTCACTCTATAGAAAAACATATCTGAACTTTAACAGAGCGTCGAACGAACACCTACCATCGAAATCTCAACTGCCGTCAAAGATATTTTCCTCTTGCCTAGCAATTTGAAATGATAAAGACAAAGTGTTCAGCCAAATACTTCTTCTCTCTTTGATGTTAGAGCTGTAGAACTATATAAGGAGACAGATAGCTGGTCTTGAGTGTGTATGTTTCTTACATCTACGGCCATTCAAACTTCGCCTTACAGTATTCCTATGAGCTTACGAATAGTTGGGAGTCACAATATTATAATCACACACTGTCTCAATAGGAAGGTCGACTTTGGTAGGACGTGAATAAACCTATTATGAAAGACCTACAATATGACCTTTATTTACATTTTGGTATCCCTCTGACAGCGCATGCCATCAGTACACTTAACTTGGTGACTAAACCTTGCATCTACGCTAGACTTGAAACAAAGACCACCCACTGAAATAGATATAAACCACAGAAACAACTCTCCAAGAAAGCAAAATTGAAATCCTACAAAGACGGAGGTGAGGGCTTAGGATACATGTAAGATTCATGAGCAAGTTCTTCTATCTATCACATAGAGCAACAGACATACTTCCCATCTCCAAGAGATGATCATGAGATAGCCAGCCCTGAGACGAAAGAAGAAGATAGTCTTCCATTCTAAATAGTGGATCAAGCAAGTGAACTCCAACCAAATACCAAAACAAATGCGTTTAACACCGACCCATTATGGAACGGACTGGCGATGCTATACAGATACACACGAGGGGAATGGCGATACTATGTTTAGTACACACACCAAAGCAGAAAATTTATTAGCATAGACCCCCCTTTCCCTCCCCCCACACAAAAAGAATCTCCAAAAAAAAATCAAACTCCCATCTAAAGAATGCAGAGGATTGAAAACCAGACGAAACTGAGTTTTACATGATTATTTAGCTTAGAAGTACTATACGGTTTTACAAGGGTAGTAGTACAATACCTTTGGGCATTTCTCGTCGGACCGGACCGCTAGACCATCGCAGTTGCCTAGGGTACCACCAACAGGTGTATAATTGGTGGAATTTGCTGGGGAGGTAGTCATCTTGGGTTATAGACGTGTTTGGGACAGTGGGTCAGGGCCCGCTTTTGGCTCTGGACGGGGCTCGGGTTAGCCCTAAGCGTGCTCATATTCACTGTTGATTAATGAGGTATGGAGGTCAAGGCCCTAATCACGTGGATGTTGCTATACTCAGGTCTCCTTATATCTAGATTAGCAACTATCTGTAGCTATGATAGACATAGATCTATCTTCACTCTTATTTCTGAAGGTCAGGTTTCCTTGTGCAAGGATGGGAGAGAGGGTTGACGGTAACTCATTTCTCGACAACATGTCAAAATTCAGATCTTTCTATCTTGTCTTGGCGAGTGATTAACTGTCGTTTAAATTTCCTCCTAGACAGCAAAAGTTTAGACAAGAGGACAGTCCTCATTATCAAGATTCAAGGTATGGTATGGAGGTAAAACTTTCAGGTCAACATACTAACATACGCTCGGATCATAGGCAGGAAAAGGTTTCCCTTCCATAAATAACTATGAGTGTAGAATCCTGGACGTTATAAAGGGATTTAGACACGGATTTGATATAATTCGTATTAGTTTCAAACTTAGCCTACCTGTCTATTTTAACTATTTATTTTCATGATCTTAAATAAGACATTTCTTTCTTGGGGGTGTACAGGTACAAAACTACCCAGTAGCCGTAGATGGCTTGACAAAGTATACATATCCGAGGGGCATGGATATAAATCATGGATAGCTCGTAAATAAAGATCCTACTACTAGTACCGATGGATAATTCTATTAAAGAGCTGCAGTCATTGCAAACAGCAATACCTCTTGGTTTCTTGTTTGACGGAGTATCTTACTTGGACTCTACTCCGACACGATCTTATACTTCTGGGTTCTGGGGGGCTCTGGTTGGCTATTTGGGGTGTTACGCATATGAGGGACCAGGTGTAAGTGCATGAGTTTTGGGTATGAGTGGTGTGATGGCGACGAGCTAATAATGGAGGTGTCACAAATGAAGAAAGTGGTTATAGTGCTTCCAGAATGGACGAGTAGTATAGACCAGTTTCTGTGGATATGATACTTGACTTGGTAGCCCCAACCCTTCGGAAGCGTTTCTGTACAAGTACCACTACCCAAGTTTTCTTGACTTGTACCGACAGAACGAAAGCACGAGAAATTGAAGTAGGAGATGAGGCTTGTTCAATATAGATCAAATATTTGCTTCTTTTCTGTTGAATTTTTTCCTACCAACACCGTATGATATTCATGTCAACGAACCACCTATGGCGTCCATAATATGTTCCATTTGGACGAGTAAATGTGATCAAGGACATTGACCTGACTTTGCCGCTTGAAAACCCATATGCCAAAGGGAGAGAAGAAAAAAAGGGAAAGTGCGCAGACCTTGTAAGGAGCACAAATACAAAATCTAGTTGACCTCCTCAATCTTGGAAGAGGAAGCAGCTGGGGCGGCTGCAGCAGCTGACTTAGCGGCATCCTCCTCCTCAAGTTCAGGCATCTCGTCGTCGTCGTCGTCATCCTCACCCTCATCCTCACCTCCCATCCCTGCACCGCCGAGCTTGGAGAAATCAATACCGCCAAAGTCTCCACCGGCACCACCCATCATCGAGCTCATGTCGCCCATTCCTGGCATGCCCCCCATTCCACCCATACCACCAGCACCGGCTGCTCCCTTGATCAGCCTCGTTCGTAAGATGCAGGGGGATTCATAACATACCTAGATCATCTTCTGGAGCCTCATCCTGCTCGTCCTCATCAACCCATTTGTCAAAGTCTGTCTTCAAGAAATGAACCTTCTTCGACTCCTTCAACAATCGTGGCCAGAACTCCTCCTTCAACTCCTTCTTTCGTAGGACCAGCTGGACGTTCTTGGCAGTGTGGTTGATCTTGGTAGCGGAGGTATCGATCTCATCGTATAACTCAAGGTCAACGGCGTAATCCTTCTTGAGGGAGTCGGAATGGGCAGCGAATGTCAGGGCTTTGGAGGTGATATCCAGCGTGAGTTTTTCCTTCTGGACATCGGGGACGGTGATGGTGACGTAAAGGTAGTTCTTCTCTGCTTCGGTTGCGGAGGATCGTTGAGCCCAGAGGACTGCGGGGTTGAAAAGGTTGGGTTAGCTAGGGTTTCGCACAGTGAGGGGAAGACTGAGGCCATCGAGTGATCTTTGCGCATCGCATTCTCATGATATTCTCCTTCGCAAACGCGCAAATGAGAAAATCCTTTTGGATGATGCCGGCGAGCTCGAGCTCCAGAGAGATCTGACTTGAGAGATTCAAGCTTACCTTCAGGAGTAGCAGCCATCTTCGCGAAAAGGTGTGGTGGTGATGACGAGTCAAGTAGTTCGCTAAAGGTGCCTGTAGAGAGCGTAAAGCAATACCGCGATGGAAATTATGGTGGTGGTGAGAGTGGTTGGAAGTTGAGTGCGTGGAGGAGAGAGAAGTCAATTGCGCGTGAGAATTTATTTGATGTAGATGGAAGTTGCCTCTAGACAAGCGGTGCAGCAGTGCAGTCCGCAGTGCAGCAAACCAGCGCGAGGCTGCCATGGAAGGTCATGGAAACTACTCTACTCTACAGGAAAGCTGAGGCTGAAGATTATTTTCATGCTCCTTCACCCAGTGCCAGTACCCAGACGAGTACCAGTGTCATCATCACAATTGATTGGCATCTCAGGATCCCACTGCATTCTATACATTTCTACCAAGATTCTCCTCACGTCAAAATGAGCAAAGATTCATCAGTGCACTATGACACTTTTTGAGCCGCTGTCGCTTGGCCTGCGCCTGCACTTGCCGGAGTTTTTGCACCAAAAATAATGGGCGGCGCCTGAGAGCGGGGATACTGTAGGGAGAAGAGAGGGCTGAGACGTCACTGGACTGGTCCTTGCGCCCATACAGGCACCACTTTGCTGCTAAACCCACCCCGGAACCTTCAACCCCATACCATCGCAACTTTACGGGTACAGTACGACGACCACGATTCACCCACTACAACAATCCACCTCGACCAGGAGATAAAGTCTCTCGCAGCGCATCTGCTGCAGAGTACCATCCACTCACTTCACATCACCACATAACCTCACCTCACAACACCAGCCAAGATGGAGTCTCTCAAAGCAGTCTTCTTCGGTCCTGATCCTCAAGCACAAGTATGTACTGAACTGAGCCCCCGCTCATCAGCCTCGCAACTCCAGAGCCTCAGTCCAGTCCAACAGCCAACTAACCCTCTCCCCAGGTGCGAAAATGCAACCAGCTAATGCGAGCCAACATACGAAAGCTTGACCGCGACATCGCCCAACTAAAAATGGTAGAAAACAAAGCCCGAACGAGCATCATCCAAGCCAACCGACGCGCCCAACGCAACCCCGCCCACGCCAAACAAGCAGCCCAGGAGACCCGAATCTTCGCCCGTGAACTCATCCGTATCAGGAAGCAATCGACGAGATTAATAACGTCCAAGGCGCAACTGAATAGTGTATCGATGCAAGTCACCGAAGCCTTTGCCGTGCGCAAGATCGAGGGCAGTATAAAAGCGAGTGTGGGTATCATGAAGGATGTCAACAGTCTGGTGAGGTTACCCGAGTTGATGGGTACGATGAGGGAGTTGAGCCAAGAACTGATGAAGGCGGGTATTATTGAGGAGATGGTGGGTGATTCGATGCCAGATCAGATTGAAGAGGACCACGAAGAGGAGGCAGAGTCGGAGGTTGATAAGGTACTTGGAGAGATCCTATCAGATCGTATGGGCAAAGTGGCCGCGACGCCAAATCTACCAACTCCACCTGTACAGGCCGCTCCCGTGGTTGAGGACGAGGACGAAGAGGATGCCGAGGCCATGTTGGATCAGATGCGAGGGAGGTTGCAGGCTTTGAAGAGCTGAGCGTAAAACGTACATAATGAATCTTTGGGGGGTGCGACGGACATGCATTTGGCGTTTGGGGTTTATCACTTAGGGAGGATAGGTATACTCGTAGGACTTGGGATACTGAAGAAATCGATTGTGTTACTAAGGGTTATACTGCTCGTCCAGACTCGTTGAGCTTCACGTATCACGGACTACGTACGGTTGGTTACAATTTCAGATGTACGTCCAAGCAAAAGCGACCGTCCTTTCACACTTGGATATTCGTTTCATCATCGGAAAACCAAAAGGGTGTAATCTTACAAGCGACTTGAAAGTAAAAGAACCTCTTATATGTAAGCCACCTCTCCCTCACATTCCGCTATAGTACACAAATAAAGTCAACGAATAGCGAAAACAAAAAATCAACTAAGCCTTTCACCCTCATATCCTTTCCCTTCGTATCTACCATTTGACTCCCCCTCCATCTAATCTCTCTCTCTCCCTCTCCTTAAAATCTCACCATTTCCTCATTTTGAAAACAATCCTTGATAAGTACAAATTATGTTTCAAATGGTTGAAAAGACTTTAGTAACATGATATCAAACGACGGTGTGAATTTTGACTTTTACTTATTAGTTAACGGAAGAAAGAAAGGGGTGGTGGGAGAGGGTGCTTGATGGGAATACTGGTTATGCGGTAGGTAGGTAGGTAGGTTGTTTAGGTGTATTTCTTTTGTGTAAGATGGATGGATGGATGGATGGGGGGTTGGAGTTTAGATGTGTAAAAATGGGATAGAGAGATGAGATGAGATGAGACGAGATGAGATGAGATGAACTTTAATAGAGGTATACTTGATCGGAAGTTCATTTAATATAATTGTATATCTAGGTGAGTAAATAATTTGGGTTGTTTAAATAGCTATGTCGAAATGAAAAAACCATATTAAGAGGAAAGAGTATATTTACTTATTCCTTTTTGGTATAAGTATTATCTACAAATATAAGATCTTTTGCTACTGTATGGTATATAATATAAACCTATATTAGTTAGTACCGCTTTCAACTACGCGTTTCATAGCTTTTGTCGGTCGTCTAGGCGTCCTTGCGTGATATAGAAACATCCCCGATACATTTACTAGCGCTAGACAGCGCACGCTAGTGGTAGATATATTCACCCACCCAATGGAGCTTCAGAGAGTGATTCCTAACAACATTCTTTTTACGCGCTCAAACGTACCCTCTGAACCACTGGGCTATAAAGGAAGTTCGTCTTGTCTTCTCCCTTCCCCTTTTCTCAATATGAGTCTCCCTTCTATCTACCCTCTACCTAATTTCCGATGAAATCAAAAGGTCTAGCACGCTCCAGATATCGAAGTTGGGGAAGATGAGATTTGAGGAACTTGCGTTAAGACCAAATTGTTCTTATTGATATAGCGAGGTCTTGTCCCACTGCCTGAGGAGGAATGAGAAAGGGACACCAGGGAGGGAGAGGGAGAGGGGGGTGAGGATGATGGGTTTGCGGCTGAGATTCGGAGGATATTATGCCAGGCGTTGATAGTTGGGGGATGATAGGGGTTGGTGAGGAATAAGTAGGGTTTTAGTTTTTGGGGGAGGCGACGGAGGGTTTGATGGGTGATTGGGTCATTAGGGATAAGTGATGTGAGATTTGAAATAGGCATGGATTGTCGTTTTATGGGATTGGTGTAAAGGGGGGGGTTTAACGGTTATAATGATAGGAATCACCTACGGTACATTTGAGAAGTGATTCGAAACTTCGAAAGGGGTCTACTTGAAGATATGGTGGAACCTATACTATAGCTACTTTCATTAATAATACATAGGTTGATTGAGAACCACGAAGGCGGATCTTAGTGTCTCTGTTTCTCACACTTCCCTCTTCCGCAAGACTTTTGATATATCTGATTCTAGTCTCCAATTCTTGCGCCTCAAAATCTCATTGGAAGTTGCATTTTGTTCGAAACAAATGGTGTTCTGCTTGAGACTCCATCAGAAAGGCACTAAGTAGATCACGGTATGGATGTTACAAGCAGGTACCTATTCGAAGGCAATAATCTTTCTAGAGTAAGAGAAAAATCGTATGGTTATGTCAAGGATTCGAGATAATGTTGTCGACCCAAACTCGGACCTTCTCGGCCATAACTTCGCTATGTCCTAGCATTGTTAGCATTTTTGGAAGGAGTGGTAGAATCAACGTACTGATGCAAAACCCATGAGGAACCTCACAATCATCAATCAGCATGTTGGGTTTTGAGGAGGCATTTTCTGAGTCGGAAGTTCCTCTCGCAGCAATCAAAACATCTCGGCTATGGTCAGCCACCCAATGATCCTAATATATGATTAGCGCTTGATATTGCAGGTTACAAAAACAAATCCACTGACATTCTCGCCAAAGTAGAAGATCAGTTTGGGAGCCTGGACTTCCGAGTCACTATCTTTGTGTTCTACTCCCCATATATCTTCATCCCATCGATCCTCGGTGATGCTTCTCATTTCATCTTCTGCCAAGTGACTGACTGCCAGTTAGATTGGAATCATTCAAAAGCCCCGTGTTCTTACAGTGCTTGCCAAATCCCCATTCTACTTTTCAAAAAAGCGGTAGTAACATTGGCTCCCTCTTGAGGCATATCCGTAACGACACCTACAAGCCACTTCAACACTCCAACGGGCGCACAACTGACCAGAAGCTTTGCAACGGTACTTGCTATTCTGGGGAAATTGGGGATCTTGAAGAGCCAGCTGATTTTGATACCACTGTTGCTTTGAGCTATGTGTGTGACTGTTGGGAAGAGCAGAATCCCGGCCGTAATCCTGGTTGGTAACTTGCGGCGTTTGAGCCTCTGGATTATCTCTAATGAGATATACGCACCGACTGAGTGGCCTATAATGATAACACTGTCGTAGAGTTGGCCTTGACGTGGTCCTTGTTGAATTCGAAGCTGTTCTAAGGTCTCGAGCGACACATCTATCACCTCTTCTAGGCTGTAGGGGTGGGTTTTGGATGAGGAAAGGGGAACTGTATGAGTATCGTCGAACCCAGCAAGTGATTGACCGTATACATCAAACACATCCTTTGATGTGATATTGCTGGTGTGAGAATCAGAAAGAAGTGAGTGTAGAGTCTCAAGGAAGGCTCGGTAGTAGCCGATCAGACCCGGGTTTCCGGTGATGAAGTAAATAAGATGGTGAGGTGTGTTTTTGGATGGAGACGGAAGCGAGATGTTGATGGTTGGTTGAGAAGGATCTCGAGATAAAGTGTTGCGAAGAGCCATGTTCGAGCATGCTACTCCGTACTTTGTACTTTCATTTGCTTGGTCCACAACTACCCACTAATAGCCTTACCTGGTTGCTCGATATCCGTACTGGTACTGAGATACATGCTCCTTATGGAGGTGACTGACCTAGGTAGATCTAGAGTAGGTGCTGGGAGCAAAATGTTGGCCTTACATTGATCAGGCACCAAGGCAGACACGACACAACAGTGTAAGGATAATTACCGAGGCGCTAGTGACTAATCTCAGATGGTCCGTGTCCCCATTCACCCGCGCTGATTGGCCTCTGCAATAGCGGACCCTCCAGCGTGCCAGGCTCGCCAGGCTGCTCGCTCTCAGCTCAGTCGCGCGTGCTTTCCACTCCTCTTCCCTCCGCAGCGCAGATTTGTTCCTAGGAACATCATCACGAACCCCAAATTATCCCGCCAGGCCTTGGAGCCCCATCCACCTCGACCATCCATTTCGACCGCCTCAGCACCACCACACTTCCCATTACAGTCCATTCGCTTTCCACTCAACCCATCGTTCACCCTCACTCTCACGGGCCCGGGCGCCGGCCAATCTGTCTTCCACGTCCACCTGCACCCACCTACTCCATCACCACAAACTCACTCGTCTAGTCCTGGGACATCGCGATCCATCACGACCATCGCCAAGCGTATCACATCCATCGACTACAACGCGATAACCCCAATCTTCACCTTTTGCGATACTCATTCTGCCTTCTAGGCTCCCCTACACTTCTGCCGGCTGTCAGCCAACGCGCCTGCGCATTCGTTCCAGCTGCAAAGACCACCCCTTCGGTCACTGACCCTATGCGCGTCCAGTCTTTTGATATGCGCTGATTTCAACCACAACCACAAGAATACCCTAAAATTACGCATTGGCTTATGCAATCAATATGGCTTCAATTCAATCAGTTCCGCAGGGACAACAACCTGGACTCGGCGCTCCTTCATCTCAGCAAGCCAATTTCAGAGATGCTTTGGTAGTGAGTAGCCCTTTCCATTATGCGCCCGTCTTCATTCCTCCACATCGTTTGATTGCTGATGACTAGAGAAGAAATATAAACAGATGAAGGAATCTGGGGTATCAGAAAGAGATCCCGAATTTCAGAAGTTGCACCAGATGCTTTCCGGCCTGCATTCGCAACGAAACTATCAACAGCAAAAAGCGCAGCAACACCAATTACTCAATCAACAACATAATGCATCTGCAAGCGCTACCAACGGGAATACTAATGGCACGCGTCCAGCGCCATCTCCAAATACAACAGCCTCGGCGCCGTCACAATCCTCACCTACCACATCTCTTGGGCCCTCTACCATATCCTCCACACCTTCGGCTACAACTAAGGGTGCTGTTCCAAGGACTGCGCAGGTTGGGAGTGGTTACTTTTCTCCAGAACAGTTGAGCGTTTTGAAGCATCAAATATCCGCATTCAAATGCTTGTCCAAGAATATCGGTATCCCGTCACAACTACAAGAACAGCTGTTTGCTTCGCAACAACGAAAAAAGTTGTCGCAAGGCGTTGACCAATCTATCGTCGCATCCACCAATTCCGCAGAAGATGCCGCTCCTTCTGCAAATGGCGATGGTCCAGCGAAACCCGACAAGGACTTGGTAGTGCAAAAGGTGCACGAATATACTTCATTCAGACCACCTATATCTTCTCTTCCTAAGGGTGAGCGTATTAGTTATTCTGCGCATAAGAGACGTGAGAATCGACCTATGATTCCCAGTTTGATGCCTTCGGGTGTGGACGTAGAAAAGTTACGAAACGATCGAGAAATTATTGTCTACAATCGTATGAAAGCCCGGCAGGGAGAACTGATGTCACTTCCGGCAAACATGGCACACATCGACATACATGATGACAACCTTACACCGGATGATACCTTGAAAAGGAAGGCATTAATCGAGATGAAGATGATTGGGCTTTATCAGAAGCAGAAGATGATGCGAGAAAGAATCGGCCGCCAGATGATTCAATACGACAACCTTGCCATGACTGCGAACCGAAGCCACTACAGAAGAATGAAGAAACAATCGTTGAGAGAGGCTCGCATCACCGAAAAACTTGAGAAGCAACAGCGAGATGCTCGTGAGAACCGAGAGAAGAAGAAGCACGAGGACTACCTTCATCTGGTCATATCGAATGCTCGGGCAATTGCCAATCAAGCCACCCAGCATAGACAAAAAATGCAGAAGATTGGTCGTATGATGGTACTGCAACATCAAAATATCGAGAAGGAAGAGCAGAAGAGAATAGAGCGAACTGCGAAACAACGTCTGCAGGCCTTGAAATCCAACGATGAAGAAGCCTATCTTGCACTTCTCGATCAAGCTAAGGACACTCGTATTACCCATCTTTTGCGACAAACTGACGGATTCCTGTCGCAACTCGCGGCCTCGGTCAAAGCGCAACAGCGGAAAGCCGTCGCCACATATGGCGGCGACCTTGTCGTTGAGGAGTCTGATGACGACGATGAAGAGGAGCAAGATACTCGCAAGATTGATTACTATGCTGTGGCCCATCGGGTCAAGGAAGAAATCAACAGTCAACCTTCCATATTGGTCGGTGGTACTCTCAAAGAATATCAATTGAAGGGTCTCCAATGGATGATTTCACTCTACAACAACAATCTGAATGGAATTCTTGCAGATGAGATGGGTCTGGGTAAAACGATCCAGACAATTAGTTTACTCACCTACCTTATTGAGAAGAAGAAGCAGAATGGACCATTTTTGGTCATTGTGCCCCTGAGTACATTGACCAATTGGAACCTGGAATTTGAAAAATGGGCACCTTCAGTGGCCAAGATTGTGTACAAAGGTCCACCATTGGCACGAAAGCAACAACAAAATCAACTTCGATACGGCAATTTCCAGGTACTCCTGACAACCTATGAGTACATCATCAAAGACAGACCCGTGCTCAGCAAAATCAAATGGGTTCATATGATCATCGATGAGGGTCATCGTATGAAGAATGCATCTTCCAAACTCAGTGCAACACTCACACAGTATTACGCTACCCGTTACCGTCTCATTCTTACCGGAACTCCACTGCAAAACAACCTTCCAGAATTGTGGGCTTTGCTAAATTTTGTTCTCCCAACCATTTTCAAATCTGTTAAATCGTTCGACGAGTGGTTCAACACACCTTTTGCAAATACCGGTGGTCAAGATAAGATGGAGCTTACTGAAGAAGAACAGATTCTTGTTATTCGACGTTTGCATAAAGTTTTGAGACCCTTCTTACTTCGTCGTTTGAAGAAGGACGTGGAGAAAGATTTGCCTGACAAGACAGAAAAGGTCATTAAATGTAAATTTTCTTCGCTCCAAGCACGCCTTTACAAGCAAATGGTCACCCACAACAAGCTTGTCGTCAGTGATGGCAAGGGAGGGAAGACTGGTGCGCGCGGTCTCAGCAACATGATCATGCAGCTGCGAAAACTTTGTAATCATCCATTTGTGTTCGACGAAGTTGAAAACGAGATGAATCCCTTGAACACTAGCAATGATCTTCTTTGGCGAACATCGGGCAAATTCGAACTTCTCGATCGGGTTTTACCAAAGTATCAACGGACGGGGCACAGAGTCCTGATGTTCTTTCAAATGACTGCCATCATGGATATCATGGAAGATTTCCTTCGCTACCGAGGAATCATGTTTATGCGGCTCGATGGAACAACAAAATCTGATGATCGTTCCGACCTTCTCAAAGAATTTAACGCCCCCAACTCGCCATATTTCATGTTCCTGTTGTCTACCCGTGCTGGTGGTCTTGGTCTGAATTTGCAGACCGCAGATACCGTCATCATTTACGACTCAGATTGGAATCCTCATCAGGATTTACAAGCGCAAGATCGTGCTCATCGTATTGGTCAGAAGAATGAAGTTCGTATTTTGCGTCTTATTAGTTCGAACTCCGTTGAAGAGAAGATCTTGGAGCGTGCGAAATACAAGCTTGACATGGACGGCAAAGTTATTCAGGCAGGACGTTTCGATAACAAGTCTTCCGAAACAGATCGTGATGCCATGCTTCGTGTAATGCTGGAAACTGCAGACGCCGCTGAGAACTTGGACCAAGAAGAAATGGACGACGAAGATCTCAACTTGATGTTGGCCAGAAATGACGATGAGCTCAATATTTTCAGGGAGATGGACGAGGAACGTGCAAAGGATCCTGTTTACGGTGCGGGTGCTGGGAGCAAACGTATGCCACGTCTTATGGCCGAGAACGAGCTGCCCGAGATTTACATGTCCGACGGAAACCCAATCTCGGATGAACCTGAAGAAGTCAAGGGTCGCGGAGCCCGAGAACGCACTCGTGTCAAATATGACGATGGTCTCACAGAAGAGCAGTGGCTTAATGCTGTTGATGACGATGACGACAGTCCAGAGGCTGCAGCTGCTCGGAAGCAGGCACGCAAGGAGCGTAGAGAGAGAAACCGCCTGAAGAGAGCCGGTGAACTTCCTGGCTCTATTGAAAACTCACCTGCTGGAAGTCGGGAGAGTACAGAAGAGCCCGAACCTGAGCCAACGCCGAAAAAGTCACGCGCCCGCAAGTCTGGCGGCAAGAATGAAAAACGCAAAGCTGATGATTTCGAGGATGGTCCTCCAGCTAAGCGGAAACGTGGAGGTGCACAATCTAAATCCAACGGAATGAACCCCCGACAGCGAGATCTGCTTCAAACCAGCTTGAGAGCTGTCTATGATTCTTTGATGAACCTCGAATCCGCTACTGAATCGGAAGATTCTGGTTCTGACGAGGAAGATCAAAAACGCTTGATCATTGGGCCATTCGTGGCGTTGCCTCCAAAGAAGGACTTCCCAGACTATTACAAGATTATTAGAGACCCTATATCTATGAAGATGATTGAGAAGAAGATCAAGAAAGAGGAGTACTTTAACCTCAACGATCTGAAAAGGGACATTCACTTGATGTGTCTAAACGCAAAAACTTACAATGAGGATGGTAGTCTCATCTTTGTGGATGCTGTTGCAATCGAGGTATGTCACCATGAGACAATGAGCGGAATAATTGCTAACCACTTCTAGAATGCTTGCGAATCCAAGATCCGTGATGAAGTTTCTGATCACCCAGAGCTTGGAGATGATGACTCTTCGCGTAATGGAGGGTCGACAGCTCCTACAACCAATTCAGGAACTCCTATACCTTCAATGACCTCGGGCAAATTGAAATTAACTGTCAACAAAAATATGAATGGTGGGAGCAGCGGTGTACAGAGTGATGACGACTAGAGATGCAAGAGAAAGTCCATTTTATTGGGGGTTCATGAGGGGCGCGAGGAGTTAACTGGTGAATTTGCATGATGGCATTTTCTTTTCCTACTTATGTAATTGCACTTGGTGTACACAACGGCGTTTGTGTTCACTACAAGAGTCATAGGTATTCACAGTGACCATCTAGAAAGTCGAAGACAGGGTGGTTGGCTTGACTTGATTGGGCGAAAGGATTACTTTGCCTGGATTGTACTTTAGTAGACAATGGACGACATGTGCGATAGTAAAGATGGGGTTTTATAATGTATTGTGTTCTGATAAATTTGAATCTTTTCAAGAAATTGCACATAGGTAATAATTGTAAAACTTCTGTCTGTATCCAACCTCTTCTAATTGACTTGCACGAGTCGTGACCTTAGTCCATATCTATATTTACACTGGACACTGGTGAATGATGGAAGAGAACTATTCTGATAAAGCCTAAGTGAAGATGAATGTGTCTACGAGGTATAAACTGCGTGGTGTTGTTGTACCGAAAAGAGTTTAGTCTGTGGTACCCAGGCCTGGCTTGCAGGGATTCTGTGAAGTGCAGAAAGTCGCGAGTTCCAACGCTGCAAGTCCAGCAACACGATAACTACCTACACTCAAGGTCCCTTACAGCAGATTCTACAATCCACCCGCCTTCACCTTCCATATCAAGTATCTGATCAGATGCTTGCTCATGTGCGATCGTTATATTAGGTGCTCTCGTCTCGGCTTTGAGCTTTGTCGCGAATACCCTCCACGGTAGCCTCGCAGAAGACGCAATAATCCGCGGTCATTCTCATCTTAGGCTTTGCCTATCGAATTCAAAATGGCCGCAGTCACAAATACACAGGCAAATGGGGGGAGTAGCTTTGGGAGTGCTCTGTCGCCAGGGCACAAAATGACCAGCAAACGATTCTCAGATATACCATCCGCAATCGATATCCCAGTTCAAGGGGAAGGCGATGACGAGGCAGTCGAGGTAGACTTGGAAGATCTTTTAGACGACCCGACCGAGTTATGTACATTACTGGAGAATGAAGGCGCAGCACGAACTTACTGGATGACGGTTTCTTTGGCCTACGCCAAACAAAAGAAGGTTGATCATGCCATCGAAATGCTGTTGAAGGGTGGTCAAGCCATGAGAGGCGGGCAGAAGGAGAAGCTCAGCATGCTGACATGCTTGTGCTGGATGTATCTGTGGAAAAGTAGGGAAGCTCCTCGAGTGCTCCCTGAAGGAGCTTTGGCTTCTGAGGTAAAGACGAAGGAGCATTATTTACAACAATCCACTGCCACATTAAACGACGCTCTACGAATAAACCCCGCCTTCCCTCCATTATTCCTTGCTCGTGGGGTCCTTCAACTACTCAAGGCGTCCCTCCAGCCACCGTCAAAGTCTCCAGCTCCTGGTGCGATCGACCACGAGAAGGCTGATATTCTCCGAGCATCATTAAAATCGTTCGAGGATGCAATTCGTGTTTCTCAGGGTCGCAATATGATGGCGGTACTGGGGAAATCGCGAGCTCTGTATTCGCTTGGAAAATATGCGGATGCGCTTGAAGGATATCAGGAAGCATTACACAAAATGCCAGACTTGATTGATCCTGATCCACGAATTGGAATTGGCTGTTGTTTTTGGCAACTTGGCTTCAAAGATGATGCGAAGACTGCATGGGAGCGTGCGTTAGAGATCAATCCGGACTCGAAGATCGCAAACATTCTCCTTGGCTTATTCTATCTTGATGCCAGCTCGCATGTTCCTACGAATGGGCCTGAATTTATTCGACTTTACAAAAAAGCAATGACGGAGTACACACAAAAAGCATTCAAAGCCGACAAGGACCTCCCCTTAACTTGTGCTACATTTGCTGGGTACTTTCTATCTCGAAAGTCACTACCCAACGTGGAGACTTTGGCCCATAAGGCAATCCAGCACACCGATGTCAATGCAATCGCCAGTGATGGCTGGTATCTGCTAGCTCGAAAAGAGCATTACGAAGACGATTACGAGCGTGCGACAGACTACTATCGTCGAGCTGATGAAGCAAGAGGTGGTGCTGACCGTGGATTTCTGCCTGCTAAGTTTGGCGCTGCTCAATTGTCGGTTCTCAAGAGTGATTTTGGCGAGGCCAAATTGAGGCTGGAGAAGATCATTCAGCAATCCAAGAATATTGAGGCTATGGTTTTACTGGGCACTCTTTACGCAGAAGAAGTATTCACGAACCAGCAAAGTGGTGTAAAGGAAGACAAGTCCACAGAGTTCAAGAAAGCTATTGGGTATTTGGAAACTGCCAGGAACGCCTGGAAAGATTCCAAGAAAAACTTGCTTCCAGACGCGTCAGTTCTCTTGAATCTCGCTCGTCTTTACGAAGCGGAACAGCCTGAGAAGAGCTTGCAATGTCTACAGCAGGTGGAGCAGATTGAGTTCGACCAGGTGCCAAAGGACGAAAAACCAGAGGACCTGGAGGAGGTCGAAGCATTGAAAGCGTCCCTTAGACAAGGTCTCCCTCCTCAACTTCTTAATAACATGGGTTGTTTTTACTACCAAGCAGAGAAGTTTGATTCGGCGGGCGAAATGTTCCAGATTGCTTTGAATGCATGCATCAAAGTTGGGGAGACGGAAGAAGAACTAGATGGCGATGCACTCGTCACTACGATCAGTTATAATCTGGGCAGGACGTATGAAGCAAGCGGCAAACTGGACGAAGCAAATATTGTCTATGAGGGGCTCCTTGCTCGCCATAGTGACTACACAGATGCAAGAACACGGCAAGCTTATATTGCTCTTCGTCAAGACCCAACTGGAGACGGTCCCAAGAAAGTCGCCGAACTTTATAGGGATTCTTCCGCTGATCTCGAGGTACGGGCTTTGTACGGATGGTATCTCGGACGAGTGCATTCTCGCAAGCGCAAAGGAAATGTTGCCGAGGACCCAGAACTACGACACTATAAGCATACTCTGCAAAACTACGAAAAACACGATCGTTATGCCTTGATTGGAATGGGCAACTTGTATCTCATGACTGCAAGAGAAATGCCGCGCGCGAACGAGGTCGATAAGAAAAAACGTGGAGATATGTACATCAAGGCCGTTGAGTTTTTTGATAAAGCTCTGCAGCTGGATCCCAAGAATGCATACGCCGCTCAAGGGATAGCAATCGCTCTTGTGGAAGACAAGAAAGATTACAAAACTGCGCTATCTATTTTTGTCAAGGTTCGGGAGACAGTGAAGGACCCAAGCGTATTCGTCAACCTAGGTCATATCTTTGCCGAGCTTCGTCAATACAGCAAAGCTATTGAGCACTATGAAGCTGCTCTGTCAAAAGATCGGTCAAATGATGCGCAAATCCTGGCCTGTCTCGGACGAACTTGGTTGGCAAAAGCTAGAGCGGAAAAGAACCTGTCGGCGTATAAAAGTGCACTCCAATTTTCTCAAAAGGTGAGATCCTCGCTCCACATACATGAAAATTTGCTAATTTTATAGGCTCTCGAAATTGCACCAGAGCAAGTTCACTTCAAATTTAACGTCGCATTCGTTCAAATCCAGCTTGCTTCTGCTGTCTATAACATGTCTGAGAACCAGCGTACGCTTACGGAAGTGCAATCAGCGGCTTCAGGGCTCGAGGAGGCCATTGAATCTCTAGAAGCCATATCCCAGCACCCACAAACTCCATATCCAAAGCATGACATCGAACAGCGAGCAAACATGGCTCGAAATACCATGCGGAAGCAGTTGGATCGCTCGATACAATCTCAGAAAGAGTACGAGGAGAAGAACGCTGAAAAACTTCAAGCTGCACGACACAAGCGTGAGGAGGAATTCCGAAAACGTGAGGAGGTGAAACAAGCGGCCGAAGCGGCAGAGCGAGAAAGGAAGCAAAAGATTGCAGAAGAGCGACAGAGAATTGCCGAGAGGGATCGAGAGCTTGCGGAGATGAGAGCCGAGGAAGACAGAGCTCGTGAGGCCGCAGAGATGACCACAGATAGTGAGACGGGAGACAAGGTCAAGCGGAAGAAGAAGCCCAGAGGAGGTGGAGGCGGGAAACGCAAGAAGAAGAATGACGATGGCGTTACGGACGAGGATGAGAGTGGAGCCGAGCCCAAACCTCGAAGACGGGCGAAGAGAGGTAGTGGGGACGACAGTGACGAGGAGAAGCCAAAGAAGAAGCGCAGACTCGCGAAAAAGGCCCAAGAGAAGCCCAACAAATTTAAGAGCAGCGAGATTGTCGTCGACAGTGATAGCGAAGGGGACACTGGAGCCGCGGAAGCGGCCAAGGAATTGGAACAGGACGATGTTGGCAGTGAGGCGCCACAAGATATGGATGTTGACGAAGAAGACGAGCCGGCCGTCGTTCCTGTCAAGAGGAAGAGTCGCCGGGCGATGATCGACTCGGACGATGAGGATGAAGAAGACATGGCGAAGAATGACTCTCCTGGGACAGCGAGTGGTGATACGCCGATGGCCGAAAGTGCTCCTGCGGCGGGGGATTCAGATGATGAATAGATAGGTTGCAGGTAGTCTGAATTGTACTTTTATACTTCTTCTGTGTTATGGATTTGGTTTGAGTTTCGAGATGATCTACTCTGTAATTGTAGGCCGTTAATGTGTAGGCAGCTTCGAAAAGGTCATTGCATATCAAGAGCAGCTGTCTCAAGGAGTCATCAAGGGGTTTCCATCGAGGGCAGGGGTGGTGGGTAACATAGATAATTTAACATAAACGTAGCTCATAGTACTCCATAACACGGCCAGAACGGCTAGGTTATCTCATTGGACAAGTACAGTATTTGCGAATTTTGGATATCATGTCAGATTCAATGTAGAGCAATAGAAACATCACATCGGTAAGTTAAGCAAGTAGCACAGAAAAAACTACGAAAATGCCATTCAACGCCTCGCTTAACCCAATCCTCGCATTTGGTAAAACAACGCGGGCTATTGTATGTATGCCTATGAAGCACCTGCCTTCGTAGCATGCGAGAGTAAATTCCCAATGCATCAGTCGGTAATTCTAGGCAAATGCTATACCGTAGTACGCCCCATTCCCTTCATTATTTGTTCATCAATCATGTGATCATTGGATATTCCTGATGACTTTTCTCATCCATGGATCTATCATTGGATATTCCTGATGACTTTTCTCATCCATGGATCCATCTTAGTCCCTACATAAACATAACACTGGTCCCACTAATCTGCGCGGCCTACTCACATTGCCCCATAGTTCTTCTTGAACCCCTTCTTACCCTTGACACCTACAAAGCCTCGAGAGGCACCGCCAGGACCTGGAAATGACATGGTGTTGGACATGCTGTTTTCATCACCGAGTTGGGGTATTTCGGAAGTCTTGAAGCCCTCGCCCTCAGCGAAGACTGTCTTGTATAAGGTTCCAATTGACGAGGTCCAAGCCTGCATAGCTCGAAGACGTTCAGCATCGGTAGTGTCTTCGATCTCGACAGTTCCGCCTTCTTGATCGATGCTTGCCTTGACCTTCTTGTCCACAATCAAGAAGCCCAGGATATCTTGGACTTCGGTGACGGAAATTTTCAGTGCTTTGCCAATGAACGCGAGGTTGAAGCGGGTATAGGGTGCAATGAGCTTCTGAACTGCTTTGGTTCGCATATTTCGTGTGACCTCGTCGATGTTCTCGGCGATAAAACTATCTGACATGAGATCCTTGTTGTTCTTCAAGACCGATTCGTATCTGTGGATATCATCACGTTGGTACGCATCAACGAGGTCTGTCATGGCTGCTATACGTGGATCGTTCTTGTATGGCATCGTCTCTTGCGACTCGAATGGATTGATGTCAGACTTCATCAGCATCGTAGTAAGAACAAGATACTTCAGAACCTGGATTCGTTGAAGTGAGCCTGCCTCATCGTAGTTGCGGAAAGATTCGAAGAAGTCGCTTTGTGCATCCTTCCAATTTTCTTCGCTCATGTGCATCTTTCCACCACACTCCCGGATGATGCCCATAATCTTTGGATGCGGAACAGCAGATCGGACTCTCAAAGCACGCTCATATAGTCTCTTCAATTGTTTGTTGTTCTTCGTTTCGGCATACATCTGAATCTCGAGTGCGTATATCTCCAAGGAATATGTGCCTTTGCTTGGATCATCCGTGCCATCTTCCTTTTCGCATGCCTTGTGCAGCTCTTTGATCTTCTTCATGACAGCAGAATAATCTTTGCGATCCAGATAGAGCTTCGAAAGCTTGATGTTGGTCTTCAACCAGAGACGTTCGTTGTTTGTGCTTTGGAAGGATTGAAGTGTTTGCGAGTAGAACTCCTCCATGCACTGACCAGCTTTCTCATCTTCAGATCCCTTTTCAATGTAGTCAAGGATATTGTTGATGGACTTTTCCGAATAGTTTCGTGTGACGGCGCTTCTTACGTAGGTGAGGAGTTCAGTATAGTGACCCACGGCCTGCCATTCTTATTAGATACTCAGAGGAGGTATAGATTTCTGAAGCAGTGCGTACCTTATCATATTGGCCAAGCCTAAACTCGAGCTTAATTGCTTGCTTCAGACCCTTGAATCCCCAGTCGCCTTTCTCAGACTCCAAAGCGGGTACTCCCAGGAACTCTTCAATGGCGGCTTCTGGGTCGGTCGTCTTCAATTGTTTGGCATTGTAGTACTTGTTCTCAATGTCTACATCGCCATTGTCGTCATCGTCGTCTTCTTCATACTCAAAGTCGTATCTATGATGTTATATGAGCGATAGTTAAAGGCAGTGGTGGAACTGTACAAACCCATCCTGGTCGGAATCTTGCATAAAATCCTCGTCGTCGGACATGGTGATAGCGTAGATCTGATATCAAAGATCTTAGGTGGCGTTGTTGGAGGATGAAGATGTTGAGAGTCGGAAAGAGATCGGAGTGTGTATGTGGTGGGGGTGGAGGATGAAGACAAGGTTGACAAGGCAAGGCTCTGGCTTGATGTGGTGGTTTGTTTGCCTGGAGCTGTCGGTTGGCTGTCCACTGTGCTAGCTCTCAAGGAGCTAAGGAGCTCTTCTATTGGGTGAAGGTAGCGTAGTACAGCCTCTCAGCCAGGCTGCTGGTGCCTCCACCATAATCCCTGCATCCCGTCACACTGCGCACTGACCTAGGCTGCATGTCCACCTCCACCTCAACTATCCGACAGGACCTGCTCTTGCCTGTCAACAAAATAGAATCAAAACCACCGCCTCATCGCACTCACGATTCACGATTCGCGGACCATCTAAGCATTTGAAGTTGGTATTTTATTCCTTCAAATATCAGCAGCTGGTTTTCGTACCAACCCCCTAATATCATTGTGTGGTCTTTTGACTTCATTTCTTCCTGGGATCGCAAGTTTTACCAAGTACTCTCCTATACCACCAAAATGGGAGGCGATCTCAACTTGAAGAAGTCATGGCACCCCGTGCTCATGAGCAATCAAAGGCGGGTGTGGGAGGAAGAGAAAAAAGCCCTAGATGAACGAAAACGTACAGACCAGAGGATCAAGGAGTTGAAGGAGGAACGAGCCAAAGAGGAGATACAAAACAAACTCGAAGCGGCAGGGAGTCGGAAGCGTGTTGACCGTGTGGATTGGATGTATCAAGGCCCATCTAGTGGTCAGGTTGGGACCACAGAGGAGATGGAGGGATATTTACTTGGGAAACGACGAATCGATGGCTTGTTAAAGGGCACTGAGCACAAAAAGTTGGAGAAACAGGCATCTGAGGATAGCTTCATGGCACTGCAGCATGCGAATACTCTGCGAGACACGACGGCCAAGATTCGTGAAGATCCCATGCTGGCGATCAAGAAACAGGAGCAAGCCGCTTATGAGGCTATGATGAATGACCCTATCAAGAGACGACAAATGCTCGCATTGGCTGGGGCTGGCGAAGAGTCGAAAACTAAAAGGGAGAAGAAGCATCGGCGACACCACCATCGACGTCGTGATGACTCGGGTGACGAGCGAACACACCGACATCGTGATGACTCTGGTGATGAACGAAGACACAAGCGCAGGAAGCGAGAGCACGATGAAGAACGAGGTCATAGAAGCAGCCGCTCAGAGCATCGTAGAAAGAGGTCGCCATCATATTCAAGATCACGAAGTCCCCCTCGAAGAAGGAATAGCGATGACAGAACTAGGAATTCACGATCAGCATTACCGGTGATGCGGGAAAGAGACCGAGCAGAAAAATATCATGGCAGACGCCGTCGGAATTCTTCTTCTGTCGATTCTAGGTCGCCTTCCCCTCCCCGGAGAAGATCTCCTGACAGACGAAGCTCGTATCCTGCAAATCGGGAGCACCGAAGCGATAGGGGTTACCGAAATAACGATTATCCAGATCGTGCCAAGGATCGATTTAATGACACGCGAAATGGACGCAGTTATGCCCCAGCCCCAAGGGTGGCGAAGACAGATGATTCTGAAGACAAAGAGGCTGAGCGTCAACTGAAGCTTGCTGCAATGCAAGAAGATGCTTCGAAACTAGACGTTGATCGTGAAAAGCGCCTGGCAGCCCTCGCAGAACAGGAGCGAGCGGATCGAGAGGCAGAAGATGCATCACGAGCACGATCTTCCAAGTACACTGATAAAGGAGATTTTGTTAGGGGCTTAAATCAAAAGGCTGGTGAGATGGCATTAGGGGATCGAATTGGTCGTGGCCGGCAAGGATTTCAAAAGGACGATGAGTGATAGGATGGTATTAGATGTTTGTAGCGTTTTTGACACCCTCGCGTTAGGTGTGTAAAAATTGAAGTCTTATTCAAACAAGTTTGTTGAGCTCTGTTAGTCTGTGATATCTTGTTACGTAATTTCTTGCTCCCATGGGCTCTCGCAATTGTAGGAAGTCATCCTAAGCGAAGTGAAAGACAATTGCCTGATTTGTAGATCACAGATACGAAGTATATCCAATGTAGGGCAAGGAATTTATCACCCCAATCTATAACCCCACCAACCTTCCCCCCTATCTATCTACATACGTAAATTTACACTAGTTAAACAAATTCCACCATACTTACTTACTTAACCTTAACCCCAACATAGGATAGGCATTTAGCCAACCACCAAAGAACACCTCAAACCCTCCCCTCCTTACCCATCGAGGGCATCCCATCCCATCCCACCCCATCCAAACCGTCAAACCCCGCTAGCGTCCCGACATAAAGCTTGAGGCTTGCTTCTTGATTCCCAAACCAATAATTCCCCAGGACCAACCCAGCGAACTAACTTAGCTTAGCCACCAAATGCCCTCAAGGCTTGGTATGTGCGCCCACGTCGAAAGTAAGTCGTAAATTCGGCGATTTGCAACGGAAATTTCGATGGGGGTCATATCACGTGAAGGGGATCGTAGGTAAATTTCCAAGGTTATGTGGGCAGGACGGGAGGTAGGGTAGATCTGGGGTAGACCGCAGACTGTAGACGGGCAGACTAGACTTGAATTTACCTAGTTTGTTAAGTGTTGGTCGCAGACGGTTCTTATCGGTGTAGAACCACTAGCGACGGGAGGTAGAAGAATCGTGGGGTTATGGACTCGGAATTACCTTGTTATGCACTTGTACTTTGAACCTTAGATCGGGGAAGGAGTGGGGTGGGGTAGATAGGTATACTTTACCTACAGTACGGGACACCCAAAGTGAGCCACACCAAAACCATATTTGACTAAAACCACACTTCTACCTACAACACTATAACAATAATAATACTTAATAATTAGTTGAATAGATAAAAAGATGCGCCTAAATTAGCTAAATAAAATACACTTACTAGCTTTAATTTAACTGATTTATATAAATTGTAAGGCTTATATTTACCGAGTCTTAGCGTTTGTCTTAATTTTTTAAGGCCGCCCTACTTTTCCTAATACGGCTTAACTAAAGACTATATAGAAATTCTAGTAAGTACATTTTTATTCTTTTAGCTTAATTAGTATATAAGTGTATTAAGAACTAGGGCTTAACTATTATAATAACTAGTTCTCTATAATTAAATATAATAGTAATATAGTTTACTTTTGTCCGATAAGGCTAATACGAGGCTTATACGAGGCTTATACGAGGCTTATACGAGGCCGGTACGAGAGCTTTCCGAAGGGTGAAAAAGTTGTCTATAATATAAGGACTTAATTAATAACTTATTACAACTACACTCTATAACTGTATTTAATAGAGTAAAAGATGCGCCTTTATTAGCTGAACAAAATACACTTACTAGTTTTATTTATATAAAATTATATAAAATGTGGGGCTTACATACGTAAAAGTCTTGGTAGTCTTAATTTTTTTGAGAAATTTTTTGACCCCTTGTAATAACGCTTAGCTAAGGTTTATATAAAAATTCTAGTAAGTGCTCTTATTCTTTTAGTCTGATTAGTCTATTCCGCTATTTTAAATATAGTTTATATCGCTAATCTAAAAACCTTTCCAACTAAGGTCGAAAGTCGAGTTTTGGTGTGGTTCACTTTGGGTGTCCCTACTGTACTCCGTACGCGAGTATCTTGACTTCTTTAGACTCTAGAATTCAGACTTCAGATTAGGTAAGTTTAGGTAAGTTTAGGTAGGTAGATCCTATCTCTTTAGGCTCTCCTTCCCGAGGTCCTGGATATTTTTCATATCAAGAATCAAGATGGGTGTGGGTTATACTTGTAATATCACTTATCGCAAGTTTTATTGAAATCGACTCGTACTTGTTTACAGATCTCTCTCTATTCTCTCTGTTCTCTCTGTTCTCTCTGTTCTCGCAATTCCGATGCTGTATGGTCTTATATGAATGAATGAATGAATGAATGAATGAATGAATGAATGAATGAATGAATGAATGAATGAATGAATGAACCTGGAAGGAAGGAAGTCGCATAATGAACTTCTCCATCTTAGTTTGTACTGGTCAGTGACGTATGTTAATATCCTGAAACTCATCTCACTATGTACAGAGTAAATGAAAAGAATGTCTGTCTACCTATATAAAGCAATCTCAGCCCCATCTTGGAAAAGAAAAGTTGAATATCTATACTGTGCCCCAACCACCGCAGTCCAGGACAATCGGCCAACGCAGGTAGGTACACGTAATAGATACAATGATTGATATGATAGTAAGAGATCACATAGTGTGAAAATCGACTTGGTTATTTCGCAAAGTCCTATCCGAAGGGGAAAAACAAAATTACAAAGACATATCCCGACGCCTCCCTCCTCTTGCATGCCCCCCCAAAAACTGAATATATGCAAAGAAACGAAGCGGAGTACCAAAAGGCCAGAAAATATTTTCGTGGGCTAACATGAAGGGAGGAGAAGAGGGAGAAACCCCAAGCCAATGTCCGCCATGAGAAACAAGATGTGCCAAGGAATTGTTGTTGGGCGATTGCGACGAGTACTCGAGTAGACGATCCGAAAGGATACAAGACAATCGATGACCAATAATTAACGAGCATTTCGCATCTTGTCGTGTTTCTCCAAAGCATCACAAATCCCCTTCCAATAAGTCAACCTCATCTCGACGTCTCCCATATTTCCTCCTTGGCCCCCAGTATGTACTTCGTGCAATTAATGCACATGATGGTGGAAAAGAAACGCTCGAAATAACCTCCCAACGCCAAATCCCAAAGGTATCGAACCCATTTTATACACTGTAACCAGCCCTCTACATGACGGCGCATTTGCTGTCACTTTTCTCTCCATTCGACTTGACACTTAGGGCCACTCTAGCGGCTTCCGTAAACGCCTCATTGACACCTCGATTTCGCATGGCAGAGCACTCGAGGTATCTCAAAGCTCCGATTCTTCGCGCGACCTCAAGGCCTTGGTTGTAGTTGATCATATCCCTTTTCTCCTTCTGTGCGCCGTCCGCGCCTTCAGTAGCTTCAGCTTCTTCATCCGCATTTTGTTCTCGCAGATCGCATTTCAGTGCGACCAGAACTAGCTTGACGCCTTGGCAATTCTCCGCAATCTCACCCACCCATTTTGATTCGACGTTCTCGAGGGAATCCTTGGAGTCGACGGAGAAACATAACATTATTGCATGTGTATCATCGTAGGAGAGGGATCGTAGCCTGTCGAACTCTTCTTGGCCTGCGGTGTCCCAGAGGGAAAGCTCAATATGAACGCCATCTACGAAAATATCTGGACGCCAGTAGATTAGCATTGGAACAATGGCGCATGTACGGAAATCTGTCGCATACCATGAACGTAATTTTCAAAGACCGTAGGTTCGTAAACTGTGGGGAAATACCTGCATGCATCAGGTAATTAGCCGACTGGTAAGATAGATTGGTGATTTGATTGTACTTACCCTCTGGTGAAGACGTTGAGCAGACTTGTCTTTCCACAAGCACCATCTCCTCTAAATCATCAAATCAGCTGGGTGTTAGGTTATAATTTGACAACTCATGCAGTACAACCAGGCACGGCGCATGTCGCCCAAGATAATTGTTAAACATACAATAGCACCAGCTTCCTCTGGGTTGTTTTGTTTCCTCCAAGACCACACAGCATTATGACGACAGCGAGAGGTTGGTCGCAGAGGCTGGTGCGCTATTTGCTTAGGAGGTTGTCGCTGGGAGGGGTGGGTGTGAGTGAGAGGGTGGCGCAATAATGAATCTGATCAGAGAGGACTGATCTAGTGTATTCTTAAGACTAAGGAAATTGTGGTATGAAAAGAGTGTGGTGTTTAGGGTTAAATTGTGTTGGTTTGCTGAGGTGGTTGGAAAGTTAGGTTGGTATCTGACAAGTGTAATGGTGGTGATGGTGGTGGTGATGGTGGTGGTGGTGGTGACAGGAGCAGGAGCAGAGCTGGAGCAGGAAAGGCGATGGGTGCAAAGTGAAGTCAGTAGAGGAGAGTAAGTAATTTAGAATAGCGCCAGAAGCGATGGATGGCGCTAGAGAGCCAGGCGAGGTGAAGAAGGTGAATGGAAGAAACTGTTTATTCTGGAGGCGAAGGAGTGTTGGGGAAGAGAGGATGACCTTGCAGAGGGAGAGACGGGGTACAGTGAGAATGAGGGTGAGAGTAACTACACTCTAGAACAGCCCTGCACGGGATTGTCGGTGATTGCCAGGGAAGTGCGAGTGAGCATGGGTAGGCGATCCACTGAAGGGTCAACCTAAGGCCCCACCCATATCTGCTGCTAAGATTGCCGTTCCTTGGCATATATCACGTGCCTCGATAAGTCACATGATGTGGCAGGCAATTCTAATAAGGTTGTCTCCACCTGTAACTTCTCCAGTTCTCAGGGGAATGGGCATAAGCAGGCCATCTACTCCACTACATTTTGATATCATTGGGACAAGACACTTGTGCATTGGATACCTCATTGCCAGAAGCAGTCCTCACCCAAGCCTCAGTAGAAACTGCAACCACCAACCACTAATTCCACTGCATTGGTCAAGTTTGATGAAGACCTCAGGAGTATATCTCAACTACAAGAATAACATTACTTCTATATCTAGCAAAAGAACCAATCGACCTATCCGTCCATATATTGTACAATTTATCTTATAAATCTGCAATAAACAGAGCGAAGCGAATACAGCTTCCACGGCAGCCAGCGAGCGTCACCAAGAAGTGTTGGAGTGTTGAAGGAAAGAGTGTTCTTGCGATGTTTGGGGGGTGCAAGTACCATATATGACGCTCCGCTAGCTCCCCGATGGACTTGATACTCATGTAAAGGTAACCTTCAATTATACGTTGGATAAATACACGTCTTTGATCCATGAAGTTATCCAAGTCCTGGAATCATGAGAACTTCCAATGTGTAATAGCTTCACTTCTTCCACTGTACTTACTTTGGCAAGGAAACACCTCAAGTCCTTTTTTGTACAATATCTGCGTGTGGATACACAGGATGTTGAGCTCCATCAGCCAAAATGCTTCGAGGTATCTACGACCATTGCGATGTATTGCACCCCATACTCTGGATTGCCTTTTATTCCTAGGTTACCTACAAACAAGAACGAATATCAACCACCCAGGCGAGGACAGGGGAAAGAATGAGAAACTCTCAGAGAGAGTTATACCATTCCGCCCCGTTCAACCTTGGGAGATTCCGTACAGTGACGGTATCCCATTCTAACCACAATAGGAAATTGCAGGTCAAGACATGCTATCAGCTCTTTCCAGCCAATATCAAACTGTGCAACACGGGAAGCTTTGTCTTCCCTCGCTTAGCCCCCCCGCATAGCACATCACCACATATTACATACTCTGTACGATTCAATATTGTACAGTATACCGTCTGTGGAATATAGGCTCACAAAGCCACAATCTGTAGGCGTTCGGAATTCTATAATAATAATCGATAGTCCCAGTCTCTACAGACTCAGCCCACCAACATTGGCTTCTATCTCTTAGGCAGCCATCTTACCTCTAATCAAAGAAAGTGAAATCGAGTTCTATCGCTACAATGGAGAAGCTTCATTCAAAAGTCGCACCTCTTGAGGCTCCTGCCTCCAAGTGGAACAAAAAACAGGCCCTTCGGCATATAATCATGCATATCGCTGCGGTAACCGCAGTTGTGCTCCTCATTTTACGGGTCGCAAAATCAACCAAACCCTCATCTCCTGAGCACCACTATCATACGAGTACTTGCTCCAAGAACGTGCTGTCTGCTTTTCAAGATGCCGAGCATAGCACTGTCACCATCAATACCAATCCTCTGGATCCATTCGAGAATGCAAAGCTCTCAGCAATCAACAAGACTGCATACGAATGTTGGCAATTCGATGCCGTATCTCCCGAAGGCACCCAGGGTGTAGGAATCTACTTCTGCAGAGACCCTGCATTCCTTGGACTTCACAAGGGGGTAACAATGCTGGAGTTTATGGCTACCTGGGCCAATGGTACGGAATACAATACGGTCCTCTTCGCTAATCAGTCCACCATCGAAACTTGCGATGAATATACCACTGGGAAATGGACCGGCCAGGGTTTGGATTTGGAATTCAAGATCACAAAGTATTTGACCCAGGCTGAGATCTTCCTTTCATCGCCCCAGATTTCGGGATATCTCACGCTGCATTCGACATCACCTGCTCATTATCCAGATGGCACTCTGTATCCTTCGTTTGATGCATCTGTTTCTCTCGCACCACATTACAATGTAGGTTACCCTCTTTCCTCATCATATCCTGTTGAAATGCTAAGTACTCACCTAGTGGGTTGATCCATTCCCCTCAGCCAGAGCAAACGCACACCTCAAAATCAACAATGAAAACTTCGAGATCTCCCACGGCTCCGGGGGCCACGATCACATCTTCGCCGCCTTCCAATGGGCCCAAATAGCCAAGTATTGGTACTCAATGCGCTTCGTTACAGGTCCTTACACACTTCGATACTACGAATACCAGTCCCGCGTCGATGGGAAATACTACGTTTCTGCATACCTCTCGGAGTATGGCAGACAAATATTTTCCACCACCTACGGACCCGAGAACACTTCTGGAAAATTCGCTGTTTTGAGACCATATGAGGTATGACGCCCTCTTTTTATTTTTGACTTTCTTTCGCGAGGTTGCTTTACTGACGAATGTTTTTGAAAGGGCGCGGGAATTCACGGTGCTCACAGTGACCAAAGTACCGGATGGGAGGTATCTCTTGTGGATGTCGAAGCGGATCAGGAATGGTATTTCATTGAGAAGCACAGAAACATTTTGTATCAAGGTCCTCCTTCCTCGAAAGATCAGAGGATCGAGTACGACAGATTTGTGGGCACGACTACGGGGGGTAGTTCTGGTGGGGAGCAGTACCAGGGTGTTGCGATTGGAGAGCAGGTCGCCATTAGAGATCCCTCGTAAATGAGTAGAGTCTAGGCTGAAAAGGGTGTGGCGGCGTGGTCAAGGACTTTGGTTGAGTTTGTGGGATGGTGGGACTTTTGTTGGAATACTGAACTTCATTTCAAAAACTGATCGGCTGGTTGAATTTCTGTATGGGTTTGAGCCAAGGGATCAAGCTACTCGGTCAATTTGATCTTTAATTTGTTTTGCTTCCCACGAAAGGTTTCGCAAGTACAGTACTACGTTGGTGAAAGTATGCCGTGTCGTAGTGCTACGGTATTCAATGCTTCACAATTCAGTCCTTGAAAGAGAGGGTAAGGCAACACCAGAGGGGACCAGAGGGACAAAATCAGTCAAGAAAAGTACAAATGCGTCACATCTTCGTGAGTGCTTATGCTTTTTTTTGGAAGACGTAGATTCTACGAGCTCAAGTATCTTGGATTCTTAAATCCAGTCCAATAATCTAAGTCTGAGCTCCATTTCAATAACCAGAAAGGGTTGGATGTTGGGCCTCTGTGTTTTGCTCTTGCTCGGTCACGAGTCTTTACACTCATTCATATCTGTTATTAGCCACAGAAGAAGGTTCATTATTGTTGAGGTCATGGTAAACTCACAGATCCAGCCTCTTCTCTGGTTTGCCTCTGAGAAATTGGCGTCTTGAGAGACTGGTAGTAATTTGTGGGACTGCTTCACAGATACAGTAGCTGAAGCTATTGTATGCACTGTATGGAATACTAGACGTTGATAATGGGGTAAGGAAATATGACCTTGTGTTGTAAGATGCATGTGGGTACGAAATCAAATGTCAATGATTCTCCATGCATCTTCTTGTCGCTATCAGGCTTTTTGCAAAACCTTTTACTAATTCAAACTTCGTAGCTAAGGATCGAGTCTATTCAGTAGGACTCGTCTTGCACGGACTTCCATGCTTGCAACATGGCTATACACTGAGTGATCCGCTAGGGCTCCGCTTCTTTGGGACTAGCGAGCTCCTACACTAGCATATATAGTAGCTAGCTCAGTAAGAACACAAGCCTTCTGCCTCAAAACACACGCAACAACAAAATTCAGTTGAGAAATTCCAACTTGGGAGTTCTCTCAATGCTCTTCAATATCACACCGTAAGCGACATTGACGAAAACCACAAAGCCTTTAAAAACAGAATCTTAAGACATCCAGATATAATAGCCAAACATCGGAAGAAGCGTACAAGAACGCTCAAAGCAACAGGCCGTTACTCGAAATGCTAGAATTCGAAAGTAATTGTTATTTCTGTTTTTGTTTCTTGCTATCCATCTCCTTGAGCTGGATAAAGGGGTACCCAAAGCTTAGCGAGGTTTTGGCGGAAGGGTGGCCCCACATCCGACGTCGACCACCTAACTACCTCCCTCAACCACAACAGATACCGCATTTAACCACTTCAAACTCTATTGGTCCATCCATCGTTATCAAATAAGCCCCTTGCCAATTCCCTCGTCATTCTCAATTCACTGAGCAAGTATCAATGTTATCCTGAACGTTCCGCCAATATCCAATCACATCGCACCCTATTAAAAATGACGTCCCCCCAAGAAATCCCAAGAAATCCCAGTACGTCTAACTAGAGCATATCAAGATTAAATCTTCTGTCTGTTATCATGTGCCCTCCCGTGTTTGTGGGATTCAATGGTTGGGAATCTTATCTATCATGCAACACGTTGTGTAACAACATGACGACCGCCAATATCTCTCACCAAGCATCCCACGACCTCTGGAGAAACGCAGAAAATCATCATTGAAAACTTACCTCATAGCAAGTCCATCTACGATAATATGTCGAGCCAGAAGGAAGTCGTTAATACGGACGCTACGGCCCACAAGGAAACTGATCACCGGGGGGCAGACCATCACAAGGAGTTTGAAGGTAGGAAAGATGGTAAATCCGCCGATGAGACAAGTGATCTGGAAGTCCGCGACCCGGGAGTCGTCAACAAGACCGCGCCTTTGGCTCGGGACTTGAAGGGTCGTCATATGCAGATGATAGCAATAGGTGAGTCGAGAGTACACATCTTCGCTTCACATACTCAAAATATGCTACAGGTGGCTCGATTGGTGCCGGTTTGTTCGTGGGAAGTGGAGGTGCTTTGAGTACTGGCGGACCCGGTTCACTCGTTTGTCAAACCCCTACGCTCCAGCTAGATTGGGAAGCTAATTATGATTCGAAGTTTTGGGCTACATCATTGTGGGATCGATGCTCTTGTGTACTGTCCAGGCTCTGGGTGAACTGGCGGTCTTGTACCCAGTTAATGGCGCGTTTTTCACTTACATGGTCCGTTTTGTGGATCCTGCGTTGTAAGACATCCCTTTTGTTGTTTTTTCAAATGCGCCCGTTTGGTTCGAGAACCTTAGAGGTATTCATGTGCGGTGATATAAAAGTTGAACAAGAAGACATCGAGGATCTTCTAGAGAGCTCAACATCTTGGACCCTTCTCGAAGGATCTTCGTATTTGTTCTACAACCTCCAAAGCGAAATATTAGCTCAACTAATCCTAAGCCCCTCACCCCATCTCTTATCATAGCTGATTCCACCCATCTCAAACGGGTACTAACACAAACCACAGCGGATTCGCAGTAGGTTGGGACTACGCCATCGGATGGCTAACAGGTGACCAAACCCCCATCATCTCCCATCCCAAACCCATTACTAACAATCGACCTCATAGTTCTCCCATTCGAGCTCGTCGCAGCAGGTATAACCATTCGATTCTGGCGCGAAGACCTCAGTATTGGTATTTGGGTCGCGGTTTTTCTCGTCATCCTAGCTGTAATTCAATTCTGGGGCGTTCGGGGATACGGAGAAGGTTTGAATATACCAGTCATAATCATAGCGAAGGAATATGCTGACATATGTTAGTGGAATTTGTGTTCAGTGTTATCAAGTTATGTGGTTGTATTGGTTTTATTATTTTTGGAACTGTTGTGGCTTGTGGAGGTGTTGGGGATCAGGGATATCTTGGTGCGAAGTATTGTAAGTGGCTCGCTCGTACCCTTTTACTTGTTTTGCCGAATTCTTTTTTGTATATGGGCTGCTCAGAATGAGAGTTACGAGCAGCAGCGAGAGTTTTCTTGCTCATTGATAGCATAATTTCAGTGGTAATTATAGACGTCTGGAGGCTTGAGGTTCAGTCTAGATTACTATCTGAAATTGTGCTATACATTGAGCGTACTGAGGGCGAAGCACGAAGAGATGATGTATATGCAGAGATGAGATTGGCAATACGGTGACTCAAGCCGCGAGAAGGGGAATGTGATTATATAATGCAGCCAGTTTGGGGGGAAAGGGAGGGGTTGCTTTCAATATCCCTCGCACGGGTGTGATGAAGGTTATTCTCTAGGTCTCGGTTGAAGAAAACAAAAATAGGAACCTGCTAACATTCAAGCAGGGCACAACCCAGGAGCCTTTGCCAATGGTTTCAAGGGATTCTGTTCAGTCTTCGTCGTCAGTGCCTTCTCATTCGGAGGCACAGGTAAGATCTCCACACTCTCGCTTATTTTCCTCCCCTTAACACTTCTCAATTCCCAACCCACTAACACCATCACCACCAGAACTCATAGGCCTCACCGCAGCCGAAGCATCCAACCCGGCAAAAAGCCTCCCCCAAGCCACCAAGCAAGTATTCTGGCGCATCGCCTTCTTCTACATCGTCTCCCTCTTCATCCTCGGCCTCATCGTCCCCTACACCAACGAAAACCTCCTCAACTCCTCAGGCGCCAACTCCAAATACAGCCCCTTCGTGATCGCCATCCGGCTCACTGGCGTCAAGGCCCTCCCCTCAATCTTCAACGTAATCATCACCGTCTCCATCAGCGTCGCAAACTCGTGTGCCTTCGGCTCCACACGCACCATGCAAGCGCTCGCGGAGCGCGGCATGGCACCCAAGTTCTTGGGGTACGTGGATTCGAAAGGACGACCTCTCTGGGTGCCCTGCTACAGATAGGATTTGGATTGCTGGCGTTCATTGGACTGTCGAATCGTCAGACGATTGTGTTTAATTGGCTTCTGGCACTTTCGGGACTTTCCTTCTTCTTTGTGTGGGGTGCGATTTGTCTTTCTCATATTAGATTTCGACATGCCTGGAAGGTTCAGGGACATCTGAAGGCGGAATTGCCTTATGAGGCGATGTTTAGGGTGGGGGGTTCTTGGTATGGGTTGATACTTTGTTGTCTTTGTATGATTGCGACGTTTTATGTTGCGCTTTTTGTGAGTCTTCATTCCCACGGGGGGTTCTTGTCTATTCTGTGTAAATGACTAAAACCTGTATAGCCCATTGGCGGAAGCCCAGACGCTGAAGCGTTCTTCACGCAATATCTTGTAAGTCAAAGCCCTCACCATTCCTTCCCATTCTTCCCATTCTTCACTTCGAGTGTTCTCCAGTTATCTTGTAACGTTCCAATCCAAAAACCTTCAAGCTCAAGTTGCACTAACCACTCATATATTTAAAATGGGCAGCTCCAATCATCATAGTCTTATACTTCGGATGGAAGATCTACGCACGCGATTGGCGATTCTGGATTTCCGCTCATGAAATGGACATTACGTTTGGCAGAAGATCAATAGTTTTGGATCCTAATAACATGCCTCCGAAGAAGACATGGAGGAATGCCCCTAGGTGGGCTCTAAGAGCGCTTTTCTAGTGTAAAATTTTAATAGCTGACAAGGGGAAGGAATCTGATGGTGGAATGGTCAGTAGTCGATGGGAAGATTGGATAATTCTCACTTTACGTTACTTCTTACAAAGAAGGATTAATTGAAGCCTTGGATGAGTTTTATTTATGTGTATTCTCTTGTAGATGAGCACGGCGTCAGAATCCACATGGCACCCAACCAAGTCCCCTACAGTATGTGGAATGAAAATACCTAGGTACCTAATGAAAAACCCCAGCTTCAATTCCGTTGTAGTACTATCATTAAGTCTTGATGGCAAACATCAATATAGCAGGAATTTAGCTGGAGACGGCATAATTCAATTCCTCTCAGATGACTACCTAATCCCCATGGGCCCCCAACCCTGACCTTGGCTTCTCAAGAATCGTGTTCGTGGCCAATCGTGTATATCATCAAACATGTGAACTGACGCTCGCAACTCGCACGCTGGGGTATCGCATCCGTTGAAAGAGAAAAATTAAACAAGAAAGATCCTCGCCAGAGAGGCCACCAACATAAAACGGCTGGCATACGGCTGAATCGTCAAGGTCTGAGATGAAGAGACGCTCAGAAAACGCTCAATATCATCTCCATATCAGCAGACAGCCAGCAAATTCCCCATCATACTTATGAACCCAAAGATGCAGCAAAACCAAATCGCAGACATCCCCAGACAAGAAGTGTATAGCCACCACCACCAACTTGTTGGATAAACGCCCCAATAACATCTTCGTCCTCCATACCAAGCGACTGGGGAGTATCCGTCTTCTGGATCCTAGAGCCATCAAAGAAAAAACGATAAGTTCCCAGTTCAACATTGTGATTCTTTTCGAAGGCGTTCATCAATTTTTCTAATTTCATATGTGCTTTTGCTTTGAATTGAATCTCTTGGCCTTGCTGATCTTTGACTTTTAGAGTAACCAGTATAGGGGCTTCGGGTTTTTCTTCCGGTTTTCCCTCGGTGTCCGACATGTTGAAGTAGTGTGTGGGGGTAGGAGGGGTACGAGTAGGTAGTTTTGTCCGCTTGGAAGAGGTGTGCCCGTTTGTCGCCAATTAGCGTGAGATCGCTAGCAGGAGACAGAGAGGGGAGTGTCGAATGAAACTAGATCTCGGGGGAGAAGGGATTATTTGTCGGACCTGAAATACTGGTTGGACGAAGCTCGAAGCTGGGTGAAGCTGCTGGGTGAAGCTCTCGCGGAATGACGGACCTGCAACAAGCAATGAGCCTCCCGTCCTCACTTTCTCAATCCGACATTTTGTGTGGGACCAGTCTCACCTTTACAGCATGGGGTACACCTTTTCGATCGAATCCGTAAATGTGGAATTCTTCATCAAGCTGCTAATCTGTTCGTTGTTGCCGGGCGCGCGTTGTGGTGTCTTTTGGGGAGACAGTATTGGCGTTGCGGGGAAGGAAGAATCTCGGCGACATGCGCTCAAGTCACCAGAAAACGTGACTGCTCTGTTTTCTCGTGGATACTTGGTACCTCAGTATTGTACAAGCTACTGTAAGACTGATCCAGAACTGGCAGTAGCTTTCTCTGTCTTCCTTTTCTAAACCAAACAAGTAGTCACCTGGAACTTTTGCTTCACCTTTCAAAAGAATTCTTACTAGCAATGTAATCTGAAATTGCCATCGCTTCTCCTAGGCTGCTTTATATACTCTTAAGTTTTAAGCCAATTCCTCATAACACACCCAGAAAATCAGAACAGAACAGCTCCAAAATAGATTCCAGCCAATTTTCCATTCACCACAAGCGTGTATCCATACTAGCGAAATCATCCGTCCCCAAATCTGCCCATCTCCGACCGACTGGACTTGAGTTAGAGATCTCATCTCAATTTTTCGAACACTTACAAATCCCATTCCTACACAAGTCCTGCATTAGTAATGAAAAAGTACGACCGGTATGTTCGTTTTTTGCAAGTACTTACGAGCAACTCTTAGCATTTGGACCAGCCGCACAGTTGGGGCAATCCGCGGCAGTAGTACATGGCTTCCCTAATGCTTCTGCTACGCTTGATAGCGTGACGAGGGATATGAGGACGAGTTTGAAGGTTGCGAAACGCATGTTGGATCTTGGTTTTCAGATGTGTATGCTTGAGGGAATTGGAAATGAATACGAGTAGGGACAATCGGAGGCTTTGTAGAGAGCAGTTGGGGTTTGACTTTTATCTATACTGCAGAGAATTGATACTCGGATATCCACGCTTTTATCCTTAGCATTTTTTGTTTCTGACTAGATCCTTAGGCCGCGTTTCATTTGTACTTATCTTATAGTTGGGATATACTTTGAAGTGCCTCAGATTATGCATGAGACCGGCAAACTTGAAAAGTAAGTTTATAATACGTACGGTACGGGAATTAATCATGTGTTAAGACGAAAGATTATAAGGCTGTAGAAGACAAATATCGCTAGAGTATATCTAACCAATAGCAAATGCATTTCACAAGTGAAGTAGAAACATTAACCTCGCTAAGAGAACACCAATCTTCCAGGGTTGAATATACATAAATAGATCAAAGTGACTAACAGACTACCACAAGAACAAAACCATCACAAACTACGCAACACCCCCTCTCAAACCCCACCAATCATATGCACTTGCGCTTCAACAACATCACCATCTCGCATCTCCAACGATTCAGGCGTCATGTCCACCTCGAGTCGTTGAGATTCGTAAAAATATCCGTAGGGGCTATCACCTGGATTTATACCGTGGAACTTTTCGAAAGCATTGATGGCTTTCTGCAGTGGTGTAGTGGACTTTAATTGAATGGTGGCTCGACGATCACTGCCATACCTCGGGTCTTGTATCTTGATCGATAGCTTGTGAGCTTTGGGAGGCTCTTGGTTGAGGTTGCCCTGAGGCTGTTGGGGGTCTGTCATGTTGAGAATAAGTGAGGCGTTGAATCAGTGTGTATGTTCGTGAAGGAGTTGTATGCTTTTCCTTTGCTAATCTATATGAAGGAAAGTGCTTGAATTTATAACTTAAAAAGAATACTACTCAAGCGTAAGAGTCTTAACTCATGGATCCCCGACGAGGCTCATGGATGGTCGTAGGGTGGAAAGGAAATTTCTTATCCCTTGGATCTATTCTAACTCTTTGTAGAACCATCGAGAAGTGTGTAATCTTACAATCTAGAAACAAATTTAAGGACTAACTAACTAACCCAGTCCTTTGATTCATAACTTCATGTAAGAGGTATCGGTTATATACAGAGTGTATATAAGACAGTGGAAGTAGGATGGTCAGATGACTGTTAGGTACATCGGGAATCAAAAGAGTAAGAATTTGACTTGTGAAAATGACTTGATTTTTCTAACTATAAGGACAGTAAAGGTCTATATATACTCCTTAAATAGATTCTAGGAGGTTCTATAGATTATAAATAGAATAGAAGTGCTTATAAATAGAAAGGGATACTAGAATGTTTCGGTTCACGTGATCGAACGTTCTAGAATAAGCGAGAACAGACTAAGGTTTAAACCTAAAGTCTATTAGTAAGTAAGGTAATTATTACCTAAATGAAACAATACTTATAAAATAGGCAAGTATTTTGGGGGTCATACTGTTAAAAGCTAATCAAGGGCGTATATTATTGATTTCTATAACGTGCATGTATAGCGAACCGGCCAAAACCCGGCGACCCCACCACACCTCCACGAAATATTAAATTTCTCTACAACGAAGGATGCCTCTGAAAAATGACGAAAGCCGGTTAGTCTTAGCTATCCAAGCTATGCAAAAAGACCCAAATTTACGTGCTCGAGCTGCTGCCAGGACCTATTCTGTAGACCACCGGAAGCTAGGTCGACGTTTGCTTGGTATACCTTCACGACGCGATATTTTAGCCAATTCACGGAAAATGACCGAGCTAGAGGAATCAGTACTTGTTCAACATATCCTCGACCTAGCTACAAAAGGATTTCCTCCGCGGATATCTGTAGTTGAAGATATAGCAAATCGACTTCTTGAAGCACGCGACGCGCCACGCGTCGGGACGCGTTGGGCTTATAACTTTGTTAAGCGCCGCCCAGAACTCCAGACACGCTTCCAACGAAAATACGACTATCAGAGAGCTAAGTGCGAAGATCCAGAAGTCATTCGTGGCTGGTTTGAGCTTGTACGAAACACAATAGCGAAGTACGGAATCTACGATGCAGATATCTACAACTTTGACGAGACTGGGTTTATGATGGGCGTTATCTCAACTGCAATGGTTATTACAAGCTCAGAAGGACGTGTAAAAGCAAAAAGAGTACAGCCTGGTAATCGGGAATGGGTTACAGTAATCCAGGGGGTTAATGCCCAACCAAGGTTGGTGTGTTCCACCGTTTGTGATTGTTGCCGCAAAAAATCACCTCGCTTCTTGGTACCAAAACAGTGGATTTCCACCTAACTGGGTGATTGCTATTACTGAAAATGGTTGGACAACAAATGAGAAAGGCATGGATTGGATTCGACATTTTGAGAAGCATACAAAGTCCCAATCTATGGGTGGTTATCGTCTATTAGTCCTCGACGGCCATGAAAGCCACCACTCCGACGAATGAATATTGCAAGGAAAACAACATTATCACTCTTTGTATGCCTGCTCATTCTTCTCATATACTCCAGCCACTCGACGTTGGCTGTTTTAGCCCTTTGAAAAGGGCATATGGTCAGCAAATTGAAGATATGATGCGGGCTCCGATCATCCATATTACTAAGGATGATTTCTTTCCTGCCTTCCACGCCGCATTTAATATTGCAATGACAGAAAGCAATATCCGAGGAGGGTTCCGAGGGGCTGGGCTTCTTCCATTTGACCCAGACAGTGTAATTTCTACACTTGATCTTAAGCTAAAGACGCCAACGCCTCCAAACTCCCCCCTGTATTCCGCTCAGCCTTGGGTTTCCCAGACACCAAATAACCCTACTGAAGCCTTATCACAGACTGCATTTATTAAAGATCGAATTTTACGCCACCAAAGGAGCTCTCCAACCCCTATTTACGAGGCCATTGACCAGTTTACGAAGGGTGCATCAAAAGTAATGCACCAGATAGTACTATTGAAAGCTGAGAACCAGAGACTTCGACAAGCAAATGAAGTACTAAGTAAGCGCCGTAGAGCTAAAAAAACACGCCTACAGCAAGGAGGATCACTTAGTCAACATGAAGCGCAGGACCTACAGGATGATAGAGACGTTGGTGAGCAGGTAATGCAGGAAATAAAGAGAAGTAGTGGTCGGAAGCCGAGGGAAGAATCACGTGCACGGCGCTGTGGCAACTGCGGAGAGACTGGTCATAATACGCGCACCTGTAATATTATAGAGGAAGTATCTGAGGAAGAAATTTCTGAATAGTGTTTTTTAATTAGAGGCGTTGTGGTAGAGTTCTTACAATTTCAATCGCGAGTGTAGAAAATTTTGGCCGGTTCGCTTGTTTGGCCGGTTCGCTATACATGCACGTTAAAGACTATTGGGATTACAAACCAAAACTCGGTTAGTTGCCGAAAAGTAAAGAGTATAAATATAGTGTTTTTTATCTACTTTATTCTACTACTCTCTTGAACCATATTAATATACTCTAGTATTTGCAGTGGATTTTGATTGGACGCTGCACTCAGCTTCTACAAATAGATGCGGTTACATAATCTCGTTCCATCCCGCTTATTTAGCCGCGGTGCTGCATCACTTCATCCTCGATGTCCAGGCTGGGCAAGTGCAATTGTTTTAGGTTTACCCAAGTTGCCCTTATTCTCTGGGTCTCCAGTGAATTGAGACTCTCTATTTACCATGGCATCTGCAGAATTTTTGGCTGCCAATGACGGGAGCAAGACTGGGAATGAGGGTGAGGCGAGTACCATCTCGAGCCCCAGCCTTGTCTTGATTGACGAAAATAGATGGGCAGAGCAACTTAGGCAACAGTATTTGCGTCCTTCTATGACAGCATCAAAGTCTTACTGAGTATTCTAGGAAATGCATGCAGAATTTAGAGGCGAAACTAACTAGTCGGGTGGAAAAGTTCCTTGAACTTGCTTCACCACCGGAGCAGACGGCGCTGAAAGAATCGCAGGACCAGCTACGGACTCTCATGGAAGCAGCTAAGAAAGAAGATCAACTCAAGAATCCAGATTACGGTACTACTCCGATGCCAACGAGTCAACGCTTCAAGGAGCATTATAATTCTTTCGTACAGAGCGGTTACGGTTTGTCAAAACACATCGACCTTTTCGTTGGTCAAGCGCCAGAATATGTATCGCTGGTATGGGGAGCCATCAAGATATTGATGATTGCACAGATCAACAACCAAGAACTCAAGGAAAATGTACATTCTCACCTTAAAAATATCGCCAGAATATTCGAACTCGTGGACCAGCTTCCAGATCTCATACCCCAAAAGAATTTGGTGGAAGCAGTGTCTGAAGCATATGGACTTTTTTCGAAGTTCTTAGCAAAGGCTGTCAAGTACCATTCCGAGTGCCGCGCTCGTAAGTCTGCTTTTTTCGTTCGAAATGGAACCATTAAGGGCTTATATCTAGATGCCCGACTATGAGCATCAAACGTCTGACTTAGAGCATCGTTTCCAAGGAGATATATCAAAGCATTAGCAAGTTCTTGGAAAATCAGGTCCCAAGATATTGTCGACGAAATTGATAGCGCTATCGTTTACATCAATGAAATTACCCAGGCTCGAAGTTACATAACCGCAGAGACCAACCTTGCGATATCTGGTCAAATACTTCAGGCCAATGAGAAGATGTGGGATGTCATCAAAAACTTACCTGAAGCCATTCTAAATCTAGGAGCCGAGCTAAAAGCAGTTCAATTTGAGAAGTCAATTGATGTTTATCAAACGACAAGCATGATGCAGCAACGACTAGAGGAACGTTTCTCAAATCCCAACACAGCGTCAGCACCAGCAGAGCCTGTGGACGATGAAAAAATCAGTAAGTTCTAAATATAACTGATCGAAATTTATCTCATACAACCTAGGCCCATTGGGTGGCGATATTTTGGATATCTTTACCGACTTGCGAGATTTCGAGGCCGAAAAAGAGCAGGCTGAAGAGACAAAGTTCGTCCCAGAGACCACAGAACAGAGGACCAAAAGACGCAACATGCTTCAATCCGATGAGATCATTACATGGATTGAGTCTGAAAGATCACAGTTGTTGTGGATAGATGGAAGCTACTTGCTGAGCCGTTCATACCACTTAGCTTCCTTCATTACGCCACTTACAATTGATGCAGCTTGCAACTATGAATTAATCACGATTCTGAAGCATTTCTGTAGCAGCAGTCATTCGACTCGTAATTCGTGCCTGGCTCTTCTGCAAGCGCTCGTCTCCCAGATCATTAAACAGCATCCTGAAGTCGCCGAGGGAGACGATGCAAAGATCTCCCGATCAAAACTCCCGCAAGCCGCAAAAGATTTTACCAAACTGTGGGAACTTCTCAAGGATTGTCTCACAGTCAAGTCCCACCATGATTTGCACCGAGTCTACATCATCATTGAAAGTATTGATGAATTGCAATCCGTCAATATGGACAATTATAATATCCTAATGCTTCGACTTCATGATCTGATTCGTCAGGACGGCTTGCTCGTGAAGATACTGCTCAGTTCTCGCGTCCTTCCGGGGGCCCCAGTAGCTTCAGATATCAGTAATTCGCTCTCCGTCCCACACCGCAAGTGGGCATTGTTACCTTTCGAGGAAAATATGCCAATGCTGCAAAGAAAGTTCTCAGAGATACAGGAAGGGCGATGTAAATCAATCACGTTTCCCCAGCTGGTGTTAATCTATCCTCCGAAGACCCTCATTTATACCAAAGTGGGTGATGCTTTCCAAGCATATGTCATCTTTGAGATTAGTGGCGCAACGGAAACGATGCCTGGGAGATTCGATCCCCTCCATTTGCGAGTTTGGTCGGTCGATCACAATGGCACCTATTTTACCAAAAGATATCTTGATTTGGATATCACCCAATTTTCCGGAAGCAGAGAATTGAAAGATCTACGGTATATCCCAGCCGGCTACTTGCCTGACGAATCACGGGTCAGGAACATGCTAGTTGAGAGAGGCCGACGGTACTGGGAATTGGCTGAGGAGCCACAATATTGTTATTCATCGGAAAGAGTAAGCCGTAAAACTTTCTCAAGTTTTACTTCTCTAACAAAGAATCTGTTAGGATTTCAGCCACGTTATGGTTGACCAGGGATACCAGACATTGCATGAAGTCTCTCAGCAGGAATTAGATGACCAATTTCAGAAAACACAAGCCGGTGATCTGAAAGCCATGATCTCTATCTTGTGCCCTCATATTATCCGCGCCTATGAACTCAACAGCCTGAAGTGGAGTGAGTTAGCCAACTCTATCCTTTCTTTCGTATTCCTTCCCGCTAATATTATTCAAGTCGAGGCCGAGATTGGCAAGCTCAGTGAAGCTGGTCCATACAAAAACATGCATCGAATAAAAATGAAACACGAGGGAGTCCTCTGGGCAAACATGGCAACATACATCAGCCAATTCCATGGACGAAAGTCCAGCACGTCTTATCAAGCTGATTTTGTCATAGGAAAAAGAATGGGGCTCATCATGCTCCTCCACGGGCAGTCCATTGATTTGGAACAAAGTGGCGTTGTAGGCAAGTACTTCGTCTCTTGGCCTTTAGATACTGTGTTGATCTATTATTATAGAGAATGCCTGCTCCAAATTTGGACTTCCACTCCTTGTCATTACTATGGGAACGCTCGTTAATTCAGCTGACATGGACACCCAATTACAAGAGTATATGGAACTCGCTCTTCGCTGGGGAGAAGTCTTGTATTTCGAAAATATCGACCGGCTTTCTGAAATGGGTTCTGGGCCTATTACTGGCTCAATTAACGTCGAAGTCACCTTCTATCACCGACTAAGATCGTTCCAAGGAATCGCTGCTTTGAGTGTCAGCAAAGATCCTGTCAAATTCTCGTTGGATCCTCTCAAATTCTCCAACGAATTTAAGAAGTTCATTCCAGTGTTTCGTGTGGCCTTCAAGGTAGTTCCTCCGAACGATAACAATCTGTGGGTTATCTGGGAAGAATGTTCAGACCAAATGTGAGTGCATTTCGCTCCCATATTAATAGGACATAGCAAGCTAAGACAGAGAAGAGCCTATAATGGTGATCGGACGGAATTCAGGGAGTGGATAGAAGAATATGGTAGCGAAGGCAGTACAGTCCTCGATACTCGCGTGGGAATCATGAATATTTGCCACAATGTCTCTGCACAAGCGGGAGAAGACAGGTATAAGCTTGAGCCAAGAAACTTCATTAATGCTATGAAAGAAGCAAAGCATTTTTGGGCCGTAAATACCAGTAGCAAGAGATCGCCTCCATCGGGCAAATAAGTGTGGTTTTCAAGCTGTTCCCGTTCTGGGTTGATGTTTGTTCGTAGCGACAATAATACTTTTGCTCAATTCCTGTCGCTAGTTACATAACTGTAACTGTTGTGTAATGTGCAGAAAGTAGAGTCTAGAGTGACTTACACTTAATAGGATTGTAAGAAAACCACGCAAGAAGCAATTGAGTAAGATTCAAACAAACTGCTGTAGTTAACCCGTTCTTGTGCACTACCTGTTCTAACCAATCGCACAGCACATTCCCTCACCACTGTCACCCACTATCTTACTATTTTGGTCTAATAGTTTTCTTACCACTTGCCATTTGGCTGTAGACAAAGCGCTAATTAATCAAGCTTGCACTGGCTGGATTCTATGTGAATAAGTTATCTTTTGCTATAAGGTCTTTTGTTGATACGCGATACTTCCAAACAGTAACATAAAAGTCAGGGTCTTTCATAAGCTCTATAAATAGGAAATTACGAAGGAAAGGATAGTGTGAATTGGTCTTGATAACATCCTTTTCAAAGTACTTTAAAGTGAACAAGAAACAAAATTTATGCTTTGCATAATTGGAAGAATGATGTTCTCCTCTCAAGTATGTTAGACATAAACGTCTGCAAAACCTAAGGATGAGGTCAGGCGAGGCAGAGACTTGCTTAGAGATACACATAAATTCTCAGGACCAAGAGGTCACAAGTAAGATAGGGTCAAAGGTTTCGTAGAAAAAGAGATGCAAGGTATCTCAAGAGCAGAGACGACATGACTCCGAGATTCATTGTCGAGCTCTTAGATGGGAGGCTTCATGTGAAGGATAAGGAAGTAGAGGGATTTAGGGATCGCATAATGTAGTGGGAGTTGTTATACCAGTAGCCCCGAGATCGCAACGGATGATAAGAAAGCAGGCTTTTCAAAATATTTAGGGAAGAAAAGGATTACAAGATCAATAATGAGTATTGCGGGTTATGGATACAATAGTGAAAGAAGACAGAAACATGAAATTGGCTGAGGAAGCAGAGAAGAAGTGTTAATTATTTATCCTGAAAATGTGCTAGATTTATATTACATGGATCAAGTTCTACTTTCATAATCGCCAACTTAGCTCGTTGCCGCATTTTCGACTATCATAATAAAGTGGTTAAATTTCATCGTCGGACTGGGTCTTCGCACTTACAAAACTATACCAACCGGTTAAGTTATAAAAGAGTCGCAAACATTAACCCGCCATGATTCTTCCACGTGTCTCTACATCTCAATTAAATTCCCCTTCCGAAGTTTCTTCAAGGCTTCTAGGATAATACTCCTAAAAATAAAACATTCGAAGCTTATATGCTTAATATTTACCTGAACAGTTTAACTCAAAAGCATTACTTCAAGTTTCTGAGACAATTCAATTAAATAAATAAATTTAAAAAAGAGTCGAGTGGATTCATCCGTAGAACTTATCAGTTTCCACGATTAACAAGTAGAATTCACTTGTTGGTACGCTCTAATACTAAACATTAGCGACTTTTCCGCTCGCTTAGCAGCACCGATACAAAACAAAGGCACCGAAATACGGACTAGACCCTGAAGGCACGTTTAGAACATAAAAAGTAGGTCTGCACAGAACATGGAAAAGATAAGAATACCATATATTAAAAAGATCTAATCTGACCTATAAACCCGACTCAAGTAGTCACTGAATATTTATTCTTTTATATTCAAGTAGCCTTTAGTAATAACCAGATAACCAAGGCATAGTCGGTCCGAGAACCGCAGGTCATTAGACGACCTCTGAATCTATCTTGGACTCTGCTAAACCAAGTAACATTATCTATGTGGTTCTAATATGCCGACGATGTTATATTATTATTAGGTGTTTGAATCAACTTTATTTGAATCACCGGGACTTATTCTACCGTACTCTTTTGTCACGTTGCTTGGAATCTATTCATTCGATTCGGGCTCTCAGGGTGATAATTAGACAACTGACCAATCCCTTCTCGTCCATGATCAGAGTTGCTGGTAAGTTATCTATTCGTTACCGCGTGTCGAAATGCGGGGTATTAGGCTTAAGTAGACAAATAGCTCGCCCTCTCTCACGCGCCGGTAGAAGTTACCATATCCATTTCTTTGGTAGATATAAGCAAGGATATATATTAAACGACACATAACAACCCATTCTCTTGGACTTTTTCGTGCCGTAGAGTAGATTAGATTAGACCAGATCAAGGTTTGACCTGTGCTCCGAATTAAAAATCCTCCGATGATGCCAGCTGGTGGTGTGAATGACCTGCCAGCCTGCCAAGCTAGCAACGGAGAATACCCAAGACACAAACCAAACTCCTCCCCTCGTGGATGAGTTCTCGATACTTTGCCGGTAAAATCTTGATTCGGAAAGAGGGCGCCCGCAGGGACGCCTTCCCGGTACCTCCAACCACGAGGCCAGAGTGCTTTTCAACCTACCGGTCTCTTAAGCGAGTTTTGCCACAAATCAACAGCCTCTTTTGTGCAACAGCGGCCAGAATCCGGTCCACAAGGCCCACTGATTATGCCTCCAATTCATGAAAGAGAATCTCCATCCATTACTGCCATACTATTCAAGTCATCGGGTCACGGCTCTCATCTCCTATCCACCGGGCAACTATCAAAAGAACTTACCCGCGAACGCACCTGAACACCACGTTTAATCATGAGTGCGTTGGGAAGAAAGACCAGCCCGGTGTGTCACGACACAAAGATTTAATTTACTTCAGTACTTTCAATGCTACACTATGTTATCCATGTATTCAACCTGTCAGTTACCTGCCCTTTCAAGCGAAGCAATCAATATAAATAATAATCCCAACGATGCGTATCAAAACCTGTCCATGACCTACCCCTTTTAGACATGTACCTAATCAGGTCAACACTCCGCGTGGCACCAGAGAAGTAATAAGTTCTTACAGTACACGTTGTACTCCAGATGCATCCGCTCAATTGATCGAGATTCCTCGATGCCCTGCCCTCACAGACCACAATATTGGTAGGTATGAGAACCGCAAAGGCTTTACTGTGACAAAACCATGACCAATATTCCTGCACCCACCTGCCCGCAGCCATTTTTCCCATCATTTCAAAACTCCAAGAAAAACGCAAGAAAAGAGAAGAAAAACGGAATATTCCATGGAACTGTACAGTACGTACCCGCCGTCTCATCTCACGACCGATACCAACCTCCCTCAACATCCGGACTTCCTCAAGAGGTCCCCAACTACCGAATCTAATCTCCAAAAGGCCTGATCAACTACCTGATCAGCCCGGATCGTCTCTGAAAAGGCTGCACGCAATATTACTCCCATTTGCGCCTCTACCACATCCACTCATTTGCACCAAAAAACCAAGAAAATGAATAGGAAAAGTGTGACCTCATCCCATCCCTCCCTTGAAGGTATCCACGATAAACCGAATTCTGCATAAAATAACAGATCCAAAAAATCCAAAAATCTGTACTGTATACGTATGTACTGCACATCAGTCGCACAAACGACGTTCCACCCACCTAACCTAAAACCCAGCCTTACCATCCAGCCGTCGATCCGCTACCGTTCCATTCCCGGTAAACGATTTTACATCGAATCAAACAAAAAGATTCATCATCATGAAGATTATACTCCGTAGGGAATCCTCATCGTCGCACAGTGATCTTACGCCAAGCTTTTCTTACGGTATTGTGCATGCCTAGGTGGCTCCAGTCTAGTAGGCACAGTACTTGAATAGACGAAATCATGAGGTATTAGTTGGTATATGTTTACGTTGATTCCTGTGAGTTCCCACAGAGAGATCTGTGATATGCCCTTAGTCATTGATATTCCAAAGGTCTAAAACAGGACAGGTACAGAAGGTCAAGCCTGTCTTAGTAGCGTCATAGAACCCATTCTACAATTATCGCATCATATGTACAGCGAGTAGCACCAGGTAGTTCCGCACCAGGGCTTCAATTGCAATTCATGAAAACCAGAATCTGCGTGCCACCAAACAACCTCAACATCAAAGATTTCCCTTCTCCATCCAAGGGACCAATATCTACTGTACCTACAACCAAGGTATCGCCGACGACCACATACACACAACCCAATCCCCACGACTCATCAATCATCAATCGGCATTCACAATCCCCATTCCCCGTCCGTTTGATAAAACACGGCTTAAGGGGCTGCTTACTCTGCACGCGATCGAACCCTCAACTTGCAATTTACAAGCAAAAGTTTAATATGCTGTGTGCCGCGGGGAATACAAGCTTCCCAGGCGTGACGCCCATGTCCGTCCCGTCCAAGACCCCTTTTTTCTCGGTGGTTGGTGGTTGGTGGTTGTGGTTGTGGATGAAATGTAATATGTATGGCTTCGGACGCGTACTCAAGAACATCATTGCCCACGATGGTTGATATCATCATACGATTTCCTTCAAGTTTACAGCACAAGGACGGTAGGGTAAGTTTAGTAAGTTTAGTAATAGTCATCAAGGGAAAATATTACATACACAAACACAAACAACGTATACCCGTCACGAGTAAACCCTGGATCTTTGGATGGTTGACGAAATGTTGGTGTCATAAATGACATGCATTCTCATTGCGTAGTTGATAGAGAGAGAAAACATGTTATCTACCCAATCAAATAATTCCCAAGAATAAAAACTTTAGAACTGTTTAGTAACTACAGATTGAATCATTCCCCTGACGCCATGCTGATAAGATTGAGCCAAGCCTAGACCATACCATACGTTATCCATCCATCTACCTCTAACCTGACCTAACCTAATCACAATTCGTAAATCCCTTGAACCCAACTAGCATAACACATTAGCTTACCCAAAAAGAAAAGAAAAGAAAAACATGAATCAGTAGATCGCGTAGATAAATCACCACCCGAAAGCCTCCGAATGGTACTCAACACTCGGCCCATTCACACTAATGGCCCCCGTCGCTACCTTCCTCAGCGAATCCATCATCCCCCCCGGTCCACATCCCGCAATAACAATCCTCTCACTCTTGTCCGCTTTGGCCACTACATCCTTCACAAAAGCTGCAATATCAGGACGACCATGAACAACATCATAAACCGATGAGTCCCAAGATTTTGTATGGCGATGCCCGGGAATTTCCTTGGCTAGCGGTGACTCTTGCTTCTCAATATCGCCAATCAGATACGGGGCTTTCGAATTTGACGAGTCAACAGATGGGCTACTTGTAGAAGGCGCATTAAGTGATGGAGAGCAAACGAGGGATTTCTCGTCATCGGCTGGAGGTGAGGAAACCGAAGATGGTGTTTGTGCCCCGCTGGTCTTTCTCGATGACGGCCGAGTTGTGTAAAGGAAGAGGCTTACACGAGGAGAGAGTCGGAGCTCATCAAGTTCATTTGCGAACCAGGTTAATGCTTCTATATCAAAAATTAGCAAACAAGCAGGAGATATAGAGATACTAGAGCACTCACCTTCTTCACGAACAGTCCAGATAAAGTCAATCTTTGTTGTGCTCTCTGAAGCGAGCTTTTTAATTGTATCCAAAGCTACACCAAAAGTGAACGATGCTCCACTTCCACCAGCAACGAGAACAAGTTTGTCGGCTGTCTTTGAGAAGTTTGGGAGTGCCCCATATGATCCATCGATAGACGCATGAAGTGATGCACCGGGATTCTTCACTGCATACTCATGAAGATCGCGTGTGAAGCCATCAGAAGCAGAGATGACAAGCTCAAGATTTGGACTCGTACTAGCAATCGTAAAAGGATGCGTTTCGAAATGACGAATCCTTGGAACCCACAAGAAACAATGAGTTCCAGGGATGGCGCGTGATGGCGAACGTCGCAGCACTACTCGAGTACCTCCGTGTGGTAACGGGTAGATTGTCGCTTGGTTGTTCCGGCTGTACCAGAGTATTCTGACCCCTCGGAGGATACGATCCGAACCCCACATTGAGGCAGCCACAAAAAGAATTATGATTTCTTTCTTATCAATCTCGGGTCGATGCATACAGAGCATGACAATGATGGTCATATACATGGTGATATGAATGATGTAGAATGCTTCGTATCTCAACTTCTTCAATGTCATTGCGGTGATGAATATAGTGACCAGAGAACCTGCGGCAACCATGCCAAAGATTTGCTCATGCTCAACCAACTCCGCGAGGTGGTGCATTTTTTTGAAATACGTGGATTCGAGTGTGACATGGAGAAGTGCCGCAACTATAGTGGTGTAGCCAGCGATCTGATGGAGGGGGTTGAGACTCTCGTAGGAGTAAGCTGTCAGGTACGCAAGTGGTGTATTTTTCAATGCCAAGAAGGTGAGAAATGCGATATTACAAAAAGCGAGCCTAGCTGGTGTAAGTATATGAGTTTTGAGAGGTATAAGCCGATGAATTGATGAAGTGAAAGCTTACCAGCCACATCTTTTCGCAGGACTAATGGTCGTCGAAAAGTCTACATTGGTCACTGCTATGGAAACATTGATTCCTAGATAAACAATAACGACGACGAGGTGGCCTATGGAATCGAACCCAGGCACAGGATTGTTCAAGACTCGTCGTGACAGCCTAAAGACAGATGTGAGAAGGTGGGATAGGCATGAAGAAGAACCGCGAACTTACCTAGTTAAGAACACCTGACTCTTCATGATGCTAGAATTCTTGACAGACTTCGATGCATATCTGCTATATAAGAGACGGGTCCAATGGTAGATTGTAAATAGCAAGATGAAAACAGCCATAGCAGCAGCAAAGTATTTGGCCGCTCTTACATTGTAAGTTTGTTGGATGGCTCTCAACATCTGTGTCTTTTTCTCTGCTGCGGCAGCAGCAGCATTGGCGGTGGAATTATTGCTCGTAGCAGCTGGTTTAGGGATTGCCATTTTGGAAGAAGTAAAGTGTGCTGGTCATAAAACGAGTGAAACGCGAGCAGGAGAGGGGGATATATAAGTCTGGATGGATAGAGATGGTCAAGCCTATGAGGTTTCCAGATGCACACCACACCTTCTTCACACCCTTGCCAGCTGTATGGAACGAAATAACATTGAACTATGCGAAAATTCTAGAATAAAACAAAGTAGGATGTACACGGCACGCCAAGTATTCTCTTATCAAAATTTGGCACTATGCCATTTTCCGGGGGGGGGAGCTAAGCAATGGTTTCGCCCTGGAATGGGTAGTAACTAATCTGGATAAAGCATTCCGCCTGCTTTTTGATAATGACAAAAGATCGAGACTTGGGGGATCTGTGGGCAGGGAGGTAAACATGATAGGCGTAAAATGAAAGGCACCTTCTATTATGGGGCCGGTTTATGTCCTCTCTCGGCAACTGGCTAACTCAGACCTTGTCAAGAGCAGCAGTAGACCCTTGTGACGTGCTTTTCTTGTTTGGTAAATTACTGTAGGGGGATTGAGTACTTCTAGAACTGTGTTTGATAACGACCCACTGGAGGAGGGTACTTTATATTCCCTGCCGCAAGCTTGAAAACGGACTTCCGCCCAAGCTTTTCTGATAGACGGGAATGCCGTGATTCTGCTTCCAAGTCCCATATTACGACAAATTACAGTAGATGACATGCGGAGCACCACAATCAAAAGAACATGGCAAAGTCTGGAGAAATGCGAACTAGGAGCACATGCCACATTCCAAATACTGTGGGATCAGGCAGAGGTCTTCGTCCACGGAGCCCAGCCCTGGGCTAGTCTGGTTCGCCGCAGAGACGCCTGGGCCTTGAGCTAGGCGATGCGGTACAGTACGGTAGTGGCTGGCAGTGGTAGTGGCAGGATATGCAGAGACGGACCAAGGTTGATTTTAGGCGGTAGTCGAGTAGCAGAGCGGCAAGCGTGAACTGCCGCATAATCTCACGACGAGACGCTGAAAGGATGGGCCAGCAATAATGATCATGGTGATGTGATGTGATGCGAACCCAATGTGATGTGAACTGGGAGCCCCACAAGCTAAGTGACTCGGTAACCCTAAGTTTAGTCTGCCCAGTCTACTTCAGGCAAGCGTTAAGCTTAGGTAAGCAGTGGGGGACGAGTGTTGACATCCTCGAGGGCTGTAGAAATCATTGTCATTGGTGGTGACGATATCGACAGTACTTGTGAGTACCTATCGCAAGTACTTTGAAGTAGGTCGATGATAAGTACCGTGCTGTGGTACAAGCTTTGGGGCGGAACCCAGGGCCCTACCTAGACCTAGGCGGAAATCTTGTATCAGACGAATTAGGCCGCGGAGCAGTCCCCGCCCCCCAATCCTCCGTTTGCTACTAGGTACCCCCTCCCAGGAACGGGAAGATCTGATAACGATGAGACGGTGATCACCGACCACCACAACTCTAACGGGACCTCGCTTGTCGAATATGGGGAGAACCTCCCAATCCGTTTGTGATTTTTATATCAAAATGTAGATGTTTTCTGAGGCATCTAGGTAATGTCCGGATAATTGGCTGGATTATATATATATATATATATATATTCAAATCAAAATAAACATCAACAACTGATTGCCCCAAAGAGGGTAGATAGCTAAGAGTTATACCATGTACGTAGATCACATGTAAAAAAGCATATAATTACGGAATGTGAGTCTCTGATTCGTTGATTCCGCTGAATATTGGGGCTTCGCCGTATTATAAACTAGCAAGGTGTGAGTGACTCTTAGCTATAGTATATATTTACGGAACCCAAGTCTCTGACTCGTCAATTTCGCTGAGAATTGGCACTCAGCCGTACATGAACTAGGCTAGTTCAGCTAGCAAAATGCGACTCTGAGCTGTCCTTCTTAACTTCTACGCCCTCCATGCATAGGCCTTGTATAATGGTAGACATCCTGCAAGGCGCGATGCTTCATCACTCGCCTCCCAGGGACCAGGACTCGCAGTGCTTGCCTCCCCACGTCCCCACAGCCCCCTCCTGCTTTGCCCCCACGTCTAACGAGCCCTTGGGTGCGGGATGAAGCGACTCCAGCATCTCCTCAACTTGGCAAAAGTCTTCGAGGCCTAAAAGTCGCCTGAACCCACTGGAAATTATCCGTCAGACTGCATTTCAACTGGCACTGGCTGAAATGCTTCATGAACATCAAATATATTTTGTTTTGCAACATACGCTTCAAGTTCTCTTTGCACATGCATGCCTCGGCTACTGTATCGGCTGTCGGCCGCTTGCTAGGTCGAAAATTTCCCTCCTACAGTAAAGTCAACCCATGTTAGCCACCTCTTATCTTCATGCAAGAGAAAACTCTCTCTGAACAATGTTACATCTGGGATCACCAAATTCTCTGCAATTTGTGCGCGTCCAAATCAAATTTTCCTTCCTCGGGCATATTGCAAAGTTTATCGTAAAGTCCACATCAGCAGCTCGGTAAATGGCCAAGATCCTCTACATGGAGATGAAAGTGTCAGGGTTTTGGCCTTTTACAGGCGGCAATTGGATGAACGTTTGATTGGAAAGGCGTCTGCAGATTGGAGCTTGCGAGATCGTTCGATCATCGGGGTCTCTGGAGTAGAATGAATGCTGTTTTGCCCCCTCAGGGTTCATACCCTTCCAGGCAGGAACTAGAAAGGGCCAACGTGCTTCGTGCAATCATTTGAACCGATCCAGATCCAGAATGCGCAGAAGGATCCTGTAGAGTCGTACAGAAAAATAACTTGCTCTCTGATAATGCTCGGGTCCCATTGTTATCGTCATGATTGTCTCTGTCTTTCCTATTTAGGAAGTTGGCATCATTGGAGTCGGGCTGTGTGAGAGCCGATACGTGAACGTCTTTCTTCTAGATCCATAATGTTAGCATTTCTTTGGAATTGGAGAACGAGAACGCTTCGAAGAGAGGCAGAAGGAGGTAACCCAGTTGAAATTCCTTCCCCTTCATCCTCATCGAAGATCGAAGGCGCTGAAATAACTCGCTTAGTTTGATTCACAATTTGCCTCCAACCTCCAGAGTGAGTACCCATTTCATCTGAAGGTGAGATGAGGGCTTATCTTCGTAATCATGGATAGCCTCATTTTGCTTCTGGTTCAGACTGGAAATCCATGCGAAATTCTGCCAGATGCTATGTATGTTCTTTTCAGTCTGTCGTTGATCGTTGTTATGTTGTCTTTGATGTACGGACACCATACTTTTTTCTTTGGACAGGTGACTTTGAAGGGTCTTGTAAATCTGTGAGTGAATTGGGGAAATTGGAAGTCGCGACTTTAGCTCTGTGTCGGCTGAAAATTCGCCTACCCTTCAATCGGCGACCGCGTCTCAACCACTTGCAAATATCAACATCAACAACATCATTTGACATTGGCCACCCACAAAAAGAGTTATCAACCTGTGCGGTAGTTGCAGGTAGCTGGCAGTTTATTTGTCGCGATAGCACTCTGCGGTAGGTAGAAGCCATTTCTCATTCTACTTGCACAGTCTCGAACTGTGAAAGCTTCAGTTCTGTCGCCACAGATCGATTGACCGACAGAACACATCAATCGATATCCCCGACAAAGTCTTTCCTATACCACACGAGTTCGTTGACAACATGCCACGTAAGTACGATTAGTTATCATCCTTCAATCCTCGTCAGACCATAGCTACGAATGTTCCTGAGAATTTTACCAAATTAACCTTTCCCGCAGCCGTCAGAAATCACCGTCTATCCGCTATTTACCACTCGGAATGTGCGCGTCTGCCAAAGGTAGCGTTTCCCTTCGTACTTCAGCATCTCATATTGTCAACCACGCAGAAACTTTTAGAGGAGGTCATATTCTTTTTTGTGAAGGCATGGTATCCAACCCTCTTGGAGGACAACGGTTGGGACACCCCCGAGGCATGCGAGCTGAGTTTGTGGTGGCATAACTTGAAGGTACCATACTTGAGACAGATCCCACCCTGCGCGACGCTTTTCAATGGTGGGTTGGTGATCGAGACCACTCTCCTGCGATTGGCACATTTGCGCCATGCGTCGGTTCACAGACACGTTTGCAGCATAGCAATCATCGAGGCCATGATGAAAGATGCAGTGGTGCTAGCGAATGGTCTCAACGACTTTACGAGAAGGAACAAGTTGCGATGTATTGAGCTGGCTGTTCATACTCGGGACCATGGTAGCATACGGGGAATCATTCACTTGTCTCTTGACTCGTTCAAGAACTTTGAATATCCTGGGCGTGTTCCTGGTGCAACCTTTGGTTCCCCTCGTAAAGAGTTGCCACTAGATCCCGCAGCGCCACTAGCACCAGCACTGCTAGCAGACAAGTACCGTGGTAGAAAATACGGCTTCCTTCCCTTGGGTGATGAGAATGGTCAATATAGGAGAAGCCCCTCTCCGCCAGTCTTTCGCCCCTCTGTTTACCCCTCTGGCAACACTCGTTCCCAGGCTAGGCTGAGGGACAGGGACAGGAATGAGCCATACCCCACGGGCGGAAGACGTCGAGGGCTTGTTGAAAGAGCTGCTAAAAGATTTAAGTCTGTTAGCAGTCTTAGGACTGAAATGCACGGCGATATGGGTAAAAGCGATCATAGCCCCTTTGAAATCACTGCAGATTCAGATGAGGGATTGGCAAAGGCGCACGCGAAGAGTCTCAAGGTTGCTGCTGATGTTGGTAAGAGCAAGGAAACCCCTTTTAACCTTACAGTTGATTCGGACGACGAATTGAACAAAGCACAATCAAGGAATCACAAGGTTGGTGGCGATAATTCTTCTCATGGAAGCAGACCACTCCAATTCCTTGGCAATGTTTTTGTTGATGTTCCAGGCGATGCGAGTGGAAGCAGGGATAACCCCTTTGACCTTACGGCAGATATGGACGAACAATTGGAAAGACCACATTCAAAGAGTTTCGAGGTTGCTGGTAATAGTGTCTCTACCGGACAACGTGGAAAGTTGTGTTTGACCACTTTTGAGGACTTCAAGAAAAGTGTCTTTTTACCAAGTGAAAATCCACAATCTCGGCAAACATCTTTCACAATTTCTAGTATTTCCAGCTCCAAACAGGGGGTCTTTTTACAAGACGAAGTCCAACCAACCCGATACATGCACCCAACAAGTTTTGAAGCCCCTCGTCAAGATGCTCCTTCTAACTTCATGGCTCCACAAAATGGAAATTTGCTTTTAGCACATTCAACAAGCTCAGCTACCGAACTGCCACCCAATTCCAGTCATCCTCCCACACCGATCGAGACTCGTGAAGCGTTGATAACTCCACGATTGACACAAGAGCAGACTGCCTATCAACGAGCCCTCTGCATTGCCCCGTCAACCAGTATACCGAATGTAGGAGATCATCGCCATCCAACGCCAACACCAAGCCCAGTCCTCCAACCGCAAGCATCTACTTCCCTACCGCAGACTGCTCCCATTAATCACCAACCCATCTCCTTCCCTTTCCCATCCCAAAAACCTGCGCTTGTGGCCAACACTGTCTGGTCGACATATCGAGAACAAGAGAGTAGCCCAGATGGGATGGACGACTGATGTCAGAGGATTGCGACTTGTCGTTCACAGCTTGTTTGGTGGTGAAGCTTAACGATACCCGGAAGCTTGTAGAACTCACCGGATTTCTGTGTACAGTACTTGCTCTCCAAGGACGAGAGCCCGGTATTTTGCTTCTACTGTATAGGAACCCATATGGCTTTATACTGTGTGTACCTTGTCAGGATTGGAGAGTTCGATCGTTTGGTGTGAGACTGGTGGACCCTCATACGTAAGCAATGCTTGATCTTCTCTTCATCTCTTAAGATTGGGTAGGAATACTTGATACCCTTGGTTTTGGGGATAATCATTGTGTTTCTTGGTGTTACGTTGGGGGAAGGGGAGGAAGAATGTATGTCTCTTGATTTGTACTTTCGAGTCCTTTGGACACAGAGAGGACTTTTTGGGTTGTTTCTTGGATAAGTTTCTTCAGAGTGAGCAGAGGGGGTGTTTTGTCGTTTTCGTGTACAGTACTAGCTGGGTTTTCATCAGAGAATCAAGATTCCCCTCCAGCGTAATTAGTATGACTTATTTCTCGTTTCGTGAAACAATGTGAGTATGAAAATTTCTGAGCTAGCTCTGGTAATCATTGATTTGTTCTTTCCGTTTTTTTTTTCATTTTCTCCTCTGTGTTTGTTTGTTTGGATGAATGGATGTCTGGTTCCGTTGCTTTGCGTTGCGTTTTTCGTCTTCTAATTTTCTTGGAAGATAATTTAATGTAATGTAAGATCTTAATGTGTTTATGTGATGCTACTAGTGTTCCTCGCCTGATAATTTAGAGTGTGTCTGTACATTATGATGATGGTACGGTGATGATAATGAAAACTTATATGAGGTTACTACGGTTGGGAAGGTGGATGGGGATATTTAGTATTATACTTATGTTTGTGTAGAGGTATAGGTGTAGAAATATAGAGATGTAGAAATGTAGAGATGTCTATACGTGTATAAAATCAGGCTGTAGCTTTTATAGGGTTGTAGGAAAAAGGAAGTTAAATTAGGAATAATAGAGGTTTTTCAGAAGCTAGAATTATGGAATTTTTGTTGTTATTCATGTATACATTAGAATAAAAAAGTAATAAAAACAAGTGAACTATAAATTACCTTTATTTATTTACTTGCTATTCTCTCTCTCTTTCTCTATCGTTATTTATATATCGCTTAGAATAAAATAAAATAAAATAAGACAAGAAGGACTTTCAAGATACTTACACTTATATACTTACTCGGAAGCTTTTAAAAAGAAAAGAAGTATTATTTAACAATTGTACTTATATACTTACTCGGAAGCTTTTAAAAAGAAAAGAAGTATTATTTAACAATTGTATTTATAAGTACCTATGTATTAAGTAATAGTAATATATACCTGCCTTTGTTGGTTACTATCTACAAATCTATAACGTTTAAGCTAAGTTGAAATACTTTCTTACTCTCCTCTTCTCCTCTCAGACACTTAAGTGTGAACAAACAGCCATTACACCGTGCTCTTACCTATCAAAATCATCAATCATCACGATCCACAAATTGAAAACTCCCAAGGTCGGGATACTAGATAGGTAATCCCTAAGAATCCCTAATACTTCCCTGTATCTCATCCCATATCTCATATCAAAGACTATGATTAATGGTCCACTGAGTGCGTCTTTCCTTACATACTATTGAAAGTTCAAACTTGAAACTTGAAATCTGCAACTTGATTTCCAAGTCCCAAGACTCTTACCTACCGTGTGAGAATACGGGATGGGTATTGAAAGGGAATTGTTATGTTGTGTGGAGATATGTTGGTCGCTATGATAGCATTTACAAACCTGAGATGTGCGGTAGAAAGGAGGTTGGTTTGTTTACTTTAGATAATGGCTCTTGGCTTCACTCCTCTCGGTAAGGTCGAGTAGTAGGTGTGGGGGTGATATGAAATATGTGAGAACCAGTGGGCAACCATGGTAGGTATGAATGTATCCATACTCAAGTACAAAGGCTCGCAAGCTGATGGCAACGATCTCGAACACTGTACCAGCGTGTCCAAACATCTTTCTCACCCAGATTCTTAAGAGCATTCACTTAACTAATTACTCTCGAGACCGCGCCGAAAATTGGAAAAGTTTGATTCGACAACGCTAAATGGAATTAGGAAAACTATTGAAAGGCCCTTATCAAAACACCTGTGGATACATTGGAATATCCCTAATGCCCCTCCCATACAAAGCAAAGGGAAAAAAGGTATTTGCCCTTCCTCAATAAACCCCTTAACCCCACACCCCCATCAATGGAGACTCAAACGGTTCGCGCTTTTTGCAGGAAATAAATATCGTGCGGTTGGGTCATTATCATCGTACTCGGTCGTCGCTTTTGTAGCTTCCGTGGTCTACGTTTCACCATTTCTTCATCGTTGTTCAAGGCGGCTAAACTTCACCAAGCGTTACGGTCCCAGTTTGGATCTATGTAAAGTAGGTGTTAGCATTGATTCCGTAGTGTAGCGATATCGGATGTATGAATGACACAAGCTTTCTCTATTCTTCTCTACGCCCACGCTTGACGAGAGTACTTGGAGTGGGGTGCTCAACTCACCTTGAACGAAGCCCGCCAACACCTTACTACCAGTCTGCAAAAGAGGATGGCCAACTACAATCTGCAAGAACCGCTGTAGCCCTTCCCTTCTGTGCTCAATCACATCGTCACTAAAGCGATTTGTAAAGACCTTTCCTGGCAACGGTGGAATGGTCACACGCGCCGATTCTCGCTCCAAGATATCACGAAAGTATTCGAAATCCGAGTAGCGTCTGCGCACGCTGCTCTGTCGCAACTTGAAGGCGGGGATGTTGGTTCGGCATACAATTTCGTAGTCTGTGTACATATTGCGACCCATTCCATGGGTTTTGGGATTACGGACCTGAAAAAGAAGGTTAGTAAAGGTGTATAGATAGATGATACAATGCATGAGACACTTACTTCTATCTCTAGGAAATTCTCTGGAGGGCCGTAGATCTCCTCGAAGCTCTGCTGGCGCGAATCTGGCATTGCCTGCATCGTGGCGGTATGGTATTCCGGGAGGTCTAAGCTGGCGCACGTTTAATAGAGTAAGACTTGTTCAGTTCTGCTTGAGGGGTGTCGTGCGATGCGATCGCAATCTGATGCGAGGCTGTACAGTGAGTGTGGGAGTACTCCTGATTATAGGAAGAACCTTTAGATTAGGCGTGGCGAGGGGTAGTGTGGCGTGTGATTATCAGTCAGTAGAAAACGTGATTGTGTTGCAGTTGAGGTGAATGCTACGGATCCTACGGTATGTGTATGGCAGGTTTGGTATGGTATTGCGTCTTCCAAGTATGAGGTAGTAGTCACCCAAGTTATGTTATGCTATGCTTGACAGCTTCCCAATTAGAATACAGCTCAGGGTACCCAACAATCTCTGGCGGGGCATGGCACGTGCCTACCTAAGTACCAGCAACCCACCTCCACTACCCCAGCTGGAGCCCACGTGCTCATTCTCCCCCTCAGCTCACCTGTAGCTAGCTACATCATCGTAATTGTTTGGAGCCACAAGTAAACTTGTGGTGATGTGGTACAACATGCCCATCCCATGCCCTGATTCGTTTGTCCTCTCCCAACATTCTCTCTCTTTTCCATCTTCTCCATCTCCTCCTCTTCATCCTCTTCTTCATCTCGAATCTCTTATCCAATGTTCAAGTGACTGCAGAACAACCCTTCAAAATCGTATCTTGTACGTTATCTGCCACATCATCCAGAGAATCAAACGGACACCAGAGATCATTCCCTTCTCAGCCTTCCTCCTTGGAATTTGACCAACGTTATGACACATATCGTAAAGTTCTTTCTCTGGGGTGGACCACTTGTAAGCTTAACTAATCAACTAGGAATTCTGGTCTTTTTATGTTGCTAATAACCTCAGTTGCTGTTTATTCTAACAGCTATTGCGGGGTAAGTCACTATCTACATCCACCAATCTTTATAGAAACAGTTTATATCAAAGAGAGAAAACATGTATGAGCGTTATAGGCTGACTTGACAAAAGATATTCGTATTCCCAAATTCGCTACCTCCATCTACCAATCTCTCAAGCTCTCGCCCTCTTCACCCTTGTCCTCCCAATCATCACCGGCATTTCCATGCAAGGCGTGTATGGCCTAATTCAACGAGCCTCTAAGACCGAGCAATACCAACTTACCATCCCCCTCGTAGCCGTCATATGCTTCCAGCTCATATATGAAACGGTGGTTGCGACTTTGGCCTTGACATATATGATTCCGCCCTCGACACTACAATGCGGCCTCGAGGAGAGATGGAGGTCCCTATTTGTGGCCAAGGACGAGTCTACTATCAAGAAGATACAAGATTCGTTTAATTGCTGCGGGTTCAACTCTGTAAAGGACCGAGCGTTTCCTTTCGGTGAACCTTCACGATGCTCAGAGATATTCAAAAGAACAGTCCATTGCTCTGGACCTATGAGGAAGTCACAGCAAATCCAGGCTAGCTTGCTCTTGCTTGTGGCTGTAATGGTTTTTGTGATCAAGGTATGGATTGGTCTTTCCTACACATCGTTGTTTTGCATTTGTCTTCTCTAGACCTTTTGCTTCATAGCCTCTATGACTGTCAGCATAAAAAATCAGCTACTTTTTCTTTCCGGGGAGCGAATAAGGATGATTGAAGCATATTATTACATCACATTTATCTCAGTATCTATCTCAAAGCCTACACAGTACAACCAAGTTAACCAAACCCTCCACAGCTCATCTCAATCGTCTCCCTCTTCTCCGCAACCGAGTGGACCAACGCGAAATGGATTCGACCCATCAAGCGCCTCGCAAACCCCTCTAGCAACGATAGATCAGATCGCCGGGTGACGACGAGACGTCTCCTTGAAGACAATGCTTCAGGTGAGCCGTATCGTGATAATCCAGAAGAGGTCGGGTCTCCCTCTGTGACAGGGAATGTAGATCCAGGTGCAAGAGTCCAACCTTCTGCGTTGGGAGGACATCATGAGTGGCGTGATGAAGAACGTGGATAATGTCGATGCAGAGCGTTGAGCGTTACCTAAAATTTCACGGAAGTAAATTGAGATATCGGTATATGTGGTAGTAAGTATGTTGACTTACGAGACACTTGAAGCGAGGATAAAATACGGATTTTCTTTCCACCAACAAAGTTGCAAGTGCTTTTGGAAAGCGGGATCTTTTGTGTATAATAAACAGGATAGGAGGAGCCAATTTTGGATACCAAATCTTCTGCAATCGTTGACATAATTTTCCTTCAATGTGAGAAACCCCTGGCCATATATCCACCTGCCTGTTCTCTTTTCCATGTTCTACCCAGAAATATTGACGGTCCAAAGGAAATATATTTCAAAGGGTATATGATTTGACTCCAGACATTCTCATCCAACATCATACACAGGCAATTCTCAGAGTCCCTTTAGCATCGATTCCTTGAAACCTCAAGGCACGGTTCGTCTTAGAGATCTCTCTCGTTCCATGAAGAGATAGTGATGATTACAATTGAATTGTATTATTCATGAGAAGGGGGTTTGCCCATCTGGGCCACCTAGATCCGAGGCCCCCAAGGTATCCATCATCCAGCCAGTCGTAGCCCTTTTTTTACCCAAGAGCGAAGTACATGTTACAGAACCCCCAGGTCCCGTCCTCCGCCCAAATCCCTTCTTTTTTCACATAGTATGCAGATATTGTACACGTAACGTTCCTTGCAGTTCTTTCCCTCGTCCATGATCGTGTTTATGATCATGTTTACTTTACCCCCGTTTACACCCAGTCGTCATGAAAAGCGTTTTCGTCACCGCTCAGCATGTAGTAACTTCAATATGCCTTCATACATCCCAAACATGATTGCCGCGCTGGGCACTGTTCGTAATAGGTGAGGGGTTAAGCCTCCGTACATTGCTACCATGCCTTCTTCTTTCCATACCAGCTTGAAGCATTGGAGAAGGCCTGTGTATTTCAGTTTTCCGTTTGCCTTAGGCCCTTGACGGAGACGGGTTCGAGCAACCTAGAAAAACGTTAGTAGGCCACGAATATGGGGAAGGAGTTGACCTACTTCATGTGGATAAGTGACCAAAGCCGCGACCAGTTTTGCACCACCCGCTGCACCAGTACTGCCGGTCCAGTCGACGATATTATCCCAGAGAGTTCTCTGTCGCCCACTTTCAAGGAGCTTTGCCTCGCGCTTGGCTAGTGATGTCTTCATCTGCTCATACAGCACCCAATGCAAAGCAGTTTCCGATGCTCCCAGGTAACTAGCACTCATGCCCTTGTATAAACCACGGATCCCCTCTTTTCGCACGACCTGCTTGATACAATCCCAACTATTCTTGTAGACCCTTTTCGCCGTACCTCCAGCCTCTTCCACCACATTTTTATCCAGTTGTAACCTCGTTTTGATCATCCAAATCGGATTCGTAACGGTCGAGGTCACAATCCCAGCCAGAGATGCTGCGCATAACACAACCCAAGCACTCTCCTTCCCATTGTTCCCGTAATCTGCAATTATCCGTTTCCCATTTCCTACCACGAAGAAATTTATACTCCTCGCTGGAACGACGCCGACGAGATTTGGTCCGAGTCCTTTGAAGAGTGCGCGGAAGCCTTCTACGCGATGGACGGAGCCTAGAATCTGGAAAGTCTCTCGGAAATGGAGGATGCCGGATCTGAAGGCTGAGAGGTGCGCGTGTGGGGATATGCCTTTTGCGAGGCGCGATTGGGAGAGTTGTTGCTGGTAGAAATCGGATTGCAGTCGAGTTTTCAGGACATCAAGGGGAGCGGTTACGGCTGCTGCAGTCATTCCTCCTATTCTACAGAGGATAATTTATTAGCATGTTTTGAGGATGTGGTATATTGCGGGAAAGAAGAAAGAAAGTCACAATCAAGCAAAACTCACCCTCCAGCAACAAAATGCGCCCACGACTTGGCTACTGGTGCCGGTTTCAATGCTATGGCTTGAACATATTGAGACTGAGGCGCTCCCTGCTCGCCTAACTCTCGCGACTGTAGTATATGAGGAGTCTTGAGTTGGGGTCTGGTTTGTGTCTGGTCGGCTGGAGATGCTGCTTGAGGATTCATAAAGCACGAGGGGCAAGGTGGGAACCTTGACTTGAATTTTCAATACTCCGTAGGTAGCTTTCGCTTTGGCCCAGGCGAAGAGAAGAAAACTCCAAGTAGAAGGCTGGCGCAAAAGCAGATTAATTGTAAGTAATGATTAAAAGTATTGTAATGTATCGTATCGCTATCGCATCCTTTGCATATTATGTCTCCGAACTTATATGCAGTAAATGCTTGCGCTTGTTCTTACGGTCTGAGTCGTGTCGCTGGATGTTGTCGTTGCCGTTGTATTTGGCGTATTGCTGCGCTGAGTTCGCTGAGTACAAATATTTTGGTGGTGATGACGCTTGCGATAGCACAGCCAAAATTTGATGTGGCAACGCAAGTAAGCTCTAGTAGCCTGCAGGGGTAAGTCACGCTACATGGCTTGGCATGGGTACTCCATAGCGTATCATGTGCGAAATAGAAACCTACATATCTAGGCGTTTGTAACATTAATAGCTATATTAATACTGGAGGAACTAATCTGCCTCTAATTTGATCTAGTATCATGTTTGTTGCACGTAGAGCTCCTATTTTTGCTTCCTCAGATATATTGAAAGGTTCAAAAAACTTAAAACTCAGTTCCAGTATGTTTTGTTGTGACCACCTGTGAGATGGTAGTGTCACAGGGAAAGGGAGACTGACTTCCCACACTCTCTTCTCAATTCATCACCACATTTCTGGTCTCCATCATTTTATACAGAACATCTTTACATAGAAGCCCTTGTTATATAATTCCGAAGAAAGAATTAAATTCCGTCCCACTCCCTTTTTTATCCCATGCTTCCCAACTCTTCCAATTCCTCGCCAAACCACGCAATGCAAAACGCAATATAGCCACGAGGAATTGGATACGACAATGTTCTCATCAATGAAATTATCTGAGGCGGCAAAGAATACATCATAGCCAGTTGCTGATGCTGCTAAAGCTCTCGAAGAAGCTCTGGTCACCCAAGTTTCTGATGAGTCTGGGAGATTGGGCAGTATTTGGCATTGGAAGCTAGAAGAACTTCTGATGAAGTATTGCGTCGTAGCGAAATAGGATACTTGGTCTTTGAAAGGAAAAATTGGCCTAATTGATTTTGCTGGTAGGATGTATTATCCAAATTCGTAGCCTGGATGATCCAAGATGCATAATGGCTATTTATCTGAGGTATTTGATAGAATTCAATAGTTGTGTCTAGCATGAAGCGCCAAGGGAGAGGGTAAATTGAAATTATCCCTAAATTTAAAAATTCATCAGACTTGTAACATAAAAGGCATAATACTATCACATTCAGAAGAGCCTGCTACTGCCCCCTTCAGTATGCTACTGAGTAACACATGGTGGGGGTGGAAGTACCACAGTATTGATTGTGATGTTAAGATGTTGAAAAAACACCAGTAACTGCGGCCACAGTTATGAAATCACGCCAATAACGGTAAAACATGCTGAGAACAGTACATAGTACAGGATGTGACAGAAATACTCTAACGAATGACATGGGATGTCCCTTTTCTCAACCAAGGATCAAACTGGATGAACAGAATGAGCAAAGTGGAGGGTAATTGTAGAAAGTCTTTCACGTAATATCTTTACTCACTAGTGTTGGTTATTAACATTAAGAAACCGATTGTTATCTCAGACAAATTCACAAGAGACTTGACTTGAGTTTAGTCATCAGAATTTGATTCTGCTAAGACGATGTCAATTCTAGCTCTCCCATTGTCAGAGAATATAAAAGAAGGGCAGAAAAAACATTATGCATCTCCAATTCGGCAACTTCTATGCCTATCATTGATGTCAGAGGTAGTGATGACCAGCTAGATAGAATATTTTCAAGCACATACATATCTATTCTGTTTTGGTAAGTTGTGTGGTCTTGCTTGACTATATCAGCTGTGATCGCCATACTGCCACTTTTCTCCCTTTTTTGCTTAACGCTGCCTTCCCAACAATAGATTGTTATGTTATTGCACAAAAAATATCTTCTATATGTTCATTCCAGCAGAGCATCTCCTGATCTAGATGCGTCTACTTATTACCTACAGGGTCAAAATGGTCAGAGGCTTTTGTTACGCAAGACTCTTGATGTGGAACGTTGGTGGTGCAGAAAAGGAGAACGCAGGTATCAATTCTGGTCAGTGCGAGAACTTGTAGATACTGTTACGTGTGCTTGCTTCTAAGACTGAGATATGGCTGGGAATACATTGGAATTAATCAGGCTCCTAGTAAGCAGGCTTCTGTGAGGTGTTTTGAGTTGCGCCATGGTTATCAGAGCTTTTATCGCAGAATCAACCCAAAGGGCAACAGTTGGCGCCAGGTCAAGATAATCAACGTGGTAAAGATTTCCCAACCTCCAAGATCTACGAATGCAGCTCTAGATCGTTTATTAGTGAGTGGAGTCTCTGTTTTGGTGTTTCTTTCTTGAAGTGTTGTAGTTTAGCACTCGCTGGACAGGGTATGAGCTCTGAGGCCTTAACAGGGAAGCGAGGAATTCATGTCGCAACTCTTGTAGCTTCGTAAGCCCCATTGTGTAAACTCTACATGTCACTCAGACTTGGGGAAGCGAAGGAGCGGTTGTACTGTTATTCATTCTAGTGTAGTCTGATGCATTACCAAAGCAGGGGGCCGTTTCAATTGTACTCAACGGCTACTGGACTCTGGGTGCTCAAGTGCCTTGAGGATTTAAAAGTTGATCTAACCTTCTCAGGTGTTATGTCATGCTTTTGCTTTGGATAAACTCATGACGGTTCACTGCAGGTTGGTTGCTCTAGTCAACTAGTGAGAACTCTAGATTCCTGAAGGCACGCAATCTGAAATTGGTGGTTTCTCATTGGCGCAGGGGTAGTGGCCGGCCGATTATGAAGCCAACGCCCCAGCCTCTACTTTCAACACAACCCAAGCCAAAGGCAAGGTTTCCTCTCAAGTGCCACTGCCACTAGAGTACTGCCAGTCCTCCTCCAGTCCGTCCCCGCATAACATAACACAACAACACCAACATCAGCAAACACCTGCACCACACCCATTCAATTGACCCTCCGCTCCATCGAGAGTGCTGTCCGAGAGACACAGGACCAGCAGGTATCTGCTGAGCCCATCGTGCTGCTCGTTCTTACAAATTCACATTCACAGTCCTCTTGTCATTCTCGGGCTCTGTCAGCTCCACTACGACTGCAACTGTCTCCGCTGTGTGTGAGCTAACCTTTAAAGCAAACCACTACCTGCACTGGCCTGGTCGACCACGACTACCCGCGTCTTCTCACAACACCACATCGCATCGCATGCAACGCGATCTTTACTCTCCACCACAACAACATAATGTTCTCTGCACTTTTAGAGAGAGTGGCAGCGAGTCCTCTCGCAGCCACCCATCTCGATGAGACGCGTGCGTCTCCCTCAAATTCAATTATCAGTACTATCACCGTCGATGTCGCTTCCGATCCACAATCATCGTCCTCCTCAACTCCACCTACCAGCATTGGCGACGAAGCGAGCATCTCCTCTACCTCCCTAAAACTCGAAACAATAGTCACTGCCGTCGCGCCCCCTCCAGAAGCCGCACCAACAGAGGTCGTCGCCGAATCCTCTGGTCGCAGTCGTCGCGCTCGCGTCAGTGTTGGAACATACAACGTGAAGGTATTAAGTGGCACAGCTATTCATGCGCCGAGAAAATATCTCAAGAATCCAGATGGCACTCCTGTCGCGCCTAAGCCGCGTCGACGAACTATATCTGGCGATACATTGGTTGAAGCAGATCAGCTTATACAGGCGGCCAATGAGGCTTTCAAACCCGATTGGTCCGTCCAGAAGCTCCCTAGGTCCAAGAGCCAGATCGGTCTAGCTGAGGACGCGAAAAAGACTCCTGTGAAGAAGGTTGTCAATCGGCGCAAATCGATGCTCTCCACAAGCGATAAGGTCGTCAAAAAGTTTAGCGTATTGGGAAAGCGCAGTCGACAAACTCTTGATGAGGGATTGTCAAATCTGGCAGCAAAAGTTGACCTACCAAAAGTGCCTCGGGAGCTCAAGAGATTACAGGATACCGATGAATTTGCGAAGAGAGAGACTAAAAAGGTCATTCACGAAATTTGGAGCAATGGCAAACTAGTTGTTGAAGAGCGACCAAGCAAAAAGAAGAAGGTTGCGGAGGCGCCTGCTGTAAAGCAGCCAGTTCCTAAAGTAGAGGAACCAGTACCACCGGAACCCAAGATTGTAGGCAAGAGAGAGAAAGTTTGGTTGACAAAGGGTTTATACGCCGGACAGCTCGCCCCTGCTAAGGTGCCTCCTAAAGTTTATAAATCGCCTTACAGCTCAAACAATGACGGTAGCCTAACTGAGGAGAAGCCACGAAAGATTTTGCCCATGCCATTGTTCCACGGCCAGCGACTGATAGAGATTGGCAGAGATTTCAAGCTGCCATTTGATGTTTGTTCCCCGTTACCTCCCGGACAGCCAAAACCAGATCAGTGGTCAAAGACACACAGCAGTAAGTTTAGGTATTCATGCGCTTTTTCCCAACATAGCTAACAAGGTCACAAGATCAATTCGTTGGCAATGCCAAAGATTTCTGGAAGAAGCCAGAGAAATATGACGCCTTCTCATCGCAATGCGTATGCACAAAAGAGCATGGATGTGATGAACGCTGTCAAAACCGACTTATGTTTTACGAGTGTGATGATAACAATTGCAGGGTTGGCCGTAATTATTGTGGAAATCGTGCTTTTGCTGAGCTTTCTGAACGCCGCAAGGCTGGTGGAAAGTATAGAATCGGTGTCGAGGTTCTCAAGACTGCTGACCGAGGATATGGCGTGAGAAGTAACCGCTGCTTCGAGCCCAACCAAATCATTGTCGAGTATACCGGAGAGATTATCACGGAAGAAGAATGCGATAGGCGTATGAATGAAGTTTATAAAAATAACGAGGTATGTCATATGCCACTGTATTGCACGTGATTACAAACTAACGATACTTCAAGTGCTACTATCTCATGTCTTTCGACCAAAATATGATTCTCGATGGCACCAAGGGCAGTATTGCTAGATTTATCAATCATTCTTGCAAACCAAATTGCAAAATGGTCAAATGGCTTGTTGCGGGCAAACCCCGAATGGCTCTATTTGCCGGCGACAATCCGATCATGACTGGAGACGAATTGACTTACGATTACAACTTTGATCCGTTTTCGGCAAAGAATATTCAAGAGTGCAGATGTGGCAGCGATAATTGCCGTGGTGTACTTGGACCCAAGCCAAAGGACCCGAAGCCAGTCAAGGAAGCCATCAAAGATGTCCTCAAAGCTGGTGTCAAAGCTGGCAAGCGAAAACTCAAGGAATTCTTGGGTGCTGATGGGGAGGACGCAGGAAACCCTCGAAGCCCAAAAAAGAGAGCCATCAAGGCCCCAAAAGGACTCAAACGGTCCGCTTCTTCGGCAAGCATGATGGCAGTGAAAGGAGCAGTGAAAGCTGTCAGACGAACCGCCTCTACCCAAATCCTCAAATCACGCCAAAGCGCAAGTCGTCCACAAACCCCAGTAACCAAGAAGACTGCTAAGGCGAACCCTCTAAAAACTTATGGAAAAGCCAAAGGATCTTCTTCGCGGAACTCCAGTCTAACTATGGTCGCTACGGAGGACAATATCCAATTGGGTACTCCTGAAAAGATGTCTTCTGTTGGAAAGCGATCTGTGAAGAAGAGCGTTTCGAGAGGTGCTTATGTTGCTGACCAGGCTACACCTTCCGGTAAAGCAGGTAAATCCATTCGGGTTGTCAGTGCTAGTGATCAGGGCGAAGATGGGGCTGAAGACGATGATGAAAAATAGATAGGGGAGGTGGTGGCTTATTGTAGGCTGAAGACCTTCGGCATGCTCAGGATTTTGGTCGTCGATTTACATCTTGGAGTTCCAGGGATGGAGTTTCAGGGGACTGTATTGCTTTGATAGTAATGGCTCGTATTCTTCAACGAGGGCCTAGTGTACGATTATTTTCTCGATAGCGCACGCAAATAGGGTGGGGGAGGGGCGGAATCGATGGCGTGCGTACGACGCTTTTTTTCTCGGGGTGCTTTATCTGGCGTCGGGGATATGGGATCTCTAGATTCGAGTCCTACTGGCGAGGTGCGTGGAGTTGGGGCAACTAAAGCAACGTGGTAGTTTTTTGTTTAATATATTTGTTTCTATCACATCAAAGTCATAGGGGACCAGTCTATCGCCAGTTGTGATGCCAAAGGTGTAACAGTTCTAGCAAAGTTGTATTAACGTCTCTGAATAGTAAATGAACAAAAGTCCATCAGCCACTCGCCCCTTTTTCTACGCTGCGACCGTTTTTAGGGATTACTGCGCGACATCTATTTCTACAGGGCATGTACAGTAAGTCCATGTGTAGAGCAATCAACCAAGTAAGTTATCAGCCTCCCTCACAACGATCAACAACCAACAATCCCCAACTTTAACCAACCAACCGGCCCGGTACCCTTCTGAAATACTGTAAAAGCATTTCTAAAAATAACCCCGGTTTTTACTGCGAGCTAGCCTAGTCTGGCCCGCCTTCTAACAACAGTGCAGGACTTGTACTTACCTTCAAGACCAGTGCAGGACTTCTACATACTAAGAGTGTAGGTACATCGAGGTGAAAATAAAACGTGCATCATAACGAAAGTGCTGGGACCGTATAGCTCCAGCCAGTAAGTAAGTGGAGTGGGTCACTGGGGTGGCTAGTGCTGTGGCTATGTAGATTACCTTCTCGCTTCACGTATAAATCCCATCCTTACCCGTGGAACGATGTCAGCATCCATATCCACTTCCACATGAACATCTAAGCCCTCAGCCCTACACCTACGGATTTTTTTCTTTAAAAAAGAGCCGCAGTAGGCTATTGTGGGTTCGTAATGTGAAACATGAATGTTAGGTGAGGATGTGCTGTGCTGTGCTATAGGTAGGGTAGGTAGGTAGGGACCAAGATAAGCTACAGGCACGCTTATGTTTAAATATACCTTGTACTGTACCTTGGATGGTGGATGATGTATGGATGGAGGTTCTATGTTGGGCGCGGAGCAAAAGGGAAGATGTTGGAGGGAGAGGGGTGAGGGGGCGGTTACTGGTTGTGGGTTTGGTGTTGGGGTTGGGGTGTTTGTATGGATCAGGAATGAATGGTTGCTTCTATACCATGATTTCTTGCAGCAGTAACGCTTGGATGAGGTACAGGAGTGTATGTTTGAGGTAGTGAAGGATATGACTAGACAAAGAGTTTTAGAGATGAAGGTAACAAATTTCTTTCTCGAGCTCCAAAGTGACGTTCAATTGAATATGTATTATTCGAGAAATAAGAATCCCCTCGATTTGTTCAGGCTAGCCAAAAGTGATTTATATAGCAAGAGAAGAATTATTCACAAATTCGTGGTTTGATGTATTATTATATCAGAATTAGATATTATGTACTGTAGACAGTAGAGATAGCAGAGTAGCTGTTTTCCTCGTGTACAAAAAAAGGGGTCAAGAATTCAATACGCAAAACAGTGCCAAAACATTTGACAGCATCGGGAATCATCAAAATGACAAACATGTATAAAGCAAACATAACTCGGACTCCGCGTCTTCTAATCTAATGACTATGCCGTGTATCGTATATCCTACAGCAACGAGAATGAAAGGGAAAACTCCAACTTCGTGATACAGAAATTCATACATAATTCGTACATGAAGAGAGTAACAATGATCTAAATGCAACGCAGAAATACAACAAAGAAAGGACAACAAAACTCGTGAGAGCGGCGATCTAAAAGCAGAAAACAAAGTCTGGGGTGCAAGAAAGAAAGCAAAAACAAAACAGATGTTGTACAAGAAGCCCTCCGTTGCGATCCATGATCCACCGCAAAACTGCCTTGGAGGAATTGACTCAGATCTCTAGTCATGAAATCTCCACAGGATCCATTGAAGATTCAACGATGGAGTCTCGGCATCGTAAGCCCACTTCATACCTTCGGGAATTTGGATGTCCATGATAGAGTTCGTACTTGACGTATTTCTTCCGAGTTCGTGATCTCGAAGAAAAGAGACGCAATTTCTAGCGAAGTCATCCGCAGGCTGATGTAAGGTTGGATTTTGTGTTTCAGCACCAAGTGATGTGATGTCCCTTGTGTTGTGGTCATCGCGAGCAGGATTGTGGCTCATCAAAAGGCTTAACCATCTGGAAGGATTGAAGAAATCTAGAAGGAGAGATGTCAGCGAATGATTGGTCATGCCAAAGAGGGGGGAGTCTTGGGAATCCAGGCTGCAGCTCGCTAAGATCATGTGACCATTGCCGTCTTAACCCCCCGATGAGGGAAATCCAACGACAACGGTCCCCTCCCCAATCAGGCAGGCCAAAGAGCGAAGAATGGATGACTCCAACTTACCCTTACAGATTTGTTGGAAACTCAATATTCCTCTCAATTACCGTAGCCTATCTCTAATTAGCATATGGACTCCAACAGAAATGGGTTTGTTGGTTGGAGGCTTACCTGAGTCCCGGCCATCATCATCACCACGTCGTAAGTTTTTCGAGCCTGGATGGAGAAATATTAGCATGAAGAATTTGAGATTGTGTGTAGCCCAAAAAAATGAAGAAGAAGAAAAATGGGGTTTTTAGGCTGGCTTACCTGATGTTGTTGCTGAACAGTAGATGCGAGCCATTGCGGTGTTGTATGTTGAAGTTGAAAGGGTTGTGTAAGAAGACATTTTGCTGATGAAAAGTTGATCAATTGAAGATGTCGTGTGAGAGAGGAAGTCTGATGGGAAGATGGGAATAGAGAAAATCAGAGTACTGGGTGGTATGTTGTAGTGGTGTTTGAAGATGGGATGATAGGTATCTAAATAGAAAAGATGCGAAGAGGGAAGAGCTGTTATATACCGGTGCTTGATTCTTTATTTGGATATTGGATGAACAGAAAAGAAAACAGACCTGAGGAAGTAAGGATCCATTTGTACATGTCGCAGTCAAACGATGACTGTAGCCCGGAAAGGCAGGGCAACCCAAGAGAAAGTGGCTAAGACCATCAAGGAGGTCGGTCCCATGGTCTTCTCAAGAAACGGTATAGAAAAACCATGAGTGCGAACTGAGCATTCAGGCGCTTAATTTAGACAGCCGCAAGTTAAGCCTCGCCGCACATATTCTTCAACATTGGGTCCGACCCAGCTCCTGGGTCACAAGCGAGAATGTGGAAGGCAGACACACTCGATGCAAACTCTAACGGGGCATGTAGAGACACGAAAGGGCAGACGTTTGCAGCTATTGTTGTATCTGACGGGCCAAGTGGACATTGAAGCCATGCTCAATCAGGCTCCAATAACGTACAGTAGGTAGAAGGACCATCATCATGTTGCCCAGCGAAGTGGCCTGCGCCTTGGAGGGTCGACGCATTTGGGGAATGGAGACGAGTTGTCGGTATACACCAGCAGCCGAGCCAGCCAAAATCAAGAGCCCCCTAAAATGCACCCATTGCCGTTGGGTCTAGGTAGCAGGTGTGGGCAACTCCCACGTGGAGGTAGAGCAGTGATAGCATGGTGGGGGTTCCCTAGGCTAGCAACAGCTAGGTACGGTGGTCAAGGGAGTTGGAGTTGAAGTTGCAGTGTGTTGGGGTTGGTGGCACGGACTCGATAATTGGAGGTGTTTCACACAGTTAGACTGTAAGTACTTTCGTACTATACTCAGTACAAGTACGAGTACCGGTACCTATGTACTTGCCCTGCGTAGGCCTAGAAATGACACCTAAGGTTGGATCTGCCCTACCTACCTAGGCTATAGGTAGGTACTCTGCACTGGCCCGGAGGTACTATCTTGTACTTGAACGAGCACTGATACCTCCGTACTGCGGGGGATATCGGGGGCCACGGAGCGGGTCGATGGCCTCACACCCGCGTTGTTGTGTGCATGCCGGTCATCAACTAACGGTCGGCTTTCGAGCCCCGGCGATAACGTTCTTCGTACCTGTAGGTACAGCACAACGCAGTGTAGTAGAGCAGCTTGGTGCGGTGCGGTGCGGTGCGGTGCGGTGCGGTGCGGTGCGGTGCGGTGCGGTGGAATTGGGAATTGCCGGTGGGCTGCGGGTTTGGGCTCCGATGCGCTAACTATAGCTAACGACTCGGACTCTGCAATGGCGTAGTGCAATATAAAGAATTGGCTGCTCCTGTATCAAGTAAAGGTATAGGTAGGTTGCTATAGGTAGATACATAGGTGTAGTACTCGAGGCTAGCTGTCTTGTACCGTCCAATAATAGAGAGTACGGACAGAATCATTGGGATGCGCCGTTGCAGGTGCAAGCTCTAGGCCTCCACGAGATGCCCTTGCCCTTGTTGCCAGCGCTGGGGATGGAACCCCCGTGGAAGCTGCAATGCGACACCCTACCTCAAACGTAGATACAACTGACTACCACCACTACTACACTACACTCCAATCCTACTTCGAGCTTCAAAGTACTCTACCAGTATGGCTACAAGTGGACCCTAGCTATTGCGACTACTCGAGCGTCAGGGCATTGATTGAGCAAACAACAACATCGCATCACCACACCCGCTGTTGGGATGACGATCCGCACTTTCCTATTGCTCGCTGCGCTGCAAAGCGGAAGTACATACAGCAAGACCTATACCAGCCTACACCTACACCAATATCTACACCTACCCCTCAGAAAAGGCAGAAGCTTCAAGCCAAAAAGCGCAGTCTGCATTATCACCTCATCTTTCGCCCATCCACTTCTACTTCTACTCGAGAATGATCACGATCATGGATGAAGACGCAGGCACCCACTTATTTTAAGCGCCGATGATGAGAAGCGCAGCAAGCACCATCACCCCTCTCCCATTTACTCCTGCGCCGTAGGCTCCGCGGCCTCGAAAAGGGTCCCTCAGGTCCGGTGGACACTGCACTGAGTTCGCCGATGTAGTCATTTTCTACGAATCCACATCTCATATCAAGTATATCACTCATTCCATTCCACAATTCTTACCCATCGGGGCCCCGTCGAGAGGCGAGGCGAGGCGAGGCGAGGCTCTGTTGGTTGTGTGGCAGAGCCAGTACCTAAGGTTAGGCTAGGTTACTTGCACGCCATGGATGCAAGATACGGATACAGTAGTATCTACTCGAGTACACCAGATGAGGTGCTCCGGGCTTTGGATTTGCTTTTCCGGACCAGGACCTGCAGGAAGCATAGCATCACATAGGCGTAAGCATGCACCTGCCTTTCCATCTTCATCATACAAAGCATCCTCTTGTTGCAGGTCTGTACACAACATAATCAACTTGCTTATATTTTGCTGTCTTGGCTGGCGCGACGTGGATCGCTGGAAGGCCCGGAATGAAGACCCAGATTCAGATCTCATGCCCAAATCCAATTCAACAAGACTCATACTACTCGTACAACACTCATGCAAACAAAATTTCCAAGCTGCAATACTTCTCCCAGCCCATTTCACCCGACTACGTTGGATCTCAGAATCAAAGAGTTCACAGGACATCCAAGTCCACAGCTATTCAAGACCCAACACTTGATGCCCAATTACCTTTCCTTGTTCTTGTGGACAATCAATCTCTGATGCATGAGCTGAAGGCCGATTTCCACAATTCCGTCACCGAATGCTATTCGAAAATTTGCCATCGGAAGAGTTCAGCCCAACCGAGCTGCTTCTCTGACAGACCCAATCACGACATAGCACAATGATAGGATAACTTTGTTACACCATCACCATCTTAGTGCAGGGTTGGTTATACCCTACCGGCAATTAGAGTCTTTATGCATTTTTCGTTGAATGTTGTCAAGACTCGGCCAATCTTGTCTTGGAGCCCGACTCCTTCAATGAACACGTACTATATGTATCATAGGAGCGAAACCATGTGGAAAGGTCATTTCAATGTTGTTCTTTCGGCCTTCGATGACCCTAAAAGCTTCACCAAAGCCTACTTTCAAGCTGTCTGGCAGGGTACTTTTGCCTTAGTGATCCAGAAAGTCATCCAAAAATATACTTGCCAACCGACCGACATCTGTGTATGGTAAGGGAGGTTCCTGGTCTTTCACCAAGGAGCTATGAGATCTGATTTCTTTACCTATGAAAATATGAGTACCCTTGAGAATATGGTATAGAATGCTAACTCACCAAAGTCACGAATTACAGATTGTAGGGCAAAGGTCAACTGTGTGATCTCTCTGCTGACGGGTCTTCCTCGAAATGCTTCCAGGCCATCTCTAATGGGGTTGCAAGCCTCTTTTCCGCCTTTTCTGGTTTTGAATTTCCAGTGAAAGATCTCTTTGCAGCGATCAAAAAGCTGTGTTTCCGTCACTTTTATGAGCTCCTTGACCTTGGCTGTCTCTGACATCGGCTCGGCGCCATAATAGCGGATTTGGTCCTCACAGAAGATCTGCGCAGCTGCAGAGATTTTGTCCATCACGAGGATCAGAATCACAAATACACTAAAACTGACAGCCCATTTGTTGTCGTTGCCAGCAGCATTTCCAATGGCCCACATCATGTTTCCCCAGTCCTTGAGTACTTTGTTGATACGCGTTTGTTGGCTTTGGAATAGTGCTAACTTTATTTGGCGTTGCACGCATCTTGCTACCGGTTTCCCGGAATACCTTTGCTGAAGGTGGTTTTCAACCCTACCCGTAGACTCTTGATCAAGTGCAAGACTCTTTTCCAAAATCATCGATGTTATATGCATTTCGATTGCTTCGCGAAGAAGTTCACACTACCGAGTCAGTCAATATGCACGCTGTGTATTTTGAATGGAGAACTTACTTCAGAGTCGCCCTCTAATCCCATTGTGTAAAATGAAGTAACAACCCCAAGGAGTCTCTTTGCAAGCTGTGAGTCATCCGGAAAGTATCCAGCTGGGACGTAATTTGCGAGGTCGTTCTGGGCGATATCCTGAACATATTTGCTATATATATCTTCCATATCATCCATGACAGACAGCGGGATTCCAAGAGGTGGACTTTGCTGTTTGACCAATGTAGGCAAAGGCCTTCCAAGCCCATCTCGCCTAGTAGTGTGGTGGAATGCCATCTCCGATCTCTCACTTCGCAGCTCGAGAGTCACTACTTCTGCCTCAAGAAGTCGACGATGGCCCCAATCCATTCGAATAAAAAATCTTTTATTCCCCCAGCCTTTTGCACTTCTAGCAATGAAAGTCTCAACGTCTTGCCGGGTGAAATGGCCATTTAAATAATCTAGTGATGTTAGCGTCTTGTCATCAAAACAGCCAAGAAGAGCCATACCTGGTACAAGGAATATATACAATGATTCAAGTGGGTCGTTAAAACAGTCAAACTTGCAAAATCTTCTTTTGCCAACTAGTCGCGCACACTGTTCACAAGGACTGCCGGGTGAGCATGGAGAGCACTGTATATGATTAGAGTCAAATTTCGTCGTTTGGAATCATGTTGTGCATACCTTTATTTTTGATATGTGGCACGCCCAACACGCTTTGGCATCTCGAACTTCTCGTGCTTGTCTCTTCTCGAGTTGTGTTAGGTTACGCTGACGTCCTTTCGAGGCCTTTGGTTTCGAAATTCTAGAAAAGGAGGTAAAAACATGACCATGATTATCCATCTCAGTCTGCCGGGGTGAACATGTCTGTGACCGCACCGATCTCGTCGATCCTGGAGAACTATGCGTTGGGGTGTAGTTCTTCGGGTCGAATATTATCCAACTATCGTTGTCACTTTCACCAGGTGGGGTAGCCGGGGTTTCATGGTAAAGAAACTCGTTCTTGGGTATGAAAACCTCTGCATACTCTTCCTCTCTTTGATTTGAATTAAGATTAGAAATCCCCTGCGCCACGAGCGATTGATAGAATTTGTCGCTTTCAAAGTCTTCTTCGGATCGGGAATTACTAAGTGGTATTTGCTCCGATATCCAGGGAACATGTGGGATGGGGATAGGTTGCGAGCTGTAGTTTTGTTTTGCCATGTTGTCATCTACTAAGCACCATTGACTTTCTGAGAATGCACTGTTTGCAAGATTTATAACATCCATTTGAGCTTGAAGCCCGTCATTCCCGAGGAACATTGCGTCTTGAAGAAACAGGGCGTTGGTCTCTTGATGATTAGATGTTGGAGGATAAATGGACTGTCCCAGATGAAAGTATGCATCTACATAAAGTTAGTAAGGGAGGCTGGGACTCCAACAATTTGAGCCTTGATATAAGAGGTTACGGACAAAAGAAATGCCAAAGGGAAACAAACATCACGAACTTACCAGAAAGGTCTAAAGTAGACATGGCATTCATTTCTTGACATGCTTCGGCTCTAGTTGTCATCAAAGGATACATGTAACCATCCGATTCCGGGCTTGTTGGAGTGGACCCAGACAGACTGTCCATGGTTTCGGGGCCACTTAGTGGAATCTCTAACGCAGAAATTCCATTCTGGTCAAGGTTGATTTCGTTACCAAAACCCACATCATGCCACCCTTCCGCCGCCCCGTCTGCGACATGTAAACAAAACGCATTCTGTCTCGGTAGCAAGTCGTAGTTGTAGAATGGCTGAGATTCTTGTAGACCAGAGGATATCGTGTAAGATACCAGAGAAGACTGCCACGAAGGTCCAGCTTGACTGACTTGTCGAGGCACAGGGTCCAACTCAAAATTTCCATTGATGCCCTCCTGGATGTTGCGATAGCCCGAACTGTTTTGTTCGAAGCATTGCCGCTGCATTTCTTTGGGAAAATTTATTTGTTCAGTCGGTGGCAAAGCCGGTAAAGCCATTTGCTCGAGGGTATATACGGGATTCGAGAAGGGCGTTCTCTTGGACGCCGCCGTCATGCCTCTCGACGACGAGCATTGTGGATTGTTATGATTGCTATGATAAACTACCTTGGACCCTCTGCGCTTTCTCGCTCTCCTCGCTGGCTGCGATTGTGTCCACCGGGCGGCTGTCCCCTGATACGGCGTGGTCCTCGTTCCCTCGACCATGCCCACCGGTGCTTGTCGCATCAGACGCGAGGTATTTGTTCTGGAAAATTGACCTGTTCTCGTGGTCTCGCCAAACGAATCGGTCTGGTTCGGTCTCGGTGTCCCAAGCAGCACTGTAAACTGGGCCCTTTCACGGTATCATTATTGTGGGTTTGGTCCGCAAAAGTTGTTGTGTTGGTGCTTACGTTCTGAGGACCAGAAATCTGACAATCTGACCGACCGGGTTGGGCGAGGGTCGAGGATCTCCAGGTTATGAATGAATTTTTACAGTACGCCGTGCCAGCTCGCTGCTGGCCTGGCATTGCCATCCTCCAGCCCATCAACCGCACTGCGGCGTCACATGCAGCACCTTCTGGCCTATGATAGCCATCCAACAGACCGAGTACCATGGCATGTACTGTACATGTCCACTCGCGATGGCCATCTGCGGGTTCTCCCATATCTGATGTGCCGACCATACATGCGGTGTAGAAGAGCGGAGCCCATCCATCCTACTATCATTATCGTGTGCGCTGCCAATCACGGGGCTCGGTTGGTCCAAGAGCACCGCCCATGAGGGTCTACAAGTATGAGCTGCATGAGGACCGCGATACTTTACTTTGCTGTAAGTGGCTCTCCACACGCGGGTGTGGCTAAGCTAGTAAAAGATACTAGACTAGCACTAGATTAGTACCAGCACTAGTACTTGCTAGTCTTGTGGTGCTGATTCGTACCCTGCCCTAACACACACCCACACGATTCATTCCCAGCGGGAGAGACCGAGATGTGATACGAAATGGCGTATCCTTATTCGGATTTCGGTCTGCTATCATCGACTTCTGTGGTCAATGATCAACTGACGGTGGGTGACCTCAGGGAAGGCTGCTTTTTTATGCTTCAGCCTTCACGTGGGGAACTGGAGTGGCGACGTTGGAATTGTGGTTCCCTTTCGCCTTTCTGCTTTGAGTGCTGACCGTGCAGGTTTCTTGTATGAAGTGATATACTCGTCGGACCCAACCGTCTTTAGGACGACTGTTGGTGATTTTACAACAATACATCTCAACATGGAGCATTCATATAGAGGGTGAGAAAATGCGAAACATGGGCGAATGGATCATAGAAATCGGCTTCTTCTAGAGCTCATTCGAATTGGTACCCAGAAAGATGCATATGTGTCGTTCATTTTCATTGTGAGAGAGTTGAGTAGATGGGGGAATTGGGAGCATTAAGGTGCTTACTATGGAGTCTGGAGTCAATAACACGCGATACCGCATATCCACACGCTTCTATGTCTTCCCTCGGACTTGGCGAATCCGAGAGATTGGTAATCTCTTGATCTCCGAAATTCTGGGGGTTTTTTCATTTGTATTTTCGTGCTTTGATCTCGTTTCACGATTTGCATTTTGCATTTTGAGTACAGTGATATGGTAAGTCAAGTCAGAAGGTGGGGAACTAGAGTGACGTCGAGATGTTTTTGAAGAACAAATACGAGTACCTATAGCTTGATGTGCGATGATGTAATGATGTTGCTTTATTGTGTTGGATCATCATTATTGGTTGTTTGTTTTCCTCCCTTCCCAACAATACTTCAAGGCTGAATATTGGCTTCGTTTCCTGACGAATCGGGTGTTTCCTTTCTGTCCTGTGTTGGTGGTAAGGATTTATTTATCCCAAATATTGTAATAAAACTTGATTTTCATGAAGGTCTTGTAGATAAGGTGGGTACTTAGATACTTCCTACGAGTCTCTATCGTAAGTCGCTATAAGAGTATTATATGGGCTGTCTTCTTGTACTCTCTTGTATTTTCTCGGTGAGACTTATAAAGGTATTCGGGCATAGGGTTGATTATCATTATTTATCCACGGGAGGTACGCTATCTAACTCTGGGAGCTTCCTTTTCTATCCCTTTGACGCAGTATATGTACGTTTGGATTTTTGGGTTTACGGTTCCCTCTTTAAGCAATAATCGTCCGAAAACGCTTGCTTTTAAAGCTTATTCGAATCAAAAAGGCAAATATGAGGCTATCGCCGGGAACGTCAAAATACTATTCAACCACTACAGAAGACCAAGTAATCTAAATCGCCTTCATCGCTCGAGTCCCGCTCTTTATTAATATCATCAGAGTCCCTATAATACCCCCGAATTACAGTGGTATCACCGTCATACTAATGATACGGCAGAAAACACTCCTTACTCAAGGAAATCTCACATACTGTACACTGCTTTCTTATCACTTTTATATCCCTGCGTTCGTAGTGTTAAGGGTCAATTACAACCTTAAATCAACAGAAATAGCATTGTCTTCGAACCTTTGTACCAATGTTCTTGTGCCATCGTGGGTTTATTGTGTAGTGCCGAAATATATGCGATACTATTAGTGGAAATAAGCTTATATACCAAGAGTTAAAGTGGATGCCACCAACCCAAAATTTGAAACGTACATATACTGCGTCAAAGGGATAAATACAAATTCCAGCCGAAGCCCAGGGCCTTTATTTATAAAGGTATTTTGTATCTTCTTTTATAGATACGCTTATAATAAAGACTCTACCCAAGAAAGCAATATCTCAAATACTCACCAGCTTACCACTCGTTAAACTTCAATCCAGAAGTTCCTTTTCAACTATTCGTTAAGCTCTAGAATACTCCCATAACCTTACCTCTCTCCTACTCAACTCCCACACACTTCTCCACAATACATATACAATGGTACATAAACCTAACCTCCAAGCCCCAACTACCCCGATGTAGCCGATTATTACATAGTGAATCCCCCTCTTTACCATTCCCCATTCCCCTTTAGGAAAGTCAAAAATTTCGTTGCACATCGCAAAGAGGTCTGCACCTCGAAAAATCGACACTTGAACAACTTGGATACGGGGAAACGGTACTTGTAAACCCGATTTCGCCGTGAAGGATGTAGTGAAGTCTCATGTATCCTCGACTTACGGAGTACTTGTCAAGATCTATGGTAGTGGTCGTTGTATTTTGCAGAGGTCTGCACCTTGAATGTCGACACTTGAAAATCTGTATTGTACTTCGCAACTGCTCTCTTGTGTTGTGATATGAGGAGTGTGTTGGTAGGTACCTACCCTCACTTCCTCACTTCCTCACTTCAAACCCATCCAAGTACTAATTCCACAAACAAACAAGCAATACACCTACCTACCATCAACCCCTTCCCCCTCCCCCAACTCCTCAAACCCAAAAATAAAAATAAAGAACCCCCTTTCCGTATAACACAAACCCAAAATATCAGAAAACCCATTTGGGCTTCAGAAAGCTTACTTAGAAAAAGGTACTCTTACGTTTATACTAGACGGATTATCCTTGGTTGGTTTGAGTATTGTAATCGTTTCATGAGTTTACTTGCTGTAAGCGAAGGGAGGTATTTGTATAACTTTTTCAATAAGTTATAAGATGATGTTATGTAGGTAGGAAACGACCTTTACAAGATCGTTTGACTTATTACTTCCTTACCAGAGTAATCGTAAATCCTTCTATACTACATCGAAAGTATCGGCGCTCAGGTCTGTATAGCCTACACGAAGTCTATCTCTTTATCTTCCAATGAAATCAAATAGTTAGATGACACAGTAATACAAATTATGTCCTACGTAAATTATTGTTGGGGCTACCAGCTTCAAGGGGGATACAGATTTCAGCAGTGTAAGCGTAGTCTTCTCACGAATTTCTCCGGTATGTAGGACATGATTAAGCCCATTCAAGTGATGTTAGCGAGAACTAGCCATCTCATATCAGAAGGATAAGCGTTTTTCATTACCCAGCTTCCCCAGCCACCAGACTATAAACCTACAGAAGAAAAGTCCCTTCCACCCAACGCAGCAAAGCATCCCAAGATGTACAAACATCATTGTGAGAAGCTGTTGGCCAAGGCTCCTCATTTCTTATCCCCGAATTTCTGATGAATGGCCCTGATTTGTTCCTCCACATTAACGTTTTGCATCATATCCAATCTTCGGTCGCCCTTCTCTACCGGAGTACCATCATATCCTGTAGCAGCTTTCTTTCTCCTCGCAAGCTCTTCTTCGGATACGTACTGTCCGGTGACACCATCAAATAGATCAGAACGTTGAGATGCCAATCGCTTAAGATTGTTAGCCACATCCTGGGTAGATAAGTTGGTTGTCGCGTAACGCGAGTCGGCTTTCGCCTTTTGCTCTTTCCAACGAGGGTCAAGAAGTTCAACTATAGGGCAGGGATGTTAGCCAATCCATTCGTATCATTTTAGAGATAGACATCTTACTTCGCATATGTTCATCCAGCTCGTTGGCTGGCATTTGTTGTTTGCAATTTGGACAAATGACCATATTCTGCTTGTTGGCGGCACGGGCTTGCGCTCTCGGCACGTAATTCTCCTTGATCTTCATAGGAGCTGCACCCCCTTTTGCTTCTGCCTGTGCGGCCTGAGTACGTTTTCGGGCTTCAGCGCGTTCCCGTATTCGCTCCTCTTCCTCCTCTTCTTCGACATTTCTCCCACGCGAATTCTGGTAGGCCGGTTGCGGTGCTGGAACTGGAGGAGGTGCCATTTGCTGTGGCTGTTGAGGATATGATCCATAGTAATCTGTGTCTTCTGGCATAGCTTCTTCAATTCTCATATTGTGAGAATTGATCGACATCATAGCCTTCTGGTCTAAAGAAGCGAATTGCAATTCCGACAACGACGTAGGAGGTGGAAGATTTGTCTGATCATCAGCTTCCGTGAACAGAACCGTCTCCACGACCACAAAGTCATGCCAATCGATTTGTGCATATGACAACTTCTCCTTCTCTGCTTCCTCCTCCTTCTTTTGCTTTTGCTCATCTTGAAATTTAAACCACTCGGCGCGCTGCTTCGCCCTAGCCAGGCAGTTATATTTATCATCCACATTGGCCTGTAATTCTTTTATCCTCTCCTGCTGTGCTTTCCCTCCTTCCCCGTCTATGCCACCAGCGCGTAGTAAAGCTGTATACTGGTCGATCAACCTTTGGAAGAAATTGTGCAGACTGTGATTCGGTCGTAGAAAGTCGAATTGATAATTACCCGTCTCTCTCTGTGAGAGGGCTGTCATAAACTGCCGTCCATTCTTCGCCACAAACAGTGCCGTCAAGCGAACGACTTCCAGATCCTGCGCGCTGATATTTGGCATTCGTGCAGAGAAATGGAACTCTGGAGGCTCAGGTGGGCCTTTTGGCTTCTCTGCCTCCGCCTCAACCTCTCCTGCTCGACCAGCCGCCACAGCTGTTCCTCTCCCTTCCTTGATCTCGCTGAGTCGCCATAAATAGTATGCATTATAGGAATCGTTCGGGCTAAGAAAGGAGAATTTGGGGTTGTGTTTTTCTTTCTCGCGGATACGATCTACATACGTTAGCTGATATATCTTCGAGGAAAATGTGCGTTTAAACCTTCGAATACTATTCCATTTCGCGCTACATAGCCTGCGGTTTTTTCCAATATAGCTGTATAAAATTAGCTGATGTTCATGAGGCCATGGCCCATGGGAAAAGGCCGGCTGCGACAGTTGCGACGTACCTTTGATTTCTTTTGGTGGAAGCACAACACCCTGAGGAGCCTTGATCTCCTCAAGACCTCCCATGGCAATATCGCCATTCGTAGCCGTCGGAGCCATAATGGAGCGCTTGGTTGAGAAGATGAGGGGGGAGGATTGACACAACTTGATGCGCAATCGCAAATGATCAAGTAGGGTCAACCAAAATTCAGCCTTGCACAAAAATGACCAATCAAAATGCGAGCCTTGCTGCCTCAATTCTCGTCGCAACATCAACTTTCAAAGTACTCGTATCTTAAGGTTATTAGAAAAGTCTTCGCAAGGCTCCATCCGTATCCCGTTCTTGGAGCTTTTGGACAACCCATTGGTGAAGCACTATCTAGGACTTTGGGCACTTTTCACTTTTACTGGTTAACGAACAGCCTACAATTACACCATACCTGAATTAACCAATCCTAACTTTGGGTTCTTTTTAGAAATCTCAGCCTTCCACCTGCGACTGCACACGATTTAATTATGAATCAGAATCAAGAGCAACAGTTTCTTAGGGTAATTTTGAAATTGTAGATTGCCATCCATCATGAATTGCAATTCATATCTGTAACGCCTCGAGTCTTTGTTATACTCGATGTCCAGTCATGAAGCCCCAGAAAAAACATTTGCACGCCATAGCCATAATTACATTGTCATTTCAATGCATTTACTCGTCATCTTCTTCCTCGTCATCTCCACCATCCTTCTTCTCAGCAGCCTTGGCCTTCTTGCGGCGAACACGACCAGGACGTCCACCTCCGAATGGCGAGCTTAGGGCGAAATCAATGTGCTTCTGGGAGTCGAGACGAACGACGAAAGATGGAACGTTGACGATCTGCTTTCCAACACGGATGTGTCGTTGACGGATGAGAACACGAGCGTGGTGAATGGACTTGGCGAGACCGAGCTTGTAGACACAAGTTTGTAGACGACGCTCCAAGAAATCCTCAATCTTTAAGGCCAAGACGTAATCGAGCTTCATGCGGGATTCGTCAAGGACACCGACACGAACGAGACGACGAATGAGGGCATTTCCTTCGAAAAGTCTCTTTGGGTCCTTCTCTTCGAGAGTAAGAAGTTGACTGCCATGGTATCAGCCTTCTGACATTTGATTTCTGCCATACCATTCCGTATTGGATCCTCCCATGTGTACATACCGGGCAGCACGACGAATCTTAGAGAGGGTAAGCTGGACTCTCCAGACCTCACGCTTGTTGCGAAGACCGTACTCTCCAACGAGCTTCAATTCAGAGTCCCTGGAAGGACATAATCAGTGACATGAACAGAGACAAGCTCTTATACAGTGGTCCACTTACAAACGAGCACTCTCGAATGCTATGAGAAGTTAGCTCAAGTCCATCGTATCGCATCGCACTGTAGTGGGCAGCACATCTGCAAATTCTGCGCGTGGCCAAACATTTCCACGACAGAATCAGAGTGATGGGAAGGAAACTCACGTCTTCTTGGGACCTTGTAGGTCTTGGAGTATGATCTCGGTGCCATGTTGAGGGATGGTCGAGATGTTGTCGAAAGGTTGTTGTCGAGATCTTCAAGTCCAGCACGGAAAAGTTCGATATTCAAATTGTGGTGGGCGGCGGAGGTCGGTAAAGCTTGGCATAGGAGTGCTGACAGGGCGGCACGGGAACTGTACAGGTGCTGCCAGCGTCTTACACCCCTGTGTCAGCGCCGCTTTGATGGTAAAGACCTTAGGTCGGGACCGGGACGCGATTAGGGCAAAATGGGTCACGTGTGATAGGAATATCCTCCACACATTGGAAGTTTGGTAAAATTTACCTAGAGGCCGAAAGACTATCAAAAGCCTCAACTTCCACCCTCAACAAACACTCTTCTTCACCCCCTTTTTCTACTAACACATCAGCAAAATGGGTCACCCAGCGGTTCGTCTCCTGAAGCTCTGCCAAAATGTTGAACCGTAACTGATTTGATCGATTTAGGGTCTACGCGCCGGTACTCGGGTATGTCTCTGCGAATGCCCTCAAAAATCGCCAACACGACGTCGAATTGGACTGCACTGACTGATCAATTAACAGTATGCCTTCAGCCGAGATTTCCGTAAGAAGGGTATGATCAACTTGTCGACCTACCTCAGACAATACAAGTAAGCCCTCAGGCACGAATGCGCAAACCTTCGAAGCAGGCGCTAATACCGGATAGGGTTGGAGACATTGTTGATATCAAGGCAAACGGTGCCGTCCAAAAGGGGTCAGTCAAGCTTCCACCCGCCGCTCTCGAAACCTGCAATGGCGCGAAACGATTGAAGGCGGGCAGATGGGTATAAGAATGGTGCTGATATTGGAATAGTATGCCTCACAAGGTTTATCACGGAAAGACTGGAGTCGTCTACAACGTCACAAAGAGCGCCGTCGGTGTCATCATCTACAAGAAGGTCAAGCACCGTTACATCGAGAAGCGTGTCAACCTCCGTGTCGAGCACGTCTCCCTTTCCCGATCACGAGAAGAGTTCGTTCGACGAGTCAAGGCAAACGCCGAGTTGAAGAAGAAGGCAAAGACGGACGGCACACACATCCACTTGAAGAGACAACCAGCCATGCCAAGAGAGTCGAGAACCATTTCCATGAAGGATAATGTACCCGAAACCGTTGTACCGATCGCATACGAGACCACCATTTAAGCGTTCGACATTGTGGGATTTGCTTGGGGTTTCTTTGGGGTTCGGGAATTTGATCATGATGGATGGGAGGTTTTAGCATTGCATGATACATTCGACTCTGTGCATCATTCTCGGGAAAAATGAGAATTGAATTCACCGCCAAACCCTATTTTGTTGTTTGTGACGAGGTACCGAATGCCAAATTTCTAATGAAGAACAAAACGAACTTTTTCCATTTCTGGTTTTCGGAACAAGGATAAGCTGTTTCTATTTGGTGCTTGCTATTCGTTTCTTACAAAGATTCCAAGCTCTTGTGTGTGTCCGATATAAACACGACCCAGGGTACTTGTCCCTTTCAAAAAGTATCTAGCATGCCAATTCTTTGAGACTTTGCTTCTGTGATTTTTGAGTAAGGAAGCTCAAGTAATGGATATTTCATCACAGATACATCTGCTTCTTTGCATATCAAATCTAGGCAACAAGGAAAGTTTATGAGTTTATCTTCCAATTTTAGCTTTTCTTTATCTCTATTGTATTTTCACTTTTCATCCTTTTCTTCTACAGATCTGGTAGGCACGGTGGAAACTCCTCATTTGATTAATATCCAGATGGATTTCATCATCTTTGTCGTCTATATTTCCCTAAGGTATGTTTTGTATTTAACGAATCCTTGATTTAAACATGTCTCTTTTTAGATGAAGATTCTGTACCAATTGATCGTTGAAATTCTAGACTGGATAGAGTATTACATCAATCTTTATAAGTCCTAGTATTCGTCACAATCTCCCCTTCATACCACACAATGTCGCCCTCGAGGTTTAAATCAACCACCCTTTCTTCTCCTTCATGCCAACCTCACTTACCATACCACAACAACATTCAACAACGCAATGATGTCTCTGTTCTCAAGATTAATCTCCACAGGAATTTCCAGATACATCTGTGACAAACGTCGTTTTTGTCAGACCCAATAAGTGTGTCCAACATATTGCTCCCTACCCCCTATGGTAATGCGTGTTAGCGAGATGACAGTTTCCAAGGAGATGTTGTCGAGATGCCACCATCCCGAATAAGAAGTCTGTTGAATCCCTGATATTGCGTCCCGGGGATATGAGCACCAAAGAGGACGGATGACCGTTTGGTGAGGTGAGTGATCCATTTTGTGAGGAGGCCGATTGATGGGTAGGAATGTTTGGTATTGGCAATTGAGTTTCCTTCTACGATTGTGAGGAAAAGGTTTACCGTTCATCTGTGTTGAAGAAAGTGTTCGAGATGGTGTTAGAGGGTCTGAGGGGGAGCTGCT